AGCTAGTTTCACTGAAATAAGACGGTCAGTTTTCCTTTCGATGTTTACAATCCTGTTCTTAAGATGAGTGTCGAGTATTACGCCCACACCATTTCTCTTATTGTCTGTCCCGTAGTAGACCAGCTGGTATCCTAAAGCTAGGTCTCTAGATTTCGATCCTTTCCAACGTATTTCTTGTATACAGCACATATTGATGTTTCTCCGTTTTAGGGTTTCTGCTAGTTCTTGACTACGTCCGGTTAGTGATCCTAGATTCCATGTCGCCATTCTTATTTTGGTAATTGGTTGCGAACAGTTGTTCTTGTCATGGGAGTCGTCGCTTACGGGGGACGCCCTAGCAGTGTTCGCATTTTTCGCAATCTTTCCGTCGCTTCCGGGGGACGCCCTAACTTTACCCTTATTTCTTTCGCTTGTCTTTTTCATAATTAGGAGAAGATTTTTGGCTACTATTTTACGGCCGGTTGCCACCTGACGCCAAGGTGTAACCCTCGTGGAGGGCTCGGGGGCCGCCGTTGACCCGAAGGTTCTTCCGCCGCCTCCCCTACTGTGTGCTCCAAACCCAGCACCCAGCACGTCTGCAACCTCACCTCCGAGTATGTCAGAGAAGCCTACAGACGGGGTTTGATGACGGAGTTTCCATCTCCGGCCTTGTGGTCCGCGGGAGGTATTTTATTTCCCTCCTACCCTCCGGGGGATTTAACTCCTCCAGTGGGCGTTCCACTATCCGCCACCTGTGGACGCGGTCTCTAGGGAATGAGGCTACCCCGAGACGGGTCAATAACTACCCATGAAAAAATAATTAAAAAAAACCAGCAACCACCATTTTTTTTGTCAAAGTTACATTAACTTTTTTTAAATGTTGTAATTTGATACCCTACACCCTATGATTAGATACTGTGGTTACAAATGTGAACATATCCTCATTTTTTTTGTATTAGCTACCTAAGTAACATAACTATTAATTGCAGTTCCAAATAGGACCAAAACATTTGTAGTTTTTAATATAAAAATAAAATAAACAATCTTTTTTCTTAAAATTTTTGAATATTTAAACTTTTAATAAACTTTAACATGCTACTGTGTAAAAAAAATGTATGAAATGTACTATAGCATATTTTTACAAAAGTTAGCGCAACTCATCACAATTCTAAAATGGGGCAATACTATGACAACACTTACAAAAATTCTAAGAATTCTCAGATTCTCAGAAGGACCTAATATATCCACAAGAACTTGTAGCCACAGACTTGTCGGATGTAAGAGAAAGATGTAAGAACTTTTTATGTTGTTTGGCAGAGCAGATTCAAAAAAGGCTTCCAGACAATCTGTCTATATTAAAATAGTTGCTGATTTGGACCCGAAGGTTGCAACATCTCAAGTAAAGCTTGATATCAAACCAATATTGAATCTCATTCAGCGAACTCATATCTATGGCAACAAAAATGACGTCGAGTCTGAATGGCACCAATTGAGTAACAAAAGATGGTCACATACTTCAAATGCCGCTGATTTTTATTTTAAAGTTCATAACGATTGTGATGCAGCTGTAAGCGTTTCGAAAATATCTTCAAATTTGGAATCTCACTTATTACAGTTCCTATTTCAAATGCAAGTGTTGATCGCGCGTTCTCCATTTATAGTATAGTTAAAAATAAGCTGCGAAATAGATTCTCTATTGACAAGTTACAAAGCATAATCATCCAACAATCCGGTTTATATTGCAACGAAATGGTGGATCTTGCTGCACATTAAACCCATCGGAGAAGATGTTAAAATCATTTAATATTAACATCTATGATTTCAAAGAGTCAGAACCAGAAGAAAAAGAAATTATATTTGAAGCTTCAAAGAATTTGTGAATGAAAAATATTAAAAAGTATTCTCGAACGATATTTTTCATTTATTAATTATTATGAATTGATTACTTATTTAATAATATTTATGTACTTATTTTTTTAATAATATTTTTTTTAGGGGAGTTTCCAAGTAAATGTGGGGTATTTAGGGGTTTTTGATTTGATCTTTAGGGAGATAAATTTTTCAGAATTGGGAACACTGATTTTTGAGGTTATGAAAGATGGCAAAGTATTAAAACTATTACAGTGTCAATTGTTAAATAAAATATTCATCCGGTACTTAAGTCCTTGCAAGTAATTCAATAATATGTAAAGAAGTAGTAATTCGTTTGATACAAACCATTTTATTATATTTCAGGTACAATGCAGAGGCTCTTGTGCGTAATGAAAACAATAACATCTATGGCGAGTTTACCCGTGAAAAATGCTCAACAGTCCATATTCAACTCAGTGCAACAATTTTCTAAAGCCCGATTATTACAACCTACGCTACCTTTAATAAATCCTGCGTGTAGTTTTAAAGTGAGAGGCCGACTTCGACGACGATGCAAATCTTGCTATTTTGTTGTTAGAGACGAAAGATTGTATGTTATTTGCCCTAAATTTCCTAGACACAAACAAATGGCTATGAAAGCGAAGCCCTTGAATACCTGGATTTTAACACACGCAACTCAAAGTCCTGTAAGACCTTGGTAATCTATTTATGTTTAAATTGTTATAATATTAGAAATGTATTAAAGTAATAGTCATCTGTATACATATTTTTATTTAAATAAGTCTGATGCAATTGAAACAATAATTATTGTTTTTAACCATAATATGGCATCAATTTAAGGGTGTTGATGGTGATGAGTGCATCAATTTGGAGCTTCAATGAATGTATTATTCAAATAAAACAAAAAATGTTATATAAAACAAAAAATAAATTAGAAAAGAATGACCATTTATAACCCAAATCATTATACTGTGTTAGCTTAGAATAAACCAGCTTATTGTTAATTTCACTACAGTTTTGTAGTTCAGAAACAAAATTGTGCAAACTTGAAAGTTGATATAATATTGTACACACTTGCAGAAATATGCTTAAAGGGTCCCCTGAATTACTCGGCTCACTGACCCTATCTACCAAGTGTGCAATTCCTTGCACTTCAAGGGTCCCCTGATTCATTATAATACTATCTTTACCCTGATACGCTTCTCTGTAGCACATTGAAGTTGCAGTGATGAGAAGTGAGCAACATAACTGATGTGAAAAACAATCTTTGAAGCAGTTTGTGTATTTTGAAAAAAAAATAGCTCAATTGTTACAGAAATTTTTGAGTTTTTGAAGTGTACATAAACAACGACATTTTTATATAATTATAGATTTAATACACTAGCAACTTAAAGCTAATGGGTCTGTATTATTAAACTTATGTTTTTCAATGTTTATCAAGACCATTTAAAAAAAAAATTGGGGTACTCATCAAAGTTTCTGGGAAGTGTTCCACCAGAAAAAATGATTTCTGGGATTGCTAGTGCACCATACATGTATACAGTACACCAATACTGTCCATTAAATATTGAAATCCTCAAACTTCCTCTGATTTAAAGCATTTCTACATGCTTCAGAGATCTTCTGATTGACTTAAGCACACCAAAACAATCCATTATATATTTGTTACAATACTTACAATTTTAAAGAAAACGCCAAAGTAATTAGAATAAGATAGAGTAGTAAAATCACGTACATAGTTTTAGTTTTGTGTATTGGCATTTAACCAACTACTCTAGTCATAAAAAAAAATACTTCACCGTCCACAACAGCTAGGTATGTTCAAATCGTAGTTTTTCGTTCGCCCAGTGGCCTCTTTTTTCAGTATACAGCTGGACACTTTTTCAACTTTCCCTCTGTATGAGATTGTTCTCCTTGCCTCTACACCATAAATAGGGGCAAGGTTATTGCAGTCAACATGAGACATATATTTCATACTTGTCTACAGATCATAGATAAATTACGCACAGACACAGAACAAATGATCAACCCACTACTCTTGCTTACAATTTGTATAGCTAATTAAGTGTATCGTGTATTTGTTGTTGCAGTAAGATTTAGAAATATTATATATTGCTGTGACACTTTTTTAACTACACATTCCCCCCAATTATGCCAATGTAGTTATAAGCATATTTCTTTGCAAATTCAACGTTACACGTATGATTTAAAGTTGTATTTAGAAAGACAAAAAGTGATAAAATTTTATGATCCTTTAATAAGTGGGACAATTTATGAAATGGAGTTGTTAATTTACATATTATTTTTACATACATTTTGTAAAAGATATGTGTTCTAAACACATATATACTTTTATCTGATAGTATTTTTTTAATAGAACATTTTATATATTAATGAAACGAATATTAACCATTTATTCATAATTATTTTATCGTGATATTCGTCAGATCATCATTATATTCATATTGACACAATCGTTGACTAGGTATGTTCTTACAAGGGTAATAAAAAGTAAAGTAGTTTTCGATTCGATAAAAAAACTTTTTTTCCTCAATATTTAATATAAGGTTCAAAATTTTTTTTGTAATTCGAACTACCTACTCCATGCAATTGTTATAGAACCACCATGTTTAGGGGAATAGTTGACTTTTCCCGGCTATTAGTACCCGAGACGGCGTGCGGTTTTAGTCGGTTCGAGTTTAGACGGAAAAAAAAAAAAAAAAAAAAGGGGAATAGTTGACTTTGTATGCCAAACAAAAAATATTTGTTTGGCATAACGGGTTATCGTCTGCGGTACTTCCGGACCGATACGACCTTCAAGAACGGCAACGCGCTTGTGACTCCCGAGTTGCAGGCGTTAATGGGCGGCGGTAGTGGCTTTCAGCCATCAGGTAACCCGCAAGGGGCACCTGATGGCAAGTGACTACCGTCGCCCATGAACGCATCTCAGGAGTCAACAATCGCATTGTCGGCCTTGAAGGAAGGAGTACCTACGCTTTTTTCTTGAAGGTTTGAAAATCGTATCGGTCCGGCAATTTAATATTTATGTAGGTACTTAAAATAGTTAAAAAATATATTTCGATAACAGTTTTAATTACTTGTCATATAACATACAAAAGCATAGATACAATAAATACTATGTAAAACTATTAAGTTCCAAATGATAAGTTTTCTTCGTGATTTTCGGAATTGGTTGATTCTTCTAAATTAACCGCACTGAAAAGAGAAATAAGAATAAAATATATTAAACACAATGAAATAAGTATATAAACAAGTACCTACCTATTTATATGAAAATTAAGCCTTGATGTCTTTCAATTTTTTTTTATGATATCACTGTTAATTAGAAAATCCGGATGACTTTAAAGGCATTGCTTTCTAATACAAAACAAACTACATAATTTACTCACACATTTTGAGAGAAATTTGGGATAAAGAACATATTTTATACAGCCGGCATATTTAATAGGTATTCCTTTTTTTAACAACAATTAAAAGAATCTACATTACATTCAATGTAAAATAAAATAAAAACAATAAAAATATTTTTTTATTTGTTTTCAAGGCCGGTTTTAGTTGTTTCGGACACTGTTTAAAAAAATATTTATTACAGAATAAATATTGAAGTCTTTATTTATGTGACCGTTAAAAGTACTAATGAAATAACCAAAGCGATAAAGACCAGTAATATGGTTCGGTAGCGGTGCCTGAGAAAAACCGGATATATACCTCCTCCCATATCATGTCATAAATCAAAAACCATTCGAATTGGGGGTTTCGAATTGTCCTTTATACTTTACGAATAAAGTTTACTAATCGTGAAAACCATATACATGTGCAAAGCATTAAAATCTATCGAAATACCAACCATAAGGATTGTTGACAATCAGAAAAAAGCAGTACCGAATCTCTTAACCTTACTATTCGGCTTTTATATTAATTTTGCTATCATGGGCATTTTATCTATTGTTCAAAACTCAGAACACAAAAGCTGTACCCTGGCAAGCTTCGCTGAGGCACAAAACCCAAATGCAAAAAGGTAAGACATGTTTTTATATATTAATGATAGGTAAATATACGGTTTATTCCAAGTAGTTCGCTAAATCCAGTTCCACACGGTACTGATGTAACCTTAAAAAATCGATTTTTGTACCATTTGTTCCATGATTGAATCAGTTGTCGATATTACTAATATTGACAGGTTGCTTGATGCCTGTATGCGATCGGTAAAAATAAACGAAGGTCGGATCGGAATCACCTTGCGCCTATTTTTTTATATTATTATGTTTATGTGATGACTATTGTAAAAAATAGGTCCACTTGTAAACTTCCACAGTATTTAATTTCTTTTTTTATATTCGTGATCATCGTCATTTATAGACACAAACACGTTTATAGGGAAATTTCATTAAGGTCGTTATCTGTATGGCGTTTTGACCACCATAAAAATAGGCGCAAGGTGATTACGACCCGATCTTCGTTGCTTTTTACCGATCTTCATCTAAAAAATAAGTACATATAATGTCATCTCAATGGTGGAAATGAGACCATATCAATGCGGTTTCGTTTTCACCATTAATGGTGCAGACGAAACTAATTAGTCTCCTCTTCACCAATGATGGTGCAGGTCAATGGTCCAAGCGGTACCAGAGGGATTTTCATTTCCCAAACACCTTTACGATGCTACATTAGTTCCTTGAATGAACATCATGTAGGTACAAATGCCTGCATCTTTTGTTTACCTATGCATATTATTCACCATTTATGCTTGTGACTGTGATTTATAGAACTTTTATTTAATAATGTATCTTGGGGCTGATTTCATCTTTTTATAAAGTATTAGCTTTTTTGCCCTGCCACATTTGCTTAAGAAATAACCTATATATAATGATTACCATTTATCTTAAGAGGGAAAAAATCCTTTTTAAATACTCACAGCTGTTAATATTTATGCTGATCATTACAGACACGTAGATTGTGATAGAGATCATCGATTTCTAATATCAAATCAGTAGGCAATCGAAATAAATAATCCAAATATAATAAGAACATTAAGAACTAACTGCGGTTCAAGCGGCGTTGGTGAACCCAAGCCACGAGTCGGTGGGACGTCCGTGTATAAGACTCTATTCTTTCCCGCAGTTTCACTCGCGTTTATTGGCACGGCTCCACTCCTAAGGGTCATCGAGAATGAATATTTAACACTACGCTACGACGTAATGTTAATATTCTTTCTCGAGAATTAAAATTAAAATATTTTGTTCAAATACGTTGAGTCCTTCTAAGGGTTAACGCAATTAACCAAAGAAACAGCTTCACTTTTAATATAGGACTTTAGTTAGGCTATACTACCACTACAAAAAAGGACTGCTACTGGCTTTCAAAAACTACACCTACTACATCTTCGAAACCAATAGCACCTAAAACTTTGTGAGTTTAGCACAGCATTAAGAAAATAAGCCGATTGATACAGCGACTTATTATCAAACAATATACATATTCCAATAAAAGTCTTCATTTTTTTTTTTCAAAAGTCGAAGCAATTTAGTGGTTCATAGAAAATTTGACATTGTTTCACTGCCAACAATATAAAATCGATTGTTATTAAGACTTCATAATTAGTTAAGTATAAATACCTGATTCTATTAACAATGTCACTGATGACATCAGCCTGGACAGTCTCGATTTCCATAAGTACACTATCATCACTATCACTAATTTCTATAACTTGATTATCCACTTCAATAACTTCGACCTCATCAGATTCATCACTATCGGTCTGTATCGGTATAGCAGTTGCGTTATAAGTCTTTATGCCTGCTATTCCTAAAACAAAAATTAAACATCAGCTATTACCTGCTTTTCTTTGACATGTTTAAGATGGATGCAGATTCAAACCTGACTTAGTGAACATCTGGTATGAATACTCTTAACCTAGTGTCATTAAGCTTAGTATATAGTTAGTATAAATTCATTTAGCTGGTACATTTGAGTTTTGAAAACAGTCATTTATTTGTTTTTTCCTCATTATTTTTTCTTTGGTGTCGCTTATTACCGCACAATGGAAATCATAAAATATCGGTATATTTACGAGTACGAGTTCTACCGTGGCACCAGTGCTGCAGAAACAGCTCGAAGGATTAATGATGTGTACGGCGCTGGTGTCGCAAAAGAAAGCAAGGTACGTTTTTGGTTTCAACGTTTTCGTTTTGGAAATTTCGACCTTCAGAACCAACCCCGTGGACGGCCGGAGACCAAAGTGGAAAATGAAGAATTAAAGGCTATTGTGGAAGCGGATCCATCAAAAAGAATTTCAGAGATAGCTGCAGGCTTCGGGGTAAGTGATAAAACTATGATAGCATTAATCCACTTGAAGCAAATCGGGAAAGTAAAAATACTTGAACGATGGGTACCTCATGAATTGAGTGAATGGAACTTGCAAACACGCGTCGACTGCTGTGTTACTTTGCTCAACAGTCACAATAATAAAGGGCTTATAAATCGAATCATTACTTGTGATGAAAAGTGGATACTGTACGATAATCGCTCGTCGCAATGGCTGAACCCTGGAGACTCACCCAAATCCTGCCCTAAACGAAAATTGACTCAGAACAAGTTACTTGTGAGTGTTTGGTGGACTAGCGCTGGTGTCGTTCACTACAGCTTTCTAAAATTTGGCCAAACATTACGGCAGATATCTATTGCCAGCATCTGCAAACCATGAAGGAAGAAATAGCTGCTAAACAACCGAGATTGGTCAATCGCTCTAGGCCACTGCTGCTTTACGACAACGCAAGACTACACACTGCACAACAAACAACCACTAAGTTAGATGAGCTACAATTGGAATGTCTGCGACATCCACCGTACTCCCCGGACCTTGCTCCACTAGATTAAGATTTTTTCCGGAATTTGGACAACTTCTTACAAGGAAAAAATTCAACTCCGATGCGGCAGTCCAAACCACCTTCAAAGAGTTTATTGAATCTCGCCCCCATGGTTTTTTTAGTAAAGGAACTACCTACGAGATGGAGAAAGTGCATAGATAACAACAGTGCATACTTTGATTAATTAAATATATTTTACAAAAACAAAAATGACTTTATATTCCACCCGTACAAAACGCCAATTTCATATGCAAGGACCTAATACTTAAGTATTACCTTTGGACGGGAACATTGGTGTATCACGACGTACACGACGACGCCTAGTTTGGTCACTTCGCCGGACTTGTGTCATGCTATGGAAATCTATGTTGTACAATGTCCCAGCAAGCAGTAGGGTACAAGCTGGATCACCAGCATTATAAGCCGTTTCTAATTCAGTGTTACTACGCTCGTCATATTTTCCACCAACCTAAAAGCAATACAATTCATCAAGCACATTTTTAACACGCTTTTTTTAGCATCATATGTATGTAAGGGAATCTTCGAACGTGAAATAAAACGTAAATTTAAACATTAATACAATAATTTGATAAATTTGGCCAATTATCCTGATCAGGGTCTTCAGAATTAACGGCTTTTTCCATACCTAAAAATACGGTAGTGTCTTTTGCTACGTAAAGAGGCGTATGCTGAAGCATATGTGACTTACTTACTTGTTTCTCCTTTAGTCTTAATAAGAAAATAATCATCATTAATAACTAAATACGCAAAAATAAATTTTAGTTTAAAAAACTAAAAAACACGTATTTTTACGATAAAATGATTTTGCTTTTTGAACTTATAGCAAACTATTTTCTACTTTTTAGTTCCCCTTGTTTTTAAGTTGCCCTTTTTCAATAAGACTGTAACTCAAAAGTCACAAGTGCGTTGCTGCACTTGAAATCCCTCCCACTCATGTCATTATTATATGTGTCCTCTTTTCTAAAGAGAGGCCTATGTCCAGCAGTGGACTATTAAAGGTTGTTGATGATGATTATATGGATAGGATTATATTATGTTTTTAGTAAATTTATACAAATATTGACAAATGCATGCTTTGAGGATGACATTAAGGTATTTCGTCTATCAAGATATAAAATTCTTTACTTACCATTTCTACCTTCATAAAACCATTGGTATATATCTTCTGTATCATTTGTATTAACTCCCCCAGTTGATAAACTCTCCAGTAATATAGGATTATCTAAGTAATTTTGAGGAATTTCAGCCCGGCACATGGCACATTTTCTACTTTGGAAAGCAATGCCCTGGTGAATAAATAATGAGTTAATAGTCAAATAAAACTTCAAATCAGTCTATGAATGGCAGACAAATCAAAAGCAGTCTAATTTAAATAAATCTGATCTGATGATCTGATAAATTATAAATCTGATAAATGCATAATTGAAAATGTAATCGGTAGGAAAATAAATGACAAAGTTAATAAAAAAATAATATAAATTCACTCCTACTAATTAATTGTTTAGATCTTCTGAGTCATACAGGGAAATCAATTTACTGCATCGCTGTACAATAACATCATCAGTTAGTAGCCCCGTGTTTCACCCAGGTAGAGAAGATGTTAGACTGTTTAAATGTATAATTATGTGATCACTTTCCTTGTGTGTACTTAAATTTATTAAAAAGAATGTAACAGTTCAAGTTTTCAACTATTTCTAATCAGTAATAGCATAAAAAAAAGTTGTTTACCTTGACACAAAGGAAACAAAAAACATGTCCACATGGTAATTTGGTAGGGTGGTTGCATTTTTGTAAACAAACTGCACAGTCCGAATCTAAAAGGAAATTCATATAAAAATATTTCAAAGTAGGCTACAGTTTGCAAGACTGTAATTTTTTTTTTTTTTACTAATTATTTTATAACTTAATGCTGATCAAAAAGAGTAAAAGATAATAGAGGACTATTTGAGTTCATCTATGTGGCAACCATTAAAAGCTGTTGTGCACTGTTGCATTATTTAATGTTTTGACATAAAACTTTTTTACTAAATCACATACATTTTGGGGACTATTTACCTGATTTGAGAGTCTCATTCATCGTTTCTTCGCTCTTACTTATAAATTAAAGTAGGCAAGTCAGTGTCTTTTTCAAAAAGACTTTATGTGGATCATTTTAAAGTTCGCCTCAAGAACAACATAAAATCCAGTCATAAGAATAATCATAATCAGAAGTTTTGACGGCTTGACGCAAACTAAAGGATGACAATTGAGTATTGTATTGACGTATTGACAGTCAAATGTGTCAGTGCCTGTGAGTAAGTAAACGAGTCACTTTAAGACATAATTATTACAGCCTGGTCGTGAAATAAAATGAAAACTAATAGAAATAATTTCTTATCATCTAGTGTATCGTTACTATATTTTTATATACCGGCCTTTTGTACCACATTTTACGCAAAATAAAATTATTATTATTATAATTTTAGAACGTCCAAGTGATACCGTGATATTTTTAAAGTTTTTTTGATTTTGTGTTAAAACTAAAAGGCCATAAAAAACTGGTTGCAACACTGTATTTAAATATTTTAATCACAGAGTATAGTAATATTATTATTTGAATTACCTATAATGTATATTTTTTATAACATTCAACATTTAGTTGTCAACATCCTTTCTCCTTTCTAAGGAGAGGCCTGTGTCCAACAGTGGACTACTAAAGGCTGTTGATGATGTCTTGGAGATATTTTGAATAAAATTATTTAAAATTGCCCGTAACATTGATTTCAGGGAAGTATAGCAGAAGGAAGCTTCAAAGTCTCGAGTATCTATATGATGTATCTGTGTGATCTTACCAAAATTAGTCTCAAAATAATATAGGGTTTTAATTTAAGGCAATTAATAAAGCTGATATGGCACAAGCTCTGCCTAATTTGGGATCAGACGTGTGTGAGATGTGTGGAGTGATCATTACAATTAGCTAATTAACAGCTTTGTTTTATAATTATCAAAAAATATTCTTATACTATATTTTGTAACTATATTTGTTGTATTATTTACAGATTTTTCACCTGATAACTAATTATTTGTTGTATACTATATTTGTTTTACCTACCTACATTGAAGCCTTCCCACATTTATAATAATAATAATAACCTCATACATCTCACGCACGGCTGTCTGATCTCAAACTACTGCCTAGTTTGAGATCAGACAGCCGTACCATGGTAACCAGACTGCTGATAAACATACTTATATATTTCTGAATACATGCATATTATAGATAAACTAGCGACCCGCCCCGGTTTCGCACGGGTGCAATGCTGATACTAAATATACTACAGAATGTCTTTATATACAACTTTCACAGCTTTTTTGTCATTAGAAAATACAAACATGTTTTCTTTAGAGGTTACTATTGAAAGAGCGACATATAATTGGCCATGTGAAAAACACTTAACGCTCAATTCTAAGCCTGCAGCGTTCAAAGTTTGACCCTGCCATTTATTAATGGTCATTGCAAAAGATATCTTTACCGGAAATTGTAGGCGTTTAAATTGGAACAGTAAATCCGATGGTATCAGAGGAATTCGGGGAATCAATACATCTTCTCCAGTACCACATCCGGTGAGTATTGTACACTCTATAATGAAAGTTGTTAGTGATCCATATCCTGGCTGCGGTGAGCCTCACGCTCTACTGAGGATTCTCTTTCTCTCTCAACTCTATATCTATCCCGAAGCTAGCTGAGGCGAGCCTCAGCTTCCGTCGACGATTCTTCATCTCTTGCTGAACGCGCTCTTCTGGCATTCACTGTACTATGTTCGAACGACGACGTCTACCAGACATGACTTTATAATTACTGTAATTTACTCAGTTCTTGTTTGAACTCACACCTTAAAACTATACGTCGATTTTCGATAATTATAAATACTTACGAAATAATTGCCCTAATACCAAATTGCCTTAACTCTAAATTCAAACCAAGATCTTAATAGAAGAAATCCAATTGATAAATTGTGGTTTTAATCAAATTCTATCTAACCTAATGTACTCACTATAAGTGCGGTTTAAAAATAACCTTAATACCGACTAAAGTACGAACATGCAATTTCGCAAAAAAAAAAAAAAATTGACTTGAGTATGAACCTGGAGTGCATCAGTTGCCCGCCTTAAGAAATACAGTCTCTCAATAAGAAAAGGAAAGTGAAGCCTTAAAAGCCAGACAAAGCCAAACTACATGTACGTAGAGTATTCTAAGGGAACTGGCAAAGAACAAAAAACGATGAGCGAATATTATACGGTATTGATGAGTGTCAGCTACAAACAGGGGTTCACCAAGCCTTGGTGAACGTCCCAGATTCGGCGCCTCCAGTCGCCGTAATTCGTCTCGGTAAACCCAGTAGTAGTCTTCGTCTCGGTAGTCTTCGTCTCGGTAGTCTTCGCGGCGTCGAATCAAGGCCATATTTTCCAATAGAAACCCAGTTTTGAATGTGTTAAAAACCGTAAAAAGCTAACATCCAATATATCAGCAAAGAATGATCTAAGAACCTATCACCGTACACCTAAAACCACGAGAAGAACTAAATCAAAGACTGGAGAATGGAGAAACAGACTTAACAAACCAACTTTTATTAAAATATATATATATATATATATATAGTACCTTGGTTGACATCAAAGGCTACACTTTATTGAGAAATCACACTCATACTAAACAATACACCCAAACAGGTGAACCTTCTTTTTTTTCAGACTCAGACAAGCTGCTATTTGGGCTCAATATGGTAGATTTAAACCTTCCCGGTTTAAGATGGCCACTGTACAACGGTGATGCGGACAAACACACTTTGCTTTATAGTCAATTTGTAGGCTTGTATGTAAACAGTAACTTAAACCAACTTGTTACAAGTATAACTAGAAAGAGAATTACTACTGCATTTAATACTGCATAATGAAGAAAACGATTGCTCAAAACTGGAACACCACCCCAACATAGAGAACAGTGGTACTAAGTAGGGACAGCGCAAGTTAGAACCCAATCGACTAGCAAACTTGCTACTCAACAACCACGTTGAAACTACTTTAAAGCTAATTATGAGAATATAGTCCAAACGCTTGCTGACAACAACATGGAAGATACAAAAGTTACTAAAGTTGAGCTTTCCTGGACATACTTTACAAGGAAAACACACAATGTCATTGAAACTCACATACCACTTAAAAATAATTTGCAACATTAATAAACCATTTTTTCTAATGGTTCTTATGAAACATAAAAAATGCCATGAAATATAATAAAGTAAACAATCAACTAACAACTATTGTCAGAAATCGAAGAATGTATTTCGAAAAAGGAATTGTAAAATCTGGACCCAAATCATTATATTCTGACATGCGCCAATAACTAACTTCAACGGTATGTGTGGCACCATCGTTAAAGGATGAAAGAGGGAATATTACCTACTATTTATCGAAAAATAGTAGCGGACTTGTTCGCCTTACAAATTGAAAAATCATTTATTGTGGAGCCAGCTTATTCACATGTCCCAAAGTACAAATTCTTCGAGTTGAAAATTCCATACAGTTACTCACTACATCACATCACATCAACAGCCTATACTAGTCCACTGCTGGACATAGGCCTCTCCTTAGAAAGGAGGTTTTGGACCGGGCACGTTCCAGCCTGCAGATATTAAAATTTCAAAATAATAAAAATCTCATTTTATAGATCTCAATTAGCCCTTTCGACCTACGTTAGTTAATTTATAAGCCCGTTTTTCGTTTTCCCCGGAAAAATAGAAATATAATTTTCAATTTTCCTCTACTTAAAATAGCCATATCTCTTTGAAAAATGATTATTTTTTACTCTACCAAGCGTGAAAAAATTGCCCTTGCGCTAATTTAATTTGCCCGCGTGCTAATTCCTAAAAATATTCAATAATTATTATTGTAAACAATAAAAAACCGTCGTGGCATTTCCAAGCCAATTATTTGCGCATTGCGCATGCGCGACAGAATAAAGGTGATACTCACATCATCAACTGCAGATCAGCTGATGCTACACGAACGGAAGGACTTTAAAAGTTATTATATTACTGTTTCGGGAAGTTTTTCAGTACTATTGGATTCATTATTATGTGCCTTTGGTAGTTTGATGTGTATGTTTAGCGCAAGAAATTTATAATTAAAATTTTCAAGAATTGAAACAAAGAAATAAACCAAAAAACATAGCTATTTTATTAATAAATATTTACATTTCTTTCTTTGTTTAAAAATGTATGTATGCTTAAATAGGCCCAATCAACACGTACTATATAATATTGGAGCAAATCAGCAGAAAGATGTAATCATCTTTATTCTGTCGCGCATGCGCAATTGCTTGGAAATGCCACGACAGTTTTTTATTGTTTACAATAATAATTATTGAATATTTTTAAGAATTAGCATGCGGGCAAATTAAATTAGCGCAAGGGCAATTTTTTCACACTTGGTAGAGTAAAAAATAATCATTTTTCAAAGAGATATGGCTATTTCAAGTAGAGGAAAATTGAAATTTATATTTCTATTTTTCCTGGGAAAACGAAAAACGGGCTTATAAATTAATTAACGTAGGTCGAAAGGGCTAATTGAGATCTATAAAATGAGATTTTTTTTATTTTGAAATTTTAATATCTGCAGGCTGGAACGTGCCCGGTAGGTTTTGGCCTACTATACCACGCTGGCCAGACGGGTTGGTATAGGGTTTGTTTCAAGTTTTCCTTCTCTTTGCAGTGCTGTTGTCCTGCTTAGTTTGCTCCCTTAGTCGGCTCTTACGACACCCACGGGATGAATTGGGTTGGTGACAATTTGTATTCTTAATCCGTCACCACACGGACACTCACTCACTACACATCAGACAAATTGAGTAAGGCCCTAAGTGATTCTACTTCGGTGGCGCAGTTGTAGGGTATGCGACTGCTGTGCCGAGGATCGGACCAATCGGTTTGTATGATCTGCAAATTATGCATCTCCCGGCTAATCACTAATTATGCAATAAACAATCCTAAATAATTTTTTTTTAAGAAACATGTAGTTTTTTGTAACACGTACATATCCGTAGTAAACTTGGAAATAATATCCTATATATTTTAAAAGACAGCACAATGTACTGGGTGATCGCTTTTTTGTAACCACCTAAACATGGTCGGGTTACCACGGTCTTGCACCTTCTAATGACTTTTATTTAATTATCTCGTAAATAGTAATATAGTAGGCCAAAACCTCCTTTCTAAGGAGAGGCCTATGTTCACCAGTGGACTATTACAGGCTGTTGATGATGATGATGATCTCGTAAATTATTATATGTACGACTCTGAAATTTTACAGGTAGACAACTGAACTAAACAACTAATTATTGGCATTGTGATCGTGAACGTGGAGAGCTACATTTCATCACAACTTTTTAGTCACTTACAATATACTTATGAAAGTTCGTATACATTTGAAGGCAGTTACAAGCAAAAGAATAACGTTTCAAGTAAGTATTTAGGGGTCTTATTCAAAGTGTTAGGAAGTATTGTGGTGTTTGCATACTTATTTAAATAATTTTAAACGGTCCATTTTTTTTTTCAAACAAATTAAAACTAATCCTTAAGAAGTTATGTACAAAAGATGGTTATAATCCGCTTACCCGTTTCAGAGATTCAGCGAACCCACAAACGTTACGACAGCAGGATCTCGAATAACTTCGCAGCCGAAGAAAATACAAATACCAAATAAGTTGTAACATTAACCTCGTCCAGATAACTAATTATTTAGCTAATATTTAGTTCAATATTCCAATTAAAAAAGAAAATGTCTGGCTACGGTAACGCTTCAAACGTTACCACAGCAGGAACTATTTTTTTTTAAATAACTAAAAAAAATTAAAAATGTGCCTAACAATTACACAAGGGCAACTAATTATCTATAACGGTTAAATGATAATTTTCGACATTATTTTGCTGGGGTAACGCACACGTTAGTCATTACAAATGAATTTTTCAAAATAAATGTTTTTTGGTGATAAATATTGATTTTCGATTGGTGATCTGGCAGGAATCGGGCCCCTATCGATTGAGGGGCCCTGGGCACATGCCCAGAGTGCCCAGTGGAAAAGAGGGGCCTGATAATGGTTGATAGTTGACTGTTTGCTCTCCTGTATTTGTTGTGTCCCGAATATAAACATTTTTTTTTAATTGGCTTGATAAACCTTTAAAAATACAAGTGTAATGATATACACGCATCAGCCTTAAACTGCTAATTTAGTAAATATAATAAAAATATTACATTACGAAATGGAAGAAAATTTTAGATGCGGACGGACAATGGTTGAAAGTTGTCCAATAATGTTTTTTTTTACTTTTTAAACATTTCCAGTATCTATGAACCAAATATTTTCAGATAAACTTCCTAAGAACAATTATTATGATTAGTATTATTTTTTTTTAATAACTGCAATTTCGAAGATTTTTTTTAATTTAGCATATGTAAGGCCGAATACGAACAAAACTTTTGCTACCAAAGCCCACTTAAGAAATAAATTGACAAGATTCAAATTGTCTCTGACGCGTCACATATGGATGACGATTATGTTTACTAAATATAAAGAAAAATTGAAGCATTACCTACTATTGATTTCATAGAGATATAAGCATAGAGTGATCACGATCACTCGATCACGATCGCAATCTTGCAATATAGGCAACGAGGGAGATAGATAATTCCCTCTATCTCTTTCTAGTCGAGCTCTGGCTGGGGATATTTCTCATCTCCCACTTCTTCTACGATCAAAACAGTGCCCACTTCACGATAGTCGATCGCAGCTTACCTAAACAGAGAGAGGGAATTATCGGGCATTCATCTCTCTCGTTGCCTGTATCGCTTTCTTGCCTTAGACAACAAATTAGTCCTGTTTCTAAACCACTTAATGTTTTTGACGTGACAACGTCTTATAATTCGATGGAGCCGGCTGCACGCACGAAAAAACATGACTCATGCGGCGTTACCTCGCTCTGAGGCGTTCCATTTAAGGCTTGAAGTGCAAGCGTGAGCGCCGAACGAGCGACAAAGAGGCACAATCGGCCTCCGCGTTCGACATCTGTCTCTCTCCTACTTGAGTGAGCGATGCGTCCGCTTGGACAGCTGCTATACAATAATACATTTACATGTTTTCGTCAAGTGCAGTGAAAAGTGAATGTGGTGTCTTATGACGTTGTCACGTTCAACTATCGTCAGTAAACCGACTTTACAGACAGCCGATTTTTGTTCATATTTTGTAAATCGTCTAAAAATTTAGCGCAGGTTATATTTATAAAACATTTTATAGCTTTTAGAATTCGCTGTATACTTATTATTAATTAATTTATTAATAAATATTATTATACCGTCACACTCGAATTCACGAAAACGTCGCGTGTAGTAGTACCCGCATTATTCTTATTTGAAGCACCACCCACTGAACTGTACGGACAAGGCAGTCAAACGATTCTAAATCGTTTGCAATTGTTGCCCCAAACCAGAGATAAGGATGCGTGTCAGAACCTTTACGACTGTTATGCCTTCTACGTTCAAACAATGTATAATTCCCAGTAAACAATTGACTATAAAATGAAGTCATATATAGATCACTCAGAGGACACATAGCCTTTTTACGTAAGTATGACACAACTGTGACTATGATTGATTACTTTAATTTAATGTCATGCGTCATGCATGACATCACTATGATTATATTGACATTAACCGTTAATGTCAATATAATTTTACAGGCTGGCTTCTACCCCAGCCTGTAAATCTATACTAATATTATAAAGCTGAAGAGTTTGTTTGTTCGTTTGAACGCGCTAATCTCAGGAACTACTGGTCCGATTTGAAAAATTCTTTCAGTGTTAGATAGCCCATTTATCGAGGAAGGCTATAGGCTATATATCATCACGCTAAGACCAATAGGAGCGGAGCACCAATGAAGAATGTTTCAAAAACGGAGAAAATTTATTACTATTGAGAGACGCAGACGAAGTTGCGCGGGTCAGCTAGTTTGTGATATAAAGAAAAAATACCAATCGACGTATCTTAAATAGCACTTTCCAAAATTATTTATTATTAAAACAGCACCCTCTTAGTTTACGAGTAAAAAATAAATAAAGATACTACCTGCTACACCGTCTATATCACTTGAAATACTTCGAATTTCTTACTTTTTGCACAGTGGAAAAACTGCACCCTACTCGACTACGACGATGTATATAAGATATTATTTAGATAAAATATTATATAAATTTTTCCATGTACTTGCAATACTTTCCAGTTGTAAAGCGATTTTAAACTTAAAATAAGAACTCGCTACTTATCTTATGGCTACTTAGAGATGCGTGAATATTAGAAAATAGTACACTGTTCAACTTAAAAACATAGTCATCTGCACAATAATATGTTCCTAATTAATTAATAAAGACAAATAATTAAAGTGCCTTTTTGATTTGTTCTTCTGTTTGAATGGTACATTATTCAATAATTAGGTTCTTTGCCATATCTCCCTGGCAACGTGTGAGCAAACATTCAAGGCGGAGCATGATCAAGTGCAAATGGGACGAAGTGCTAATGTGACCAACTGCAAATGCAGGACGAAGTGTGCATAAGCCATGTAAACACAACATCTTTACATCCTTACATCAGTTTCTTTTGCTTTATTTTCATTGAAAAATTCATAATGACTGCCAGCACATGAAATATGAACAAATATTAATATTCATATATTAGAAGATAAATATTACTTATATGTATCTGTACAATTTAATTTCTAAGTAAAAATATAATGTAATGTATTTTTAAGTAAAAATCATGCAACATTCTAAAACTAACAATTTTTGATGTATGTGAAAGAGATATTTTAAAATAAAAAGTAATTGTAGTATTGAACATTTAATCCCCAGCTTATAAAATATTACAAAGTAATCTGGAATGAAATTGAATTACAGAAAATAATCAGGAATTAAAGAATATTATTAAATTTACTTTCACTTATCTAATTGAATTAAGTAGAAAACACCTTGAATTTACTTGTCCTTTACTTTGATAAGATCATTTAGATCTAATGCTACACATATTTCCTTGGAGTCTGTACGAGGATTACGATCAAGTATTTCAGTGATGGGATAATAATTGTCTCTGTTGTCCACATTCCATCCAGAGTACTGAAAAAATCAAAACATGTTTTAACATAGCATTCTTTCTATCACACCTAATGACTTATTTCAATTAATTTATAATTCAATACCTATATTAGTGTTGTTTTGCATAAGCAACAAACTTAATATTTATAATATGTTTATGATAAGTTCTAAATATTGTTCTAACAGCTACAATAATGTTAAAACGATCTAGAATTTTAATTTTTTCATTATATATTAACACAATCTCTATTTAAAAATAAAAGAAACTTACCACACATGTGCATTTGTGCAAAACTTTTCCATTTGATTCCATTGGGATAAACTTCTGCAGCAATGCTTTACCATCTATTTTCCACAAATTCAATTCATCCAGCTTTGAAATTACTGTGTCCCCATCCCACTTCACATCAGATTTTAACAAGACAAAGTTTCCAGACTGTAAAAGTAACAAATAAAATTTACTACAAAAATCACATTAATTATTAATTACCTTAACATTGTAATGTTATTATGCACAGCTATTAGGTCTTTGCCGCTTGACCGTCTAAGTTGTGACATCTGTCGAAAGATGTTGTGTTCTATCAGGAACTATATATATATATATATATATATATATTTCCAATTATTAAATTTTCAATTTTACTATTATGGATATGCTTTTATGATAGTGAAATTGGAATTTTAAAATCATTGTTTACATTTTAAAACAATGTGTTAGATATTCCACTTGGCGTAGCGGGAATCACTATACAGTTCAAAACAATTTATTGAAATTAATTTTGGTTACAAATAATAAAGAACATAATTGCATTTTTAATTATAGAATTTACATATGGATAAATAATAAACATTGTTCAATAAACACTTGATTGTTTAGCTACATAATATGCAATAGAAACATAGGTGAAGTTAGATTTTTTTTAATGTACCTATTACAAAACTGACTAACTTACATGGAAATGCTTTGGTACATCTTTAGATTGACTTGAGTCAGACTTGTTTCCATCAGACCCATTTTTTTCATCATCAGAACCTTCCTCTTCATCAAGGTCTCCTTCTTCATCTTCTGCTTCTTCATCTTCTTCGCCTTCACCTTCTCCTTCTCCCTCACTTTCCTCTGATGACGAATTTTTGCGTTTCTTCTTCGTATTATTCATAGAGGGCTTTGAAGTTCGTTTACGAGTGCCGCGGCCAGGCTGCTCATTCTGAAAGATGCATTCTTTTTATTGTGTAAAAATAGTTATAAAGTTTACTACGAGTTTCAATTGCAAGAACTCAGAATTTAAGTTAGAGCGCAGTAGTCGAACGAACTTAACCTAACATAATAATGTCCTGACGGAAGAAATTTGATTCATGATAGAAACAATAAAAATTTAGATTGAATACTACAACTACAAACTCTCCAATACAGAATGAAGAGGTAGATACAATCAAAGAATAAAATGTATTCTATACGCATTAACAGCCAAAATTCAACACTTACCGAATCGGCATCCGGCGTCCAATCTTCACCAGAATCCTGAAATTCTTCTGGCTCAGCCCCGGGTTCGGAGCCATCAGATTCGTCATCATTTTTCTTAACAGATTTTCGCTTACGCATATTGCTTATAATTATCAAGAATTGACAAGAAAGAAAATTTCACAACCCACGCCAAAGCCTCTAAAAGGCAAGCAACAAGCAAACGAAAACGAACGAAAAGCGCTAGAGCGCTAGTATCGCAGCTAGCGGCAAAATCAAACGACCATTGAACTAGTGTTGATAAACAACTTACTTTCTAGGTACGTTGTATCATCGATTCCCTTTACCGAAATAATACTAATTGTAAGGTTTGTTCAAGAGGACACTATTCATATTAATTCATATAAAACTACTGAATACTTTTAATATCAGCTTTTTGTACAAACATTTTTATATTTCTTCTCGATAGAAGAGTTTTGCAAGTCACAACACTACAATTTGTAAAACATTTTATTTTTTCAGAAATAAAGATATTTACTGTTTAATAAAATATTGCTGTACTTTTTGCTCGTGTGACGCATATTAAAAGGAATCAAATGTCTGTCCAGTTCATCATCAGCCTATCGCAGTCCACTGCTGGACATAGGCCTCTCCCATTGCACTCCACTTAGATCGATTTTTGGCTTCTCGCATCCAGCTCCTGCCAACCACCTTGCGCAAATCGTCACTCCACCTGGCCTGTGGGCGTCCTACACTACACTACACCGAGACGCGGTCTCCACTCAAGAACTCGTTTTCCCCAACGGTTGTCGGTTCTGCGGGTAATATGGCCTGCCCACTGCCACTTCAGCTTGCTGATCCGGTAGGCTATGTCGGTGACCTTGGTTCTCTGCCAGATCACCTCATTCCTGATGCGATCCCTTAGAGAATCGCAATCGGTTCTGGTAGTACATGTTCGTTGAACATGACCTTGGTTTTATCCAAGTTCATCCGTAGGCCGATGCGTACAGAAGAGTCAGCTAGGTCATTTAGCATCTGCTGTAGGTGCAACGTCTCTGCCATGATGACGATGTCGTCTGAAAATCGCAAGTGAGAGATGTATTCGCCATTGATATTGATGCCACGCCCTTTCCAGTGCAGTCTTGAACATGTCCTCTATTGTATTTGTGAACAATTTCGGGGAAATAACGGCCCCTTGTCTGAATCCTCGATGCAATATCCGCACTAAAACCCAGCTTGCTCCGGTGGTTGGAATTCGTCGAGTCTTTGCGCAAGACAGTTAGTGATGACTCTCGAAAACAGCTTGTAGACGTGGCTTAGAAGGAATATGGGTAGACAGTTCTTCACAAATGTCTTCTGTTCTGACCGTGTGGTGACGGATTAAGAATACAAATTGTCACCACCCCAATTCATCCCGTGGGTGTCGTAAGAGCCGACTAAGGGAGCAAACTAAGCAGGACAACAGCACTGAAAAGAGAAGGAAAACTTGAAACAAACCCTTTACCAACCCGATGGTTTTGGCCTACTATACCACGCTGGCCAGACGCCAGCGTGGTATAGTAGGCCAAAACCTCCTTTCTAAGGAGAGGCCTATGTCCAGCAGTGGACTAGTATAGGCTGTTGATGATTATGATGAGTTCTTCACAATGGTCTTGTCACACTTTTTGAAGAACAAGACGACCACACTCCTACTCCACGCTTCCGGAGTTGTCCCTTCAAAGTTTTGTTTGTTTTGGCTTCTTCCAAGAGATTGTACACTAACTTTTGACCCCCGATTTTGCTCGATCGCTCTTTCAATTGAAAGAGTATTGAAGCACCAGAGGTCGTGTCGTACGAGTTTACTGATCTCTCGGTTTAGATACCGGTTGCCGACAAAGTGACAGGTGGGTTTTCACATCGTTTCTTCATTAGCCCTTGGGTCCTTTCTGAAAGCTTCGACTTCCTGCCCTTACGCTGCATTTCACAAAATCTCGTACTTCCTTCGCGATGATCCGAACCACATTTTCGAGGTTCTGGGTTACGTCGATTGTGGTTTCCACGGCAGCGAATCGGTTTGCCAGTCTTGACTGGAACGTTTCAGATCTTATCATGGCTTGGAGCAGAGTCGGTCGGAGCCTGGATTTCATCAAACAGACACGTTCAGCCTTAAAGTTGATTTACAAAGAGCCCCGGACAAGTCGGTGATCACTACCGGTATTAAACCTATTGATTACTGAGACGTCTCTGTATATGTGCTTTCTATCCGTCATGATAAAATCGATCTCATTTCTGGTCATAGCGTCGGAGCTTTGAGAAGTCCATTTCCTTTGGGGCTGTTACTTGAAGAAGGAGTTCATTAAAAAGAGCTCCACCCGTTCGAGGAAGTTGACCAGCAATTTCCCCCTATGATTTCTGCTTAAAATCCATGGGATCCTACTATACTACGATTCGCCGCAATTCTGTACTCCCACTTTAGCGTTGAAGTCACCCATAACAACGTTGTAGTGGGTATTAATTGTGAAGTGGAGGGCCCTCGATATGTCATCGTACATATCCTCCACCTCGTCGTCCGAGTGTGCCGAGGTCGGTGCATACACTTGTACAACCTTGAGGCTATACCTCTCGGTTAGCTTGATAATGACGTACGCTACCCTGTTCGACACACTGGAAATTTCCACAACGTTGTCAGAAAGGGACTTTTTACCAGAAACCCAACGCCACCTTGGGATTGTTGGTCTCCCTCTCCCTCTTGTTGGAAGTACATTAGGTGGCCTGACTCGAGGGTTATGGTGTCCTCCCCCTCTCTTTGGACTTCACATAGCCCTAGGATGTGCCACCTAATCTTCCCAAGTTCCATCTCAAGTTGCGCCAGATGCGAGGCTAGCCGTAGCGTACGTCCGTTGTACGTAGCTATGGTCAGTCGGTTGTGGTGGCCTCCCGTAGCCCGGAGATTCTTCTTACCCCCTGCCCCGCCGTTACCGTGGTCGCTACCATGACCAGGAATAGCGGGGCCGCCGGGAACTAGGGGCCCTGGCCTTTTTTGCGTTTGCAGGGGGAGGGTTTGCACATAATCACCACGCTGTGCAGGCGGGTTGGCGATCGCAGGGCGTAGCTTGTCGCGTCCGTAACTATGCTGCCCGTCCCCGACCTGTTGTATTTAGCTACGCCTATTGGAATGGATATACCGCCATCGGTCGGTCGCCAGAGCCTCGTTCGTCGTTCAGCAGGATGCACCGCGGGCAGGTGAAGTTGGCTTGGGGCGAAAGATGGTGGTTCGCCCCTCACACCCCAGTTAGCCATTTAAAAAGTGGTAATTGTGCATTTATTAAATTTCATATAATTGATAAACAGTCAGAAAAATATAAGGCAAAAGGAATCAAGAGGTAATAATTAACATTTTTCATCAAATACTACTAACAGGTACGGTAATGAAATCATTTTTATGCATCTCTAATTTCAAAAACTAGAAGTTGAAGCTAAAATTGTAATACAATGCAATTGTACACCAAAATATACTTCTTATTTTTACTTCTTCAATAATTAATTAATCTAAAACCAAAGATAAGACAAAAACATGTGTCGGTAAATTTAGGTTACCAACGTGAAAAATTGAAAAAAGACGCTATGAAGATGAAGCTTGTCATATCAGCTGATTGCGTCATTGCTTTGTACTCATATAACGCAAAAACAAAAAACAAGTCGCAGTAGTTATCAGAACCGACATTACTGGTGATAGTTTCGCAAATTGTTGAGTGCACAACATTAAAAATGAAATTCCAATACAAAGAAGAACATTCTTTTGAAAAGAGAAAGACTGAAGGCGAGAAAATTCGCAGGAAGTATCCGGATCGTGTTCCCGTGATTGTCGAGAAAGCCCCGAAGGCTAGACTTGGAGACCTCGACAAGAAGAAGTATTTGGTACCATCTGATTTAACGGTTGGACAATTCTACTTTCTGATCAGGAAACGTATTCATCTGCGGCCTGAGGACGCGTTGTTCTTTTTCGTTAACAATGTGATTCCTCCTACATCTGCAACAATGGGCTCTCTGTATCAAGAGCATCATGACGAAGATTTCTTTCTCTACATAGCCTTTTCTGATGAAAATGTTTATGGATATTAACCTTTAATGATTTAAAATATTTTCATTACTTTAATTTACTAATATACTATGTTAAAATATCTGACCATATGGTGAAACTTAATTTTAAGGCTTAGTATATTGATGTACCTATTGTGTTATTATATTGGTGATTACAATTTATGAGCACCTACACCTTGTTTTATGATAATGCTATCGCTTGAATATGCAGCAAATATTGCAATGATTCTAATTCTTATTGGGTTTAGGCATATAATTATTCCTGTATCAAAACAATAAAATAAATACCACATATATGTTTGTCTTTAATTGAATCTGATTACATATTTTGTCCTTTGTAATTTTTTCGTCCATGTAGTTCAACAGAAACAAATATTCAGATATGTATTTGAATTGACAAACAAGTCCTTCATATGGCGACTCAGTACATCAGTAATATCCTGTTAGTAATATAGAGGAAGGTCTTTAGAAATTCAACCAAAATGAAGTTCAATTATTGTTTAATTAATATGCAATGAGTAGGTGTATTTGATTAATAGAGATTACAAGTATCCTGAATTTTATATTGACCAAGGGGTTCGAGATTTTGTAAAGTAAAATTGGGTATAGTAGTACCATTTTTATATTTACCCTTCTAACTAACGCATTCATTTGTTTCATCATCAACAACAGCCTTTAGTAATTCACTGATGGGCATAGGCCTCCTAAGGTTTTGGCTTACTATAGCATGCTGGCCAGACAGGTTTGATAAGGTTTCCTTCTGTAGTGTTGTTCTAATTTTAGGGCATTAACCCATTCTTTCTTATGGCTACCATGCATGCATGCATCTTATCTTTTATTGCTCCCTTAAGAAGTGATGTGCTTAATATTATGAAGCTTGGGAATTGTTACAATGGTGGGACTATTCTAATTCCCAATTTGTCCCATGCCCAATTTATGTTTGCCTGTTTATTTAGACAAGATTATATATGACATACATACTGTTGCTAAATGTTGATGAAATATGAGGCGGTGGTGATACCTATTTTGTTTTGTTTCCTAACTTTAATATTTTCAGGTTCATTGATAATTCATCATCTCAGCCGAAAGACGTCGACTGCTGAATATAGGCCTTTCTAGGGTACGCCGCAACAACAGGTACTATGCTGGCGCATCCATCCATGTTAATTATGTTAGTGATTTAGTGAAGTTGTATTTTCTGGCAAATTGTAGTGACATATCTCTAAGGATAATTTTAATATTTTTATTGTAAGCCATATTAAAAGTAACTGTTTCTGAAAATAGGTTCAAATGCCTTCTTAATGCAATATGTTATTGGTCAACCACGAAACAGTGACATAAAAAATCAACGAGTATTTTATTACATAAAAAAATGAAATGCATTGTAATGCCGTTTGTGTATTGAAGTTCCGTCAGGATCAAAGTAATACGCTTTTCGAAAAAGGGTGTAATAATCTGATGCTTTTATTTTCAAAGTTAAGTCACATTTATTTCTACTGAAAAAGAATTGGTATCTAAATATTACCAACATTACTACTTAGTATGTAAGACTTATCTTACTTTAATCCATACAAATGAAAACAGGTTTATAATACTATGAAAACAGGTTTATAATATTATGAAAACTTTCCACACACATTTGAATTTGGTTTAACTACTTTTATCTACCTGACATTATAGATAGACAAATCAAAAGCGTGTTGAAAAATAAACTACATATTTTTGAAAATGATTGGCTTTAAAATAAAAATAATACCAATTTTTATCTTAGATTTATTTCAGTAAAATAAATTTTACAAATGGAAGTATTTAATCATATTGTATTCCTCTTTCAGTAAAGCTCTAGCTTCCATTTCGGATTACAAAAGCGAACCAGAGGCTGTAAGATCGCACATCGATCGAGATCGCCTTTTGAAAAGAAATTTATGTTTGTACCTTTTTGAATTTATTACTAGTTTATGTATGCCATATTTTGAGACCAACAATACAAAAAACATTTAAGTGTATTTTATAGGGGTATCACAGTGACGTATATATCCAACAATGATTCAGCAAAATACCAATTGTCTAAATAATTACTATATGCTATTTTGTGTTTCAAGTTATTAATTTGCAATGAATAACATTATAATTTTATAGACGTGTCCTATACGCGGATTTTAATTGACCGGGTCGAAAGTAGCGGAACATTGCGTGTCGCAACAAAATAATAACTCTGCGTCAACGAAATTCGACAGAAGCGCCTTAAAATGATATTTTAGATATCAGAGGGGTAATTTCTGCACATCGGAAAGAAACGGGGGAGGGGGGAGGGAGGAGGCAGCACTCGGCGTCTGACGCGTTGCACCGGTGCAAAGTCGGTAGTGCATCTCGGTCCAACACATTAAGTGACTTATCTGTTTTGCTCTAATGTACTGTTGTAAACATAATTATTTAAAAAAAACTGTTTATATTGTTATTTGATTTGTTTATGTTTGTTATCTGTTTTGTTTATGTTTGTAAGTTGATTTCCTGCTTTTAAAACTCCTGTTTACTGAGAATTACTTCAGATTATAACAGATATTGTTTTAGTAATTTGCCACTTTAACAGACTAAATTTTGAACATAATACTAGAAGTGTCTATTGATTGATAACGTATTTTCTAGTAGTCCCGAGTTGTTACCAAAGCGTGATATGTATTTTATTTTTTTGCCATTTGAGTATTTAAAATATTAGGAAATAGATACACATGTACATTATATAATTAGTTACAATTCTGAATTAAATAAATTGAATTTTATTATTCCTTGTTGGTAGCCTAATAATTTATGCAAAAATATATAAAATATTTCTAGACTCAGTAGGTTTGTTTGCAAGTGTACCTGCGCAACATTCTGTTTGCAGCCAACTTCATTGACGCAGAGTTTTGTGGCGAGTGCTATACGCGCATAACCACAAATTGACCAACTTTAACACGACATGCATGTGCTAAAATAGATAAATTAATCCTAGATCATTAATATCTTTAGATATACTGTCCAAGCTGGCAAAAGCGTCGAAAAATAGTGTCCAATCATTGGCCACTAAGTTCAATTCCGCTGTCGCTGTGTGTGCCAGTTGTGTTGTCGCCGTCACTATAAACGTTCGATTTGCACACGCACACAATTATAGATTTGCACACACACCAAGTGCTCTCGATTATCTAGTTGTTTTGTAGTGCGACTCTCCGTCTAAACATTTAAATGATCTAAGATATGAATGTCAATGAAGCTTAATATACTAATAACAATATTTTGTAGTTAACACATTTTACTAAATGTCACATCCAGTTAGGTTACTTTAACAATAGAATATGATAAAGATAGAATTTTAAAAGGGTCAAACATAAATTATATGAATTTATTTACTACTAGGCAATAATGACATATGTATTTTCTTTTGTATTACATGACAAATTATATTAGATGTCGTCGGGCTTTTTTAACTTGTCAATTATACCTACTAATTAGAAATTTAATAATTTTAGGACAATATCGGTATTATGGTTATTCTAGCACGGTACATTATCGTATTTATTCATTATTTACAGTCGAGGGACGATGCGTTTAATTGGTGTAGTGTACGAGCTCTATTAGAGGTTTCTCGTATCATGTAGTGATATTTTATGCTGTGTCAGCAACTGACTTCATTTAACTATGGGTAACGGCTACTTAATAATGATCCTATGTGCACTCACTGATTGTCGAATGTAAACGCAAACTAAACTTATTTGTGAATGAAAAAAATTCTAAAATTATAACTACACTATACGAGAAACGCATCACTTGGCTCGTACTTTTAGAAATACTGATTTTTCTAGGCTTAATACTTTTATATCACTTTACATTCTACTATTCTGTTGGCTATCATATTATTATAATAACTAGACAAATTGATATCACTCTTGGCTTTAGGCATGACATTGCAAACAGTTCATTACCTACCTTTACCACTTCATGTATAATGTATGAGCTACAGAACTTTAGCACCTTTTTGAAAGACATATTATGGATTACTGTAGTGTGATAACAAAATATACTATTGGTGTTTAGTAATGCACTTTTTTGGGTTATTCTCGGTTTAAGTAGGTCAAAGAAACCCAAATAAAAAATAGAGACTACACAATATTTATGTTACCATATGATTAACCATCCACATGATATTATTCACCGACGAAAAACTTAACGCATTGTTTCTCAATACTTTACAAATCCCTTAATCTAAGTGTCAAATCATAAAATTATATTTGCTATTATCACCCGTGAAAGTCCGAATGGCCCGTGATTGGTCAGTCTTGGGGGTCACTCGTTTTCTATCCATTGTGTTGGGGAATAAACATAGTAATGAAAATGCAGTTGATTTTATGATATATGGTATGTCATTTATTGTTCAGTGGCAAGTGTTACTACAAAAGCACAGTCATCATCATCATCATCAGCCTATCGCAGTCCACTGCTGGACATAGGCCTCTTCCATTGCACGCCACTTAGATCGATTTTAGGCTTCTAAAAAGCATAGTAAAAAATAAATAAAAATTGTTACGTTTAACCACGTTTGTCGGATCTCAGTTTGAAATTAATTAAGAATTTAAAGATTTCATATTAATAGATTAGAAAAAAACAAGAAATAATATCTAATAGTCTACATGGTTTGATGCAGTTCACTATATTTCGTCGGTCACCGCGAGGATAGTATAAGGTAGGTAAAACCAACGACAATCATATCTATACTAATATTATAAAGCTGAAGAGTTTGTTTGTTTATTTGTTTGTTTGTTTGTTTGAACGCGCTAATCTCAGGAACTACTGGTCCGATTTGAAAAATTCTTTCAGTATTAGATAGCCCATTTATTGAGGAAGGCTATAGGCTATATATCATCACGCTAAGACCAATAGGAGCGGAGCACCAATGAAGAATGTTTCAAAAACGGAGAAAATTTATTACTATCGAGAGACGCAGACGAAGTTGCGAGGGTCAGCTAGTGGTGACATATACACATTGTGTAATTTGAGTAAAATTTTAATTAATTATTTAATTAATTTAATTATTTTTTGTTTTCTTTGCCTGATTTTTTCCACTGCCAGGGTTAAGGCTTTCCTGAATGCTCTAGATGACAAGTGGAACTGAAAACATATGCATCAGAATTTGTGTTACAACAAGGTTATTAGACACTTATTTCATAGTTCCTATTTGTTTGTGCATATGGGCTGTAAAATTCCTTGAACAAATAATTGAATGACATTTCCAAAATTATCAAAATGTTTTAACATAATTTACTAATTATTATTTTATTACGTTGTTACTGTTGAGATCTTTGTTAACTAACCTTTAAATAGCTTCTATTTATAGAGGACATCCTAATCTTTGCACACAATAAAGGAAAGAATTAGTCACCTTTTAATTTAGACATACGATGTGAGAAACTGTTATTTATGATTGCTATGGAAAAATATAGGCTAGCATTTTTTCCAGGAAAAAAATCTAGAAGAGGTACTCGAAAGAATATCTTACGCTATACGTACATTTTAAGGAATCAGCCAACTACTTGTATTATTGCGTAGGTATCACAAAGTTTATATTTTATTAAGAAACCCATACCTACTTAATATAAAAAAAAATAGATACTCTCAGAAGAAAGTTATGTAAATGATAAGCACTTCTTTATTTCTTTCTAATATAAGTATACTAAGTTAACTTAATTAGAAACAATCGTTGAAATGAAATGAAAATAAGAAAGACAATGAACTTGATGCTTTAGGTACAAACAAATGTCATTTGTGTCGAAAGAAAATTCAAAATATGTTTTACTATAGATCCAACTTTCTTTAATTTAACTTTGTTGAGATTTTTTGGTTTCAGAAAATTTCACTTTATGTAAACAAAACAATCCTATGGCCTATAGAAATTGCGATTTTGATAACAGAAAATAACATGACAGTTAAATAAACTACATACATCCACATACAATCACCGTGCCAAAATAACATAAAAATCAGTTTTCTAAAATGTAAACTACCAATTAAGATTAAAAAATGGAACTATATAGAAAGAGTTTTATCTTACACGCTAAACTAATCTAAAACCTCATGTAATTATGCGATCTTCTGGAAGGTCGTCCACGTCGCATGCCACGCCCACGTGGTCCACTCTCGCTGTCTGCAAACATATACCAATATTTAACCAACTGATATAATAAATACATTAGTAGTTGTATTTTAATAATTTCATCATGATAAAGCGTTTTGTGAAGTTTTCAATAATGTATGTATTATAATTATAACACATATTCCGGCATGAGTGTGAAATCATAAGACGAATTTGGAACCAATTGTATTTACAAAGTTATGTGTAATGAGTCTAAGTTACTTAGGGTTAAGGTTGCTACATAGAAGCTCCTGAATAAAAAACTTCATTCAAGTCGAATATTCAGAATTATCTACTTTTCATACTTACTACCGTAAGATCCGAGTTAATTTGATTATATTAGATGAGTTCAAGAAATTGGTTTACATTTACCAGCGGCACGCATCCATCGCTGATTCTGTGAGTGTGGTGAATGAGGCGAATGTGCATGTGCTGGAGGATGAGCACGACGGGCCACGCCTGTAGGAGCACTAGCCTCTGCTTCACGCCCTTCCTCCGCTATCTGCTAAAGGTTAAAACATAAAACAATAATATGTTAGTTTTATTACGCAGATGAAATATGTCTTTTTTTTAAACATGCGTTGTAGAAATACATATATCATCATCTATCGTAGTTTCTTAGTTAGTTCTCACTATTCCACAAAGCCACGTGTTTTGCATGATTTTAATCTATTACTATTAGAGATTCACATATCCTCGATTACACAGGCAAACAGATTTTTTTTCCAGAAACCAGAGTATACTTTCCCGAAGGCTTTTGGTGCGCTGAATCAAAATCCGGCTACAGAATTGCACTATCGTGTCAGGTTTTTGAGATATTGTTGTGTATGGACAAGTGTGCGTTGATCTCCGCGCTAGCCGTATGTGTGCGTACCTGCACCTGCATACCTACCTACTTGTATTTCGTATGAATTGTATTATTTTATAAGCTAGTAATAAACTGTTGTTTATTCTTCTATCCACCGGTCAAATACTTATCAGATATTCTAACCTAAAACAACGCCATTTTTGACGTTATGTAACCCTTCAAAATCTTAAAGTTCATGTCACGGCTTAGATATTTAAGCTCACATGTTGTAAAAATCAGTAACTAAAGAATATCTCGTTCCCTTTGCCTTTAATCCTTTACATTTGTTATAAAAATTGTAGAGGATAAAATTATCTACAAATTTTGTTTGAAACTTTTTCTTATCTGTTGAACAGTTTTTTAAATGGAGGGCGCTCAGATATACATTTATTTAGTATTAATTAAATGTTATTAATTAAATAATACTTAAATAATTTATACCTTATATTTATAAACATTACTTGTAAATCACAATCATTTAAATTTACCTTCTACCTTTATTACATACTTTCTTAAACATAAATTTCACCACAGTCAAACTACATAAAACCATGATAAGAAAGTTGCCGTAACTATCACAAAAAGAGGTTAATTGTTTTACATAAACGTAAACACTACGCCAGTAAAACAATGATAACAAAAGAAAATTATACGTTATTGCATTTGCTGCTTCTAAATTTGAGCATGGAATATGAAGCTGACTTTCACTGATAATGGATTGTTTTTATTTATTTTATTTGAATTAAAGTGTTATTATGACGATATACGATACAAACAAATTAAAAAAACACTCATCAATTAAAAAATCCGGTCAAGTGCGAATCGTACTCGCCCACCGAGGGTTCCATACAAATTTGTCGGTACATATTATAAATAGTTCAGGAATCGAGTCTCACTGTTTTTGCCGAGCTTTGCCCGAAATCCAGTTTCCAAAACCTATAATTACTTATTGTGTTTTATGAGTGAAATTATACCTCGATGATCGATATATGTACTTTAAATAAAGACTATATTTTTTGTGATTTTTTCCTGAACTTGTAGTATAAGACGATGTTACTTGCCAAATTTCATAGTTCTATGCCAACGGGAAGTACCCTATAAATTTTGATTCCCTTGAGTGTCGCAATATGCGTATTTTGCGGCATAAACGGCGGTATCTTTTTTTACGTTAACTTAGGAGTTTCATTATTTTACAGCTTCAATAGACCGTAGTCCTGAGTACATGGTTTTAATTTCCACTGCATCCCTCCAGACGTTCCGTGAAGTGAACTCAATTTAAATTAAATTTTATTGTTTTTAATATCGCCATAATATTCAAGGGCAACCATAATAATCTAAATGATTTCTTAGCCCCCTCGTCATCTTTGAAAGCTCTCCGTCCGTGGTGTATTTGTGTATGTGGTTAAAACTGGTGGGAATTAATTTTATTGTGCACCTTTTTATGTACAATATACTATAAAATCAATAGGAACAAATAGCGGCCTTAAAGCTATTTAGCTATCTATCTCTTACAGGAAAGCTTGAGTTGGAAAAGTCGACAGTAAATAAAAGAATTCAAGTGTAGTTTCACCAAAACTACACTTGAATTCTTTGAAGCAAGTGTAAAACATTCATAAAATATGTATAAAACAACGTTCCTTTTAAAAACTTGGGAGTACATGGATGAAATAGAATATTATTAAGTACTAGCCGAGACCCGTGGTGTTACTCGCGTTAAGCCTAAGTTACTCCTTATGTCATCAGCATCTGCCAGTGAAAGTCTCGTCGAAATTGGTCCAGCCGTTCCAGAGATTACCCGGAACAAACAGACAGACAAAAATTGTAAAAAAAGTTATTTTGGCATATTTACCGTGTAAACATATATATGCATTTACTAAAAAGCGGTTATTTTAATATTACAAACAGACACTCCAATTTTTTTTTATTTGTATAGAAGGAATACGAGTATTACGTGGAAAACGAAATACACCTAAACTCGTAAGTAAACGTAAGTTTCTAGGCGATTTTCTGTTGACATGGTTTTTGAAAGAGATGAAAACAATAAGGAAAGTCAAACTAACACTCAGGTTAGTATCAATGTTAAATGTAAATGTTAAATGAATAAGAAACAATTTTTCCCATACAACTCTACACATAAGTGAATTTTTATTTGTTATAGTGATGAACCAAAAATAGCAAGCAATTATAACGTCATATTTGGTTGAAAAATATGTTTCTCTTTATCATAATAGAATTCTCATTTTAAGTAAATAATATTACAAAAATTGGACCAAATTGAACGCGTAAACGCAAGTAGCGTGATATGAGATTATGTTCTCGAGTGTTTCTCGCACGGTATTTTTATATCCAGCTATTGCGAAACAGCGTATTTAATGAGTAGACATATTATTATAATGTGCTATTGGCCCTTATTCCAGAAGCTTCTATACTATTTATTGACATGCTGTTAATCGTTGCTTGCATAAGCATATCAATACTTCTAATAAGTCACATAACATATTGTTTTACGTATAAAACTATCGCTAACTGGGCCTGTATAATAAACGTTATAATCCGCTAAATTTGTAAATAAGTAACATATTTATAAAATTATATGACAAGCACTATTTAATAAACCTTACCTTAATTTGAATTTTACAAATCAAAACATTACAAATATTATATAATGGTAATATTTGGAATGCTGTTTAATAAACGTTTACATTTGCAAAAAACGCCTGTAGATTTCGATGATAATGTTGTATCCACAAATTTGTAATTTTAAGTTCATCAATCATCAACAGCCTATACTAGTCCACTGCTGGACATAGGCCTCTCCTTAGAAAGGAGGTTTTGGCCTACTATACCACGCTGGCCAGACGGGTTGGAATAGGGTTTGTTTCAAGTTTTCCTTCTCTTTGCAGTGCTGTTGTCCTGCTTAGTTTGCTCCCTTAGTCGGCTCTTACGACACCCACGGGATGAACTGGGGTGGTGACATTTTGTATTCTTAATCCGTCACCACACGGACAATTTTAAGTTACAAATTACAAAAAATGTAAGTTTTTGTTGAAGATTCTAAAATAAAAAAAAACAACGTAAAATATTTTCAAATCGGGTCCACATTAGTCATGAAATGTTTCATGGAACATTTCTGTCTACAAACTCAGTGGCGCACATACGCTTTCTGACCGTAAAAAAGTGTCTATTTATTTCGATCGAAGTGTGAAAATATTTTTCAAATCAATTTAACCACAATTCTTATGACGAAGTTGCACCTACATGTCGAACTATAATTTAAAATTTTAGTACATTTCGAAAAGTGCAACCTGCACCAGAAATTATGTTTTGCACTGTGACCCGATGCTGCGACGTTCAAGCTGGTCATATTGCCAGCGTGTGCTGATGCGAGTCTTAACTGCAAGTGATCACAGGCAGGACTCAATTCCCTCCTAGGGACCGAATGATCCTAGCCGTACCCGGAATGGGCCTGCATCTGTCAAAAGGTAAGGGTTCCCTGCTGCCGCCCAGCCACTCACAATGACCGGCAGGAGCGCCTATACGTCGGCAAAGCCAGCGCATGGAGCCTCCAGCCGGGACGACCTTTATCTAGGCCTGAACCGGTACGATGACCGAGTTGGCCACGATTGAGGCGCCATTGGATGCACCACGACGGGGCCCATGAAATAGGAGGGCCTCCGTCTTATCCAGGGCCACCCATAAGCCCAGCGCCTCAATACGCCTGATCACCAAAGAGATACCCCTGGGAGCCAGGCGCGCCACCTCTTGAAAGTTCGCTCCACGGGCTATAACCAAAGTGTCGTCGGCGTAACAGATGACGCCTAGCCCGGGGGGGGGGGGGGGGGAATTTCCTCGAAGGGCTGTACCCAATGTTCCACAGGAGGGCCCAGAGCCCTGTGGTACATCGCACGACATGGGCCGATGTGTCAAATTTGAATGTGTATGAGACTGGTATAACCAACCCGTCCGGCCAGCATGGTATAGGCAAAGACAGGCATAACCTAGATAACCTAATACAATTCAAGGGCCCCTTGATACAAGCCCCGCACTGGCTTATACCGGCACTGTACATACTCGTATGCGAATTCGTTTTGACGAGGAGCTGCCATTGTGTTTAGTTAACCATCTATAATGCCTGCTGTTCTAGGTATATAAGTTGACCAGCAGACTTTACTTCAAATAATTGAGTGTCAACAAACCTAGACACATTTTTTATGCAGTTATATTTATGCATCTTTTAGTTACACCATGTGCATCTGCTATAACATGGTATTGTAAGCAACAGCCCATCCATTGCAGTGCACACAAACTTTGCTGAGTAGGTGTAGGGCTGCATTTCTCTTAGAATCGTATTTAAAATCATGTCCTATTTTCGTTAGTAGTTCGGTAGTTTTACTGACCCGAAATTTTCCGCTAAACTTAAAATCTGACACACCAAAAGTAAAGTTTGTAAAGTGTAAACGCCGTTGCCGTTCACTCATATATTCATCATCACTACTAGTTGTTGGAACCATTCTTTAATGTATGACCATTAATTTTCTTTCACTTATTTCATTTAGGTTCAAAATTGTTAAGTTCTGACACAAGGCGAGTCCACCTGTCGGAATTGTTTTACAACTTACAAAATATGTAAAATTACAATTATACGTTTAATAAAACAGTTTTCCTTACAAATATGTAAATTGTCACTTGTAAAGAGAAAATGTTTAACAAACAGAAATATGTGAAATTGTACGTACAATTTTACAATTTAGCCAGTTATCCACCATAGTAAATTTTAAGTTGTATTCTTTATTAAGGCGAGGTTGCAGCGATTTTGCACTTTTTTGAAGAGAAATAAATACCCTAATATGCATTAATTGTGCATGAAACTATATATTTTTTAAAATTAAACATATAATCTAGAGATCCGTAAAGATGGAAACATGATTTATGGGATTTGGCTCGATAAAAAAAAATCACAAACATAGCACTAACTCACGATTTCAAATAGAAATTGTTGTAAAATGCCACCATGGATTCAGGTAAAAATTATACCAAAAAATAGAGCTTATTTTTTTTTAGGGATTTGTAAGGATACATTTTCACATTGTTGTACTTATAAAAAAAGGAACCAAAAAATATGTTTTTGCGCTTGCTTACGGCGGCGAAGTTCGCCTGTCAGAGCTCGCTGAGCCTTGTTTGAGGTCGGACGCACGTCATTTTGCTCCGTGAAATTCCCCCGCGCAAATACGTAAAATTCGTTTTCACAGAGCTTCAACAGAATACTTTTAACTTAATTTTAATATAATTATTCCTTCTACTTTATTAGTAAATTATTTCCGTCTAAAATGTTTATAAAACACAAAAATAGTAAAATTTTACAAACACATCAGTTTCACTGCGCGACAGTCTAAAAAAATCTGTATGCATGTGAGTTCGGTAAATAAACAGTATTCATTGGTAGTATAGAAAGAAGGTAATCAGAAAATGTTATTAGAAATCTCTAATTTTGGTATAGTCAGGCACATTTAAATTATGTGGAATTCAACAGTAATATAAGTTTATTTATTGTTATTTTGCAGCACTTCGATCAGACAAAGCATATTCACAGGCGTGGTTGAGACCCTACAGAAATCAATTTCTATTGATCATAATACTACGTTAGTTTTTGTATTTATATAAATGGAATATCTATTGTTTTTTAGTTTTGTCATGCCAATCACACGCGTGGCATGCCAATCCGAAACATACATATTTTTAACCTCAGGAAAAGAAAATGAAGCATCACCAGGCTCTTTAACATACGCTTAAATTCCGACGGCCTTACCAATAAACTTTTACACAAGACGTATAACAGGATTTTAACAAAAACGTTACCAATAAAACAATATTTGACGTTTCGGTTGTATACATCTGGTGCACAGATGTTTGGAAACAATGAGATTTTAGACAATCGTTATTCAGCCCTCGGCCCTTGTTTAGCGAACGTGTAACTTATAATAATTAGTTGCTTACGTTATTTTTAGTTTGAAAACCATGGATTATTTACAATATTTCGATATTTTTGATGAAATTGACAATGAAGAACCACCAAGAAAAAGAAAATGTTACAAAAATCGATATGATCCTTTCTGTTTATCTGAAAATGAGAATTTAATGGCATTTTATTGGGTGATTCAGGCTATGGCTTAACAAATTATTTATTTAAACCACTACAAAATACTTGTAATCCCAAGCAGGAAGCTTACAATCGTTCTCATATATTAACAAGAAACATAGTTAAAAGATGCTTTGGAATTTGGAAGCAAAGGTTCAGATGCCTTTTACATGGATTCAGCGTATCACTCGAAAATGTTAAGTTATATATAGTAGCACTTGCTGTATTGCATAACATTGCTATTGATATGATCGAAGATATGGATTTTCCAGAACCTGATACAACTGAGGATACTGTGAGACAGAATGTGCCAAGAAATATACTTGACAGTGTTACTGGTCAAGAATCAAGGCGGATATATATTGAAACACATTTTTAATTATACTTATTTATTTTTATAAATTGTTTGTACTTTTCAAATAAAGTTTCTTTAAAGTTCATGGAATTATTTGTATTATCCTTGCCTATTGCGCTTTGACATGACTGATATAAAACTTAAGAAAGTTTAGAATAAAACCTCCGCCTCAATCATCATCTTTTATTAAAGTTATGTAAATTATTCAACTTATGTTGTGTGTATTATTAATTAAAGCCTGTATTATGGTACCCAATCTGCTGATAAACTCATGAAGTAAGAGAAATATATAGAATAAGGTATTAAAAAAAAACGACGGGTTGCACTCCGGGAATGCCGGCAGAAGTGAAAACTTTAATATTAACGTTGTGCATTTTTGATATTTTGGAATGGTTAGGGAATAATTTTGCACGAATTGCTTTAATTATCAGTATAAAAGTACTATCATTTATGTGGTAGAATGATTTATTGCGCTATCGTACACAAACATGACAATTTATATTACATTAAAACGTTTATCTCTCAGAAAAACGAACATTCGCGCAAGCGCCCTGCGCCGCCTAAACGAAACAGCAGGCGCAGGCATACATTTTCGCCGCGCCGTGGAAAGAGAGGGGGATACTTCCTCTCCTACGCTGCGCCGACTGCCTACTCTCCATCCGTCTTACGAATTTTCGATCAGGTCACGTGTCCTGACGCGAGTTTAACATTTATTACCCATTACAAAAAAAGTGTACAACGCCGCTAAAGAAGTTTTCTCTTCAAAAACATCTATTGTTTATGAGATTTTGAGTAAACAAATTATATATGTAGGAAGTAATGACCTAATATCCTATAACTAATAACTAATAAACCTTAGTTCGCCTGTTTAAACGGTCATTTAATTCCAATATTTTTTCGTGTATACCTATTTTAGTAGAAAGCTAACACACAGGTGAATAACAAAAGTTTAAAAGTGCAAAAGCCAATTAGAATTATATACGTTGACATTCTTTTCTAACTACTGCATTACGAGTACGCTACACTGTGGCACAATATCTGGACGTAACTTTGAGTGGCGCGCAGCCGACTCGCGCAACCTTTTGACACGCTGCGTCTTTGCGTACGATAATGTTTGCACACCTACACACCGCGCTGCAAGAGCGCCTTAAACGGAAACTTGTAGATTTGTAACTTGTAATATTATAAGTACAATTACAACTCACAATTTGTAACGTTTATTAAACAGGGCCCTGGTCGCTAACTGAGATTGGGTGGTGTGGCCGTGTAAAGCTCATAGCTGGCTCTTGGATGCCAGCAGCCGGGAAATCAGGCAAAACCTATATAAGAAATCCGAAAATCTGTACCCCTTCAAACTTCGGTCTATCTACGAAGAAGACGTCGACGGCGTAATGACCAGCCGACGGGACCGCGGGCCGCCAGAGAGTGGGGACCTCTGGTGGCAGATTAATTCCTGCGGTAGGGGAAAGGATGGTGGATAGGCTGCAACATCTGGATAGGCTGTGAGAAGCCACTGGCTTTCCCTGAGATGGGACCTAGTTAGGTGCGGCGTCGATCTGGGGGACCTGAAATCACATGGCCTCACCTTCCCAGAGCAGGGCGCCTAAGGCTGGCTGTCGGAGTGGTTTTTAGTGGAATCACTACATACTCCTGGCTCCTATATCCCCAAGGAGCCGGAGATCCGAAGGGATTTTCCACTCCGTGAAAAAAAAAAGGTAGGTAATGTAAAGTGAAAATGAATGTAAAGTTCGCCGGCTCGCTTTGATGTCGCCGACATTGCGACGCTGCCGTGAACAGTTCACCGACTCATGTTAACAATAGTGTTCTAATTCGACAATAATTTTATTGTTTTTATTTTGTTCTAAATTTGTATTTCTGTATTTTCGTAAAAAAAACTTGTGTGTTATCTGGTTTCTTAGTTTTTGTGACAACATTCATCACATACTGTATGGACTATGTATGACTTAAAAAAGACATTGTATTCAGATAATAATTTATGTAAAACGCTAGCATAGTATAAAAAATTATGATGAGTTGCTTTGCAATTAATTAGAATTAAAATCTTTTTTAGGGTTCCGTACCTCAAAAGGTAAAAAGTAACCTTTATAAGATTTCTTGTCCGTGTGTCACCACCGATTTTCTCAGGAACGGGTAGAAATAGCCAATTGAAATTTAGCTTTGCAATTAATTAGAATTAAAATCTTTTTTAGGGTTCCGTACCTCAAAAGGTAAAAAAGGAACCCTTAAGATTTCTTGTCCGTGTGTCACCACCGATTTTCTCAGGAACGAGTAGAAATAGCAAATTGAAATTTAAACCAAATACTGAGGTTTATGGTCCCTATTAGGTGTATAAAAATCCTGAGTCAACACGATAAAAAGATATGGGCAAATTTCGATTTTCGCGAAAACTTGTAAGTACCAAAATTTACCTTAATTTTCAACTTTTTCAGAAAAATTTCTTTACTTGTGGTGTAAGACCTTGCTTTTAACCAAAACTGACAATTCTAGGTCAACCGGAAGTACCCTAAAGGTTTTGGGTCGAAAACCTACGTGGTAGTTCCCGTTGACCTAGAATCACGAAATTTGGCAAAGGAAACGTCTTACAGCACAAATAAACTAATAATTCCAAAAAATAAAAAGTTGAAAATTAAGATAAATTTTGGCACTTACAAATTTTAGCGAAAATCTACGTAAAATCTGGGTACCTACGGAACCCTCGGCGCACGAGTTCGACTGGTACCTGACCGGTTTTTTTCGTAATATTGCGGTATAAGTTCAATTAGAAATAAGGTGTTTTTTTTCTTATATGAGGAAAAGTCATTTATTACTACACGTTTTTTTAAATACATACTTGATGTGGAGAGGATGGTTCACTGCCCTGAGAACTCACTGCTGTCGCTTCTTCCTCTACCCTTGACTCCTCCCAATCCCGAGTTTCGGCTCCCTCGGCACCTTTACATAAAAACATTACTAAATATTATTTAGTCGCTGTATTTATCTATTTTTAAGAATTAAATAATAAAATGACGAACATCGAATGACGATGTACGTCATTTTATCATTCCAAGGCACCGTCAATGCATGTCATTTATAAATACTATATCCCAAGTTAAAAAAAAAAAACAAAATATTGGACTTCTAAGATTTTTATAAAAATTGCCGAAATAATCCATATTTTTTATAAAATCTTAATATGTTAGGTACGTTTAGGATATGGTATTTCATAGTGAAATCTATCTGTAATGATGCCATCATTTCAGATAGATTTCCACAACACAATCAATCCCATAAAAAATATAGTATTATTATTGATTAAATTCCTCTACTGCCTTCCCTTCCTACATATACTATACATATACTCTCCGTTTTCAAATTACATTGATCTCCAAGCCTACTCTATAACGAGGGCCTAGTGTGTAGTTGTGTAATTCACATCAACTCACTTCCGACGATCGGTGAAGATTTAAGTGCGGGCCAATCGCAACGGCGAGGGCGGTCACCGGACGATCGAGTAGATGTGAAACAAACGCTCAGTTGGCTCTCAGATGTAAACGTGAAGTAGTATACTGACGCGCTTCCGGCTGGAAGAAAACCAGACAGGTACTTATCCAGAAACCTGGCAGGGCTGCAGATTCTCCTTCCGACCGATATGCCTGCTGGACAAGGTGGCGAAACTCTTTGAAAGAGTTCATATCAGGTATCAAGCAGCACCTGTCGCGAGTGGCCCCTTTTATCAGACAACCAATTTGGCTTCCGACAGAGACGCTCGACGTCTCGACGAGAGACGTTGGATGCGATCGAACGCGTCCGCTCTTTGTCGGAGGGGAGTTGCGTTGGTCGTCAGTCTTGACATAGTCAACGCCTTTAATTCTCTCTTCTTTTCTGAGGACTGAGCTTTGAGACCCAGGATTGAGCGTCGTCTGTTAAGCAGACGATACTCTAGTACTGGCCTAGTAGACTAGTAGTTGAGCTCGCCGAGATAGGGGTGGCTTGTTTCGTCCAAAACATCAGCGGTCTTTGACTAAGAGTTGCACTTCATAAGACGGAATCCTTGTGGTTCCACAGGTAAAAGCAGAGGTGCAGTTCCCACCAGCTCACTTATTAGAGTGGAGGAACAGAGGTCGAGGTTGGCATACACATTAAATACCTTGGCCTCACCCTAGACAGTCGCTGGAGCTTCGAGGAGTATTTCGAGCGGATGATCCCCCGAGTTCGTAGGATGGCGGGCTCCCTACAGAGGCTGTTGCCTAACCTAGGGGGTCCGCGGAAGGAAGTTCGCCGCCTCTATTGTGCGGTGATACGATCCATGGCCTTCTACGGAGCGCCGATATGGGCCAAGCGCCTATCGGCCGCCTCCCGCTGCCGAGCTAAGCTCAATTCGGATCGTACGAGGATACCGCACTATTTCGTCGGAGGCGGCGAGCGCCCTGGCACGTTTCCCGCCCTTTGATATCCTAGCGGATATGGACGCGAGAGTCTATGACTAGACTCACGCGATCCGCTGGGGTGAGAGCGTGGAAGATCAGGACGCGGTCGAAATGCGGCGGAATGCTCACTGACAGGTACTGGTGCAGTGGCGCGTGCGGCTGGAACAGCCACAGAATGCACGCCAACGCGCTCTCGGTGCTGTTCTGCCTAACCTCGAAGCTTCGGTGGGTAGGGAGGGAGATCGCGTCACCTACTGACTGACGCAAGTACTCACTGGGCATGGTTGCTTCGGTGAGTACCTGAATCGTATCGGACGCGAGGAGACGGCACAATGCCAGCACTACGCAGCCGACTGGGACTCCACCCAGCATACGCTGGAAGACTGCCCCGCGTCTGAACGCAAAGTCCTGGTTGACCAAATCAGACGAGACCTGTCCCCGCCAGCAATCATTGCTGCCATGCTGGCGGGTGAGGAGGAACGGGGCGCAATGGAGCATTACAGCTTCACAGAAAGAGACCGCTGAACGGGATCAGGAGAGGGCCGATCCCGAGCGTAGAGGACGCCGCGGGCCGCCAGAAAGCTTTGACCTCTGGTGGCAGATTGAATGCTGCGGTAGGGGATAGGATGGCGGCCTCATTGCATTAAGACGAAATTGGACCGCCACGTCGCGATTGAGGGAGGGAAGTGCTTTCAGCCCTGGGATAGGGCCTGATTAGGTGTCAATTCGGGGAGGACTTGAAATAACATGGTCCAGGTCCTCCCAGAGTAGGGCACCTGAGGCCGGCCGTCGGGGTGGTTTTTAGTCACCACATACTCCCGGCTCCTGGGTTCCCGAGGAGCAGGAGATCCGAAGGGAATTTGCCAACCGGTCAACAAAAGAAAACAAAGTATACTGACGCGCGTCGGAGGGCGGCGCGGCGGGAGGCAGCGCGGCGGCCAGGTCAGCGTGCGTGTCGTGGTGCGCCGCCAGCGCCGCGCCCGCGCCCGCCTCTGCGAACGTGAAGCGCGCCGCGCCCGCGCCCGCGCCCTGCGGCGACACCACCGCCTCGCCGAACCTGCACACGGACGCTCTCTTCTATACTTTACATGATGTAACAGACGACAACCTTTTGTATATTTTAAATGCGACTTGGCATTCTTACGAACGGTCGTGGCGGATATTTACCTTTTAAAAGAATTGAACGGTAATGAGCGGTTTAATGAGGTGGAATTTATCTAATTTACGATAACCTGGTGTCGACTGCTTTTACAAAATATTGCTTTTCTCAAAGTGGTTATGTTAACTTTTAAAAATGTGTTTTATAAAAAAACTACTTCTTTGCATATTTCTATTTACATACCCGTCGTTGCGTCTCGGAACGTAGAGAGTAGGCGTAGATGGGACTATGCTGTCGTCACCGTCGTCACCTCCGTTGCCGCCTAGTGATAACGTTCCACTCGCTAAAACCATAATATTAATATATCTCACACACGGACGTCTTATCCTAAACTAGGCAAAGCCTGTAATATGGTTACCAGACTGCTGATAAACAGACATATATTTTTAAATACATACATATTATAGATAAATTACACCCAGACATAATAAATGACCGTGCTCATCACACAATATTTGTCCTGGGTGGGAATCGAACCCACGACCTCCGGCTCAGCAGTCAGGGCCACTAACTACTGGAACAATAAGCCCGATAAACAACAAAACATAATAACGGTTTATCACATTAAGTAACTAAAATCGGACGACCAGATGGCGTAGTGGTTTATATAACGGACTGCTATTCCAAAGGTCGCGGGTTTGATTCCCGACATAGAAACACCCAGACCAAATCAAACTCAAAATGTATGTTTTACAAAAAAAGTGTATAATATATGTATTTATATCAGTTGTCTAATACCCATCGTACAAGCTCTGCTTAGTTTGGGAATAGATGTGTGACTGTGGTAAAAAAAAAGTTTAAAAACAAGCAAGAAATGAACATTATTGGTTACTTTATTGTTAAAAAAGTAACACAACACAACCGACCGCGGCTTTGCACGTTCGTAGTGTATTTCACAGAATAATAGAAACAAATCGATCACAAAATACTTCAACTAAAAAAGATATGATCGGTTTTAATAATTTATTTCTTACAATAAGCAATTCAAACAGTAAATTGCATTAATTTTGCAATGAATTCTAATCGCAATTAAGGACACTAGTATACGAACGTTCAGTCCCACTACTGATGGCTTCAATCTGCTGGTGAGCAGGCTGAGGCGCAGGTTGGGGCGCAGGCGCGGGTTCGCTGTCGGCCTCAGCCGCTGCGGAAGCGCTGGGCTGCATTTCGCTATCCGCACCCTCCTCGCCTTCTTCGCCCGCTTCCGGAGATTGCGCCGGAGATTCCTGTGAAATAAATTCAATCATACGAATGAAAGTTGTATATTTACAAGCCCACGCACACATAGGGCCGCGCGCACAACTGAGTTGAACTATCTATATTTAGTGACGCCCCAAAACAAAATTATAATGTATATTACACTAGTCGTTGCTCACAATTTCACGTATGTTATTGGTCTATGCTCCGCTCCTAAGAGTCGAAGCATGGTATTTCATAACTCTATTATTCTTAACTATAGACTACATCCATTACAAAAAGAACCATTCAAATTGACTAAAATTGAAGATATGATATAGGAGCTATTCAACAGACAAAAAACTCTTCTTTATTTTTCTTTCTTCCCAATTTAAAGTGGTATCGATGATAGATACAATACATATTCTACTCAACACAAAAAGTCATTGAAATCTGATTAAAAGTACTACAGATTATTAAATTTAGTATTATATTATCATTCATGAGATGTATGTAATATGATTAAACATATAAACTAAAATTAGTTTGAACCGTTTGCACTCTGGAATAGGTACCCTAATTACATTTCTAGATAAATATTAAGTCCTTGGGTCGCGTCAGGTGAAATTCGTGAGTAGAAACTTCGTCTGCTTCTCTCAAAAGGCATACATTTTGCAACATTTTTCTTTGATAATCGGCTCCTATTGGTCGTAGCATAATATTATATAGCCTATATCCTTCCTCGATAACAGAGCTGTGCACACAATAGAAAACTTTCAATAATTCGTACCCGTACTTCAAGTCTTTACATTAGTATAGATCTCTTACAGTCTTCTTTCTCATTCACTCACTTACTTTTCATATTATGAGATGTAAAAAATTCGGTTTAATTTTTTTAACATTTTCTTTTATAATAAAGGTATATTATAAAAGCAAATTAATGTAGATCCAATATTATCCCAATAACTATTAATTTTTTTTAAACTTACTTTAAAACCACTTCAAAATGGTCATGGTCGTCTTGCGAATCAAACATCTATACTAATATTATAAAGCTGAAGAGTTTGTTTGTTTGTTTGTTTGTTTGAACGCGATAATCTCAGGAACTACTGGTCCGATTTGAAAAGTTCTTTCAGTGTTAGATAGCCCATTTATCGAGGAAGGCTATAGGCTATATATCATCACGCTAAGACCAATAGGAGCGGAGCACCAATGAAGAATGTTTCAAAAACGGAGAAAATTTATTACTATTGAGAGACGCAGACGAAGTTGCGCCGGTCAGCTAGTAATTAATATAGATAAATGTATAAGTTTTGTGTTAGAACTTTACGGTGTTGGTATTAACAAAGAAAAATTGGTAAGCTTCAGTGTTGTTGACAATAAACGGACAGTTCAGGAATGTATATACTTCGAATACCTGAGGAACTGCATTTTCGACGTCTTCTCCTTCAGCTTCATCTTCTTCTTCACCACCTTCTACATCCTGTTCCTCATCCATATCGTCTTCATCTTCTTCACCTTCCTACACAAAAATTAATGCAGTCTTTTACTGTCTATTAATTGCTTTAACATTTGTTATTATGATTATATCGAATAGTGTAATATATAGTGTGAATTCAAAAAAAAAAATTCCAACAAAGACCCCTAATTACTATAAATAAAGTCTTTAGAATTACAATCAATTAAGTTGTCATGTAATTAAATATTTTCCTACTATCGTACGTGAGTATTGAGGTCAATCATGGCACTAAAGAAAAATCGTTATTAACATAATAATGACTACAGCACTTAAGTGTCCCTATGTGTTATAGTGAAAACTGTGAAAAGTAAGCAAGTTACGAGGATGTCATTTTAGATAAGGTTCCTAATACAATTTTGTTAATTTTCAGAATAAGATTCTAATTGCCCTTTAATTATTTTATGAATTATACCCTCTGAATTATTTTATGATTTCCAAGTTTTACATTTATTAAAAAAAAGATGTGTTAAGTGGCTAAAACCACAAAATATGAATTAATATAACATGCATTTTAGGTAAGAAGTATTCTAAAATGTGTACAGCATAATTCGTTGAGTATGGTGAGGTTGTGTGCACATTATGTGTACATGTTTTATAAGGATATTTTTGAGACAAATTGGTAACCCAATTTGTCTTGTCTTCTATATATTGTTATCTATTATAAGTTTAAGTTTATAAAATAAGGTTTATATATCGATTTTCACCAATAGTACTAAAACATACCGGTTTATGTTATTTACCAAATCTAATCAATCAAATAAACTTGCCAGAGACTTAATATTGAAATAAAAAAGTTTAGTAAGTTTATAAGGCTGTAAAACATACCCTATACATAGTGCCAGTGCATCGCTCGTCATCTTCCTCGGAGTCAACAACAATAACGCCTTCGTCGTCTTGGTCACAGCGCGACGATGTTGGTACTTGGTATTCTACTTCCACAGAACGTTCGAATCCCTAAAATGTAAACATTATAGAAGTATAAAACATGCTATAAGTGCACTGCAGGCAGGGCACGCGCGACAAAGTTCATGAGCATGCACACATTTCCGTACTCGCGGATATAATTACTAATCGCCGGAAACGTAGCTATGTGTAAAATCTGTAAAAATGCTTAGATATGGTATGTTTTTAGTTTGCGAGTGAATAGTTTTTCATCTTACTAATAACATGAAATAATACATACTTGTACCCTAGTTCTTTTAGCTGCTAATGGCCGCTGTTGAAGACGGCGCTTGGGTGGGCGAGACTCTGGCGGCGCATGAGAAGTACTGACGCCGGGAGGTGCATTAGATGTGCTGACCCCGGGCGGCGCGTTGGACGTGCTAACCCCAGGAGCCGTGTGCGAAGTGCTTACTCCAGGCGGTGCCTGCGAGGTACTGACACCAACGGGTGCTTGGGATGTACTGACGCCGGCAGCTGGCTGCGAAGTGCTTACGCCAGGTGGCGCATGCGACGTGCTGACACTTCCAGAAGTTTGAGAACCTATACCCGAAATTCCCGTGCCTGTTGGACCTGATTACAAGGTGTTGATACATGTTAGTTTCAATTCATGAAATTAAACATTAAGAACTATGCTGTGTGTTTGTAAAATGTAGCAACTATTTCAATATTTCCGATGTCTTTTATTGTTATCGTAAATAAAAGTTTTTGTAAAGGTAGAAAGTAAAAATCTGCCAAGAATATGTTGTTTTGTGATAAGTTATTTTTTTATATTAATCCAGATTTATATTCTAGCTAATAATGGAATATTTAAACATCCGTGTAGCATGAATAGTTCTCTCTTATCAGGAAACATAAATTTAAAATGTAAAACCGAAATTTAGGAGATCGTTTAATAATCCTTAAACACCCTCGTACTAATGTCAAGTGTCTGTCCTATTTAAGCTAAATAAATTGTTCTTTCTAGGTGTATGAAAAAATGTACAGCAGTAGTACTTATTTACATATAACGAAAGGATACCCTATCACCGCTAAATAGACTTTACAAGTTAGTACTTGAGAAAATAATTAAAACTTAATTTAAGACAAGCAGAAAACGCTGTTTTCACTTTTTTATTTTAAGAAGGGAATGAAACGAACTTTTTATAAGAAATTAGATTAATGCTTAATTGGATATGCTCCTCACTGGAACTCATTGAAACGTGACACTTTGCTGTTTCTGTAAATACTTGAATTTAAAAAAAAGTTAATTAGTGCTTACCGACTAAAGGAGAAGCTGACGCAGTCGGGGTTGGGACACTGGGTGTGGCAGATACACTGGCTGCCGAGCTAGCTGCCGGCACTCCGGTAACACTGCCCGATGCTGCGGCAGTCGGTTGTTCAATACGAGGCATTACCATTGCCACCGCCTGTAAAATATTTATCGTATGATACACGGCCATAATCGTAATGGGTGCATACTAGGCCTACAATAATACTTATTACGTCCGTAACAGCAGTAGCAATACGACCTGGTCAATCAAAATGGTGGCAATCGATCGAAGTGGCGTGCTATAGGAGATGCCTATGTCCAGCAGTGGACTGCGATAGGCTGATGATGATGAATTAAAGTAACTTTCACTTGTCTAAGCTTACTATCAGACTTGAGATGATGTCTATTGTAAACATTATTTTGACAAAAATGCTCCTTTTACCACGCGTTTTATAAATAAAATTCGAAAAAAAAACCGCAGTCGGGTTTATAATTTTTGTAAATGCACACCCGAAATGAACCTCTAAACAATTTGATCTAAGTTCCCAACCTAAGTTTCCACGCAAGAATCGATCTTGCATATTTTAGGGCATTGATAGGCGACAAGGTGGGAAGGGTTGATTACAAACAGAGATATTGTAGAAAATAACAGAACTTATATGAAAAGCATCTTCATGATAAGACAATTGGCATTATTTTGATTGTTCAAACTAACCTGTTGTGGTTGTTGTGTGTGTGACGATGGTTGTGCAGTGCTATCACTAGACCCCGAACTACCCATGCCTGCCTCACTCGTATCCATGTCCTGTATAACAAAATATTTATACAGATGTGCATGAAGATACACGTGAGTATTGAAAATATCTAGACATGTTTTTAATTATTATCACGTAACTAAGGTTAGTTTTAGCGTAAGAAGGAAAACATAGAGCTGAATAATTCCGTGTTTGCCAATTTATTCAATGCCGTTGTCGCAAATTAAAACATACATAACAGGAAGAACAAAAATCTGATCATATACGGTAGATTTATTAAATAAGTGTTTATTTACTTGTGTACTAAGAATTTATATTTTGAGAATTAGGTCCAATATTCGAGAACAATAGAAATTTAAAGGTAAATCGACTTGAAGATAATGTAATTAAAAATATTTATAAGTGTTTTTCTATTATAAATTAACTTGTAGTACTTGAGTAAGTACATAAAAATAGTGAAATTTATGAAGAGATTTCAATAAAATTAGTAATAAACACCCAAAAATTTAATAAAATTACACCGAAAATAGTAGGTAGTTCCTACCTACTATTTTCGAGATAACATTCTGTTCGATATCTTTGCTTACCGATAAACATCTTCAGGATTCAATGACAGTAGCAAATAGTTTACATCAACTTCGTAAGCGAATTGTTTCAACTTGTAGAGGTTGAGATTCATACTAATTTAAGTTAAAGCAACTCGTTATTTATAAAAAAACAATTACTTGATGGAGGTATTCGACTTATCGAGGTTGGTTTCTATTCACCTCAGACTATATTCTTTTTGTGTTTGTAGAAAACATGCAATTTTGAAATCAACGCTTCAATTTTGATTTTAAAAAATGATTATGGTCAATTACAGCATATTACTAAAAAGACAAGCGAAAAACATTATTTTATGTACCTGTGTGGACTCCGGTGGTGCAGTAGAAGCTGCAACAGCGGCACGAGGTAGAGGTCGCGAGGAAGAGGCAGGCATGTATTCAGTAGTGTGTGCATCATGCGGCGCCGTGGGTCCAACCTGTGCCATCGGTCGAATAGACGCCAGCGGCGTCTCACCACCACGTCGACTTGCAGACACGCTTTGCTGAGCTACTCCTTACGAAACACGAGTCACTGTTATTTCTTATGGCATGGAATCCATGCCATAAAGGGTCATGAGAGCGGATATAAGGGATCCATGCCATGGATCCCTTATATCCGCTCTCATGACCCTTCGCCAAGTGGTGGTATATTAATAAAACAAGCAAACTATTATAATGATGCTAATGCCACTATTAAGATCTGTGTGAAAGTTTGTTATTGACATTTCATTACCTAAATTACTAATGCACTTGTACTGTAGCTGCAAGCTCTCAAAAGAAATAAGTGCAAATAAAACTAAAAAAAAACATGGTTTTACCTGCCATTGGTTTTATGTTAGCAGTAGGTGGATCTGTAGTCGATTTTTCTTGTGCTGCTTGTTGTTTTGATGCTGAAGCTTGATTAGCCAACTGCCGCTGAAGCATAGTCACTTTTTGATGTAAAGTCTCAATCTCCCTTGTTTTTTCTGCTTGAGATTCACTTCGCTCTTTTTCCAGTCGTGATAGACGACCTTCGTATTGCGACTTTATGAGGGCTACTCTGACATCTTGTTCGTCACGAGTGCTTTGCTCAAGAGCACCTATCTTACTGCGACACTCATCCAATTCACGGCTCAAAGTATTTTTCATTTCTGTAAGCTGAACAATTTTACTTTTAGCTTGCTTCAGTACTTGTTTTGATTTTTCTTCTTTCTCCATATTGGCAGTTCTGAGTGATTCAAGTTCTTGCTTTAACTTTTCCATATTTACTTTTTCACTTTCCAATTTCGCTTGCAGCTCAGCTATTTGTTCTTCGAACTTCTTAGTAGTCTCAGTTATTGCAGCATCTGCTGCAGCAACATCGCCTTCATTCTTTTTCTTATCTTCTTCAACAGTCTTCATCAACTCTTCATACTGACCTTTGTATTTCTTGGCAATTTTTCTTATTTGATTTTCTTTATTTCTTATATCAGTTAACGAAGCATCTTTGCTAGTAAGTTCTTCATTCAATTTTGTATTTGTGGTCATGAGGGAAGACTGCTCAGCCTTCAATTTAGTTATCTCTTCCGTAATTCGAGCCATGTCATCTTTGAGGGTTTGCAACTCTTCGTTAAGTTTTTTATTATCTTCCGCTAAAGCATTTTGTTGACGCGATACTAATGTATATTGTTCTTCTATTTTAGTCTTTTCTACTTTAACAGCACTGAGTTCTTCAGTTAGTTTTCTAACATTTTCTTTTTCATTCGTCAACATTTTCGCTAAAGTTTCCCTTTCATTTTGAAGACGTTTCCAATCTTCTGGGCTTGTTTTGTTTGCGCGTTCAACTAAAGCATTTACTCTAGTTCGCCATCTAGCACAGTCAGCTTTCAGAGCGTTATTTTCAGACTGTAACGTTTCATTTTTCGATGATAAATCTGAAATTTTATCTTGTAGTGGTGCTAACAACGATTCTGTTGCTTTTGCTGCCGCGACAAGTTCTTCTACTCGAGTGGACAAGCTGTCACGTTCTTCCCTTAAAATTCTGTTGCTATCTGTTAAAGCATTCAAAGTCTCAACTTTTCGTAATACGTCAGACTGTTTATTTACTGTTACCATGCTTACTTCTGATTTTTCTCTTTCTGCTGCCAAAGACAATTTTGTGTCGTCTAGTTGTTTTTCGGCAATCTCTAACTGCGATTTGAGCCGCATAGTTTCGGCTTGCAAAATGTCGAATTTAGCCATAGCAATATCTTTCTCTTTTCTCAGGAATTTAACAATTTGGAATAGTTGTTCAGATGATTTTCCATCATCTTCGCCAATAGATATATTCATATTTGACTCATTTGCAGACTCATTCATACTTTCATTCCGAGATCTAGAGGCATGAGTCACCGAAAGCTGTGTACCTAAAGCCTGTATTTGATCATGTAATAAAGAATTCTGATCATTTAAGTTTTTCAAGCGCTCTGTTAGTTGTTCATTTTCACTTAACAAAATCCGCTCTCGTTCGAGCCATGATTTCTTTTCAGTTTCAAGTTCGTCGACAGCGCGATTCCTCAGGGCTATCAATTCATTTATCTGATTCTGTGACGTTTGAAGTTCTTCCTTTACTCGAGATAGCGCCTGTATATCAGAAGAATGCAAAATCATTTCATGTGTATACTTTTCTTCAGCATTTTGTGCTGCTTCAGATAATGTGGTCATCTCGGATCGTGCAGTTTCTAGTTCAGAACGATACCCCTCCATATTTGCTAGAACAATCTTTAATTCCTCTTTTACATTCGACAATTCATTCTTCAATAGTGTGTTGCTATTGGAATGTTCTCCATTTGCATGTAGAGATAATTCAGCTTCTAGTTCAGAACACTTATCTTCCAAAGTTTGCAACTTGCTAGTGTAAGCAGTCAGTTTAGCTTCAGTTTCTGTTTTATAGGCTTCATACTCGCTGCTAAGAGATTTTAATTCTTTTTCAGCATTTTCTGATATGTCACAATATTGTTTTATGTGTTCTTTAGCTACCTCAAGTTGTTCTTGTAGTGATTTAACTTCATTTTGTTTATCAGATAATTTATTCTCTAAATCTCTAATTTTTTTCACTGTATCCAATGATCCATCTGTATTAGGAGAAAGGGCCATTTTAAGTTTTTTGGCCAATTCTTCATGAGCTTTGTCTTTTTCAGTCAAGCTTTGCCTTATTTCTGCAATGTCTTTTCTTAGTATATCTGCAGCAGCTTTTTCTTCTGTCATACGCTCTTTTGCAGTGTTTGTTTGTCGTTCTAAGTGAGCTGCTAACTCTCTAAACCGATCTTGTTCTTCTTGCAATCTCCGTCTCAGTGCTGAACATTCTCTAGTAGCTTCATCTAGTCTTGACTCTAATTTCACTCGATTTTCGGCTTCAACGCGTTCTAAACTAGCCTTGATCAATTCCAAATTTTTTAATAAAAGTGATTGGCCTTGTCTTTCTCTGTTAAGCATTTCTTTCTCAGTTTGAAGACGAGCCTCCGCGTCTTTGAGAAGTTTTAGTTCCAGCTTTAAATTTTCTAATTGTATTTCAGCTGCAGCTAGCTTACTTTGGGCATTTAAAGCTTCGTCTCTTAAATGTTGTAAGGATACTTCATGTTTAGCAATTGTTGCATTATATGCTTTGTTCTTTTCTTCTAAGGAAGTAATCTGTTTCTTATAGGTTGTTACGTTTGTTTGTAATATTTTCAGCCTTTCGTTGTTGTATTCTGAAGTTGAAGCACATTTGCTATTTGCAGCTGTAAGTCTCGCTATCTCTTGTCTCATGTTATCAATTTGTTCGAACAACATTCTTTCATTTGTTACTTTCTCTTCCTTGTAAGTTTTATATTCTTCCTTTAACAGTTCCAGATGTTTTTCAGTTTCTTTATATCGTATTTCAAATGAAGATATTTCTGGCGTAGGAGGCTTACTTAAAGCTTCTGGGGATTGTACATCCATTGAATACATTCCACTCTTTTCTAGCTCTGCAATTTCATAAGCAGATAATTCATGTCTTTTACCTTTCATGTTATCATGATACAGTTTCTTAAACATGTCTCTTTGTCTGATCAAACCATTCACCATTTTAGTTTGTCTATCTTGAGCTTCAGTTAATTCAACCACTCTATTTTTTAATGATTCAATTTTAGATTGCAATTCTCCAGTCTCAAACTGTTCCTTATGTCGTTCAAATTCTTCCTGCTTTTCAGTCATGTCACGAATCATTCTCAATAGCTTCTGATTATTGGATTGCAATTCTTGTATATCACTGAATGTTACCAATGTTTTAGAAATAATACGTGATGAACTCAAATCGGAAGAATTTGTAGTATTAGAAGTTGTCTGTGACGAATCATGATCACCATTGGGTAAATTACCTCCACGAATATGCTCAATTTCTTTTAATAAGAAACAAACCTGCCTGCCTAAATCAGCTAATTCACCTTTTAATTTGGTATTTTCACGACTATAGTGATTTGAAATTTTAGACGATTCATTGTAGTCATCGCGAAGTCTATTACATTCAATAACAAGAGAATCTATTTGTTGAGATAAGGCTGCATTGGTTTCTAACGCTTCATCAAATTCAGCTTTTTGTTTCTGTAACAATGGTGCTTTTTCTTCTAATTCTTGAACAATTGTGTTAATAGTGATATTGAGACGTCTGTTTTCTTCTTTTTCTTGAGCAAGTTCATCAGTGACCTTAACAAGTTGTGAATAGATTTGTGTAAGAGACATGCCTGATTTTAAAAGTTTACTAGCTGTTGCCGCTGACGGAGCTAAGTCACTCAAAGCTGAATCGAGATTTCGGGCACTAGCAGCTTTTATCAAATCATTTGCCTGTTCTAATTCATTCTTTAAAGAAGCAATAACTTCATTTTTCTTTTCCATCGATTCTTCATGATCTACTTCGGCTTGTTTGTGTTTTGTTTCCAAATCTCCATATTTCTCAGTTGCTTCATTCAATAACTTTTGTAGTTCCGTGATACCTTCTGTCATTTCTAAGGTTTTAGATTCAGCATCGTCATGCATAGTCTTAAATAAGTCCGCCAGTTTAGTTTTAGCTTCCAATTCTTTTTTATAATTTTCAGTCATTTTATTTTCTATTTCTCTTTGTTCCATTAGGCGCTGAGTAAGGTTTTCAGCTCGATTATTTAAGTTTTTCTTAACTTCATTAAGTTGAGTTATTGTTTCGTTGGCAGAGTTCAACTCCTCAACTTTTTCAGCTAATTGAGTTTCCAAACTTATTAATCGACTAGTATTATTTAACCGGACAGTTTGTAATTCAGAAGTAAGTCGATTAACCTCATCTGTCAGACCAGCAATTTGTGAATTAAGTAGTGATCTCTCCTGTTCAATACGCTTTTCGCGATACTGTAAAGATAGTTCTTTACTCTGTATTTCATCATTGAACGCTAAAGCTTCACATTTGCTATCAATTGCTGCACGTAATTGTTGACTTAGTGAAACTTCATTTGCACTTAATCTTTCAAATTCAACATCACGCCTTTGCAATATTCTTGTTAAGTCATTTCTTTCATCAACAGCAGCATCTCTTGAACTTTTAATAGAAATAATTTCATTTTCCATACGACTTATTTTCTCTCGTGCTTTCTCTAATTCTGTGTTCAATGCTTGTACTTTTTGATTCAATTCAGTGATTGTCAAATCAGATGTGGAAAGTTTTTTTTGTGCATCTTCATATTTAGCAGTTACTTCAAGAACTTGAGCTTCTAATGTTGCTGCTTTATCACCTAAAAAAAAATTGCAAAAAACATTAATTTTGTTTGTTACACTCAGTTTTATATGAAAAATTAAAAGTACAATTTGATTAACTATTAATAATTTTAGTCTTTTGTTCTAAAGACAGAGGAAAAGTTTTGGAACATCCATTTAGAATTCAGACTGTATTTGTAAATGTAGGAAATGTCAGCAAACAGGTTATACTAGCTTTTAAGTATTGCATTCCATAATAAGTAATTTTGTTTACAAAGATTAATCTGATGGACAGTGCAAACTGGTCAAGTCGTCAGGCAATTTAAAGGTACATATGTACTAAATACCCATGGTGAGCAGGTAATTCCCATGAACATAATTTTAAAAAGTTTCTTTGATGGTTCTTTGACCAAGTTTATCAAAAGCAACCTAAGTAATAAGTTTCCACCCATGGAATTATAAAGCTACCTGACCAAAGATTATAAATAATAAGTGTATATTGATTATAAATAATAAGTGTACAAATAACAATGTTATTTGATTAAAATAGGTATTTTTTTACAAAACATGTGAAGGCTCTCTACATGACTAATGATTATCTAGCTATCATCCTATTCAGGATGTTTTTGTCCATGTGCTCCCTTTAACTATGCAGTAAACGAAGCTAGAAACCCGATACAATTTAACTTTAATTTTTTTACTTTGAACCCATAGTTAAGTTAAAGTTCCTTCATTTTGTTACTGAAGCACTCCCTTAAAAAGCATCAAAATTGTAGAGATGCAAGATTCAAATTTAATAGTGTTGAACTTACAAAGTATTTATATATTTTTACTCAAGCTAAGTCAAAGTATTTTATTATGGATCATAGGTATATTGGATATTTACAAAATATTAAGGTCAGCCATGTGCTGCCATTTGGGTATACAATATTTAAAGTAACAGTAATTGACGACATATTAAAAAAATTATGTGATTATTAAAAAAATGAATATGAGCATAATAAAAGTAAATGCAATAATACAATATAAAACAAGAAACATCAAAATATAAAAGAAAATAAAAATTGCAAAATTATTTACTATACATTACAATCAATTATTGTAATATTAAAAAATAAAAATAAAATATTTTTAATTAATGCATGTCTATGTTGAATACAAATGAATGAACTAACTGGTCCGTCACCACAAATTCTAACAAAACCAAATAATCTTGGGCGCCAGGTGCCGGCTTAAATGAACATAGACAACTAATAACAAATACAATAAATACCTGGAATAGCTCGGTCAGCGCTTAGACTTTTAATCTAGGGTGGGGGGGCAGCTATTAAATAAAGAGATGTTATAAGATTAAGAGGCAGTTTATTTATCCCGAAGTGTCTGTAGAGTACATGGAATATTATGGATCTATTTATAAATGTAATTCTTATTCTCAAATTAGCTCTGTCATTAATGCAATCCCTTTACCTTGATAATACAAATTAAAGGTAAAATATCTTTAAAAGTCACATAAAGACTGTTCAATACATAAAGAAATTAAAGGTAGTTATCATTACGACCTACTCCCAGAATAATAATAATATTAACGCCCCTTAGAGCCCACAGTATCCGTTATGACAACGCCAGTTAAATTCATATACAACAAAAAGACATACTGGTAATGCCGGCACAGTCCGTTTGGAACTATAGTAAAACTAATTCGTAAAACGCGCACGCCTGTTCTCCACGTGGTTGTCGTCGTGGCGGGGTAAGTAATCCAACCTTCCTGTTTCCTGTCCCAAGTGAATCGAAATAATGGGCTGCAGTCAGAGGACTTTTCCTGCCATTAGAGGTACTTAGGAAAGGAAATCCACTCTCCGAAGCAAACTAAATCCCTGGATCAGGAAGGTTGTGAGGTAAAAAACTAATTGCAATCTAATAAGAAGAAAAGCCAAAACTAAAAAAGAAAACCCTGTTACGGCACAGGGTTCCAAAACGCCTCACAAATAAATCGGAGGCATTACTAATAATTCCAAAAAGGCAAAATAATATTTCCATTAAAAACTTGTTTTCTTTACAAAACTGGCTAACAATAAAAGGTGATTTAATCCTCTGATTATAACAAATGGAAATGGATTTCATTTCCATCTTTCAAAAATCACAAACATGTCTACCCCGTTCAGCTTCGCCCAGGAAGATGCAAATGCGACAATAAAGGGTTGCCAGGGCAAGAAATGCAAAAAACTACAATCGAATTGATACTTCCATAGAGAAAATAATTCCATATTGACTATTGATTCGGTCCATCAATACAATAGTCGATTAAAATAGACAAAAAAATCCATCCGCCATCTCTCGGAGCTTACTGAAACGTCAGGAAATCCATCTGTCAAAGCAACCTACAAAATAACAACATGTTGATAATTAACTTTTCTGTAATTGTTCAGAAATGCAATGTTACATTGTATGTGTGGTGATGGATTAAGAATATGTAGTGTCACCACCCCCCTATTCGTCTTGTGGGTATCGTAAGAGCCGACTACGCAGGGCAACAGCACTGCACACACACATCACATCACATCAACAGCTTTTACCAGTCCACTGCTGGACACAGGCCTCTCCCCAGAAAGGAACTTTTGGCCTACTATACCTCGCTGGCCGGACGGGTAGGTATTTTCCCGTAGTCGGCTCTTACGACACCCACGGGATGAATAGGGGTGGTGACACTCTGTATTCTTAATCCGTCACCACACGGAGCAACAGCACTGCATAGAAAAGGAAAACTTGAAACAAGCCCCATACCAACCCCTCTGGTCAGCATGATATAGTAGGCCAAAACCTCCCTTCTAAGGAGAGGCCTATGTCCAGCATTGGACTATTGAAGGCTGTTGATGTGAATACATTATGTTAGCGTCATAGCCAGAAGTTGTGTTTCGAAAAAATACCAGTTTGTTTTTCAACACATGAGAAAGTTTCTATAAATACAAGGTGTGTGTTATTCAGCTGTGAAGCAGTTACATATGAGAGGACCCAAGCAAATAACACTATTATGCAAATTTATTCCTCAATAATTTATCTCAATTTTGAACTCTGGTCCAGAACTCAAACAGTTCTAGGTTGGTTTTAACAAATATTGCAACCTCATATATAAGCATCTTCTTATCATTAAAGTTAGGTAACAATTAATTATTTCTTTATTAGGACTACAATGATTAACAATTAATACTACTATTCCCTATTCATTAACTATGATCAAAACATAGTCATTAATAGGTATAAACATATAAATCTACAAAATAAATACAAGGTCACTGTTTAAAATGTACTTAATATTTTGTGTAGCAAAGGTGAACATAATCTATACTCCTAGCAGTAAATTACATTGTGTGGCCTCAGAACAAACCGACCCTATACCAACCCGTCTGGCCAGCGTGGTATAGTAGGCCAAAGCCTCCTTTCTAAGGAGAGGCTTCAGAACTTAATGGCATCACACTTTCCAGTTGCCATATAACCAATATAAAAGACACATGGTAAGATAGGAGGGAAAACACTTCAGATGACACAAACTGCATCACAGTTCCCTAGACTTGTATACTGAAAAAGTAACACCTCAAATGGGCAATCAACAGCTTCCTCTAGCAACACAACCATACTCATACAGACCTATTAGTCTAAGATCCTTCCTACTAACGGTGCTAAAGAGACTAATAGATAAGGAAATCAGGAGCACCATAATAGTTACACACCCCTTGAACCACAACTAACATGCTTACATGATGAGCAAATCAATAGAATCCACTCGACAGCGAGTGGTATGAGAATATTTCGAAAATTAAATGTTCCACTTCTAGGAACTTTCATTAATGTTGAAGGAGCTTTTGACAAATCCAATTTCTAGCTAGTAATAGATAAACTAATCAAACAGATCGATGACCACAGATTCCTCACATGAACTGTGCAGACTATATGACCATCCTCATTAGTGTTCATTTTGGGAGTGTGCTATGCGACATCATTAAATTAGCTGCACACTGCAGGTTGTTGAACTATTTTGTGAAAAGTGAAGTCTGAATCTATTCAAAAGGTTCAAAGATGGGGTCAAGAACTGGAGTATTGTCATATCAAAGTTTGTGTCACTTGGAACTACTGTCACTGTGGCAAAATAAGTAAGACAGAATAATATTCTACAAGTTATGCAGAAGTACGGTCACTGTGACAATGGCAATTAGATAGTCAAATTAATTGATAAATTAAATGATGTATTAAAGAAAATTTTGCTAGAATAATGATTTGCAACATCAATATTTCTATCGTCTAAAACACAAAATAGAAATTATTACCTTTCTTGTTCTTTTTACTGAATCTAATTTAAAATCTAAACTGATAAAGGTCTCTGTAAGTCATTGTTACACTAGGTTATAAAAACTCATTAAATAACATAAGCACTAAACATTAGAGCGTAACTTTCTTTGTTTTTGTTAAATTTATGTGAAGTACTTTCGTTAAATAACACTTAATAATAACACGAACATGGAATAAGTACCTACAGTTCACAGACAATGTCTAGAGTACCTACTTATTTCGTAGTTTGATAAAACATGCTTATAAGCATAAGTCATTATCGCTTTCGTTTAAAATAACAAAACATTTATTTTTGTTAATCAACAACGAAAGAAGTTTCTTACAGGTTATGTAGGCTCCCGCTAGTTCTAAAACTATAAACAATGAGGATACTGGTTTTTAAAAATCACCATATTTTCAAGACAATAGTTTTTAATACCATGAGACAAGGCCTTGCAGGCCGAGCAGAGTGAGAACTTGAAAGTTTAAAATATTTGCTTCGTGTAAATCAAAAAGCCAGAAATGAGTGAAAGCGTCAGAAAACACCGGTTTCTTACCTATCTGGGTTCTGTTAGCTTCATGTAACGCTTTGGCTGTCAAATATTCTTCAAATGTCTTATCAATATAAGTGTTGATTTTCTCTGCAACTGGGCTAGGTATATTAGCCAATTCTTCCTCTGACAAAACATTATTTAGATGATTTTTTGCACCGGCTTCAGACTCAGCAGCCTCCATCTTCGACCGATGTTCACTTCACATTCACAGATATAACTTAATTATTGCCAATATTGCCATGCGATGCCAGTAAACATGTACTTCTCAGTGTTGCCAGTCGCTGGACTGACCACAGGGACTGACTTGACTGCATAAAAATTACCACTCTCTCAAAACCATAGACTAAAGTAGACCATCGAAACTCGTAACGTAGCACCTGTAGTTACTGCGCCACGTTACGAGATTACGCTCAATACAAATATTAAATCAACAAATTGACCTCTTGCTTTTCGTTCCTACGTCTAGTTTGCTTCGAACTATATTAAAGGCATCAAATCCCACCTCATAATAAATATAGCAGGAAATTTTGTATAATTATTTATTTGGGAATTAACGAGTGAATTAACTGTGTAGGTATCAGCTAGGGTACCGACGTGCATGCTACATTTTTTAAACATAGTATTTCCTACAAAATCAATCGCAATTGAGTGAGTAATTTTACAGGAGCTCAGGTATTGCTTAATTATTACTGAAGGCTAAACTGAGTGTAATTGATGAGTTTCTTTTGAATACGTAACTGACCAGAACTAATTGGCAAATTTTTCTTCTCTTAACTTGCTGATGAATAGGCGTGATGACACTCTGTATTCTTAATCCGTCACCACACGGACATATACATACATACACGTCTATACTATATAATATTCTAATACTATCTTCCTTCTATCTAAACACTTCTATAACTAATATAATTACATATACCTTACTATTATACACTATATATCATTACAATATAATATGTATTATTTATTTACATATTCTATACTACCAGATACACTTTCACTAAATAATTTAAGTAAATCGAATAATATTTATTTATATTTCATTCGGTGTAGTGGGACCACACTCTAATCTTCGAGTCCTATTGTTCCGCCGTTGGTCGGTGCAAGCGCATCGACCGCTGCATAGAATTAGTGATCGCGTCGCGAAACCTATTTTGTTGCCTATGAAACATATAAATTCTATGTATAAATATAACGTGTAAATCTGTGACATTATATATCAAATTTTCTCTTGACTGTTTCTTGTGCTGTGTTAATTTTTGTGAGTCTTGTTTCTCCTTCTGTGCGTGTAAATAAACTTGTGCTACTACCTTCCAATACAACTTTTATTGTTCTCAAACTTTCTGTAAGTAATTTTTATCTATACTACAGTGCGTATCTATATATAAACGATGAGATGAAATTTCAAACGATAGTTATCTTTCACAAAATTTTCTTATATAGTCTGTGATTTCTTGAATTCTGTGATTTTACTGTTCTGTGACTGTCTGTGAGTGTGGCGGTGACAGCCTGTGTCACTTTTCCGTGCCAGGGCCCAGGGAAATATTTGGGTATCACATTTGATTAGACAAAGAGTACTCTTATAAATACTGAAGCTGTTGTTCAGTTCTCATAATTACAATTATTCATTCTTGTTTATTTCTATGAACTATTTTTGTTAACGTTTCCAGTTTGAATATATAAAAAAAATGGAAGAAGAGCAATGTTTACATGAATGTGAAAACTACATTCAAAGTCATAATATATCATTATTATTAAAGGATTGTATCGTGCAGTTGTGTGTAAACAAACCCGAAAATCCAGTCTCATTTCTCCGACAGTATTTTCAAAAATTAGAACGGGTAAGTGTCTTGTTATGATAATGAATTTTCAATGTTACAGGTTTCATTGCAACCAATCAATGAAAGCTTGAAGAAATTATTAATGTGATTTTGAGGAAAGCTTTCATTGATATTTTAAAAATAGTAATTGAAATAATCTAGCATACTTAAAAGAAATTAGCATTCAAGAAAATATAATATCAAAACATGAACATTTAATCAATGTGGTCCAAAGAAATTGTAGCAAAATAATAAAATATGTCATTTTTTTTATTTATTTATCTCTTTATTGTACACCACTGCAGTATTATTTGTGCAGATATAATATACATTTCGGTATAACAATAGGCGGTCTTATCTCTCACACTATCTCTTACAGACAACCTTAATATGGATATTGTCAAAAAATTAGGGTAGCCTGCAATGTACTATTTCAACAAATTGAACAAATAAAAAGAATAATAAATATAAGGTTACTATATACATTTACATTATATTTACAATTAATACACTTAAATACATACAACATATATAAACACATACAGACAGAGATCCATAAATACACAAATTTCTATATGATATTAAGTAATGATTTGTGACTAGCTTTTTAAATATTTGTAGTGATTTAGCTTGCCTAATTGCCTCCGGTAGGTTATTCCACAGTCAAACTGCTTGCACTGAGAACGACTTGTCAGTAAATTGTGTGGTGCAGTGTTGTGCTGAGCATTTTTAACTTCAGATGTTCTGATGTGAATTGTGTAAAAATTCAAAACATTCTTTGAGATGAGATGTAGTATGTGGGAAGAACAGAGTACTGTACAAAATAGAGAGAATATAAACATTCTGGTGAAAGCATATAGGTATCCATTTGAGCTTAATTCGATACTCATAGATATGATCATATTTGCATAAGCCGAATATGAATCTGATGCAGACATTTTGGAGACGCGCAAGTTTGTTTAATTGGTCTTCGGAAAGATCTAGATAGCTAACATCACCATAGTCCAGGATGGGAAAAAGAAGAGATTGTGCTATGGTGATTTTTGTATCGGTAGGAAGAAACTTACGAAGTTTAACTATTTAAATTTATTTAACAATCATTTGTAGACTATCCCTATAGGAAGCTGGTCCATTATCTATATTCCAATACCTTACTTTACTCTAAATAATATCTGTTCATTTTTATATGCATCTATGTTATACTAGAAAAGCCACTCGTCACTAGAGGAAGAATTTCTGTATGATTTTTCATAAATAGACTATCTTTGTTCAGAATGTCCTTGCCAGTTGTAATGATGATATCATTAAATTTGTTAATATATGCTAACAAGTTTATCACAATTTGAAAATCATAAGGTATAGCAAGATATTTAGTATACATATAATGTGTAATGAAACACTTAACACAAAATTTAAAAAGTACAAAAAACAAATTAAAATTAGATTTATCATGTAACATGTAACTCACTCCAGTAAAAACTTTAAGAAAAGATGCAAAAAATTATAGTTTAAAAAAAAAACATGCTTTTAGCTAGCGGAACTAAAAAGCAATAAATAATTTTATCGTAAAAAAGCATGGGGTGCTAGATCGCAAATGTCGTAACAATACTTTACTGACATTGGTAAAAGTTATTTTATTATAAAACTTATTCAAAAGCACCCCACGTTGCTGCCTGCCATAAAGTTCTGCCTGAGGTGATTTCAGTAGAGTCAGTGGTTCTTTCAAGATTGTAACTGGAATATGTTTTAGAGTAGGGCGAAACTAGGTAAAGTAAAACATATTCTGGAATAGTTTCGAAAAAGATACTTTAATCTCTCACGTCACCTGGATGGGACAATGCGTATCCACAGCATATCTCTGTTTCAAACAAATAACGAACCTTGTACTTAATTCTCTCCACATGTTCTTCTTAAACAAAATAAGTGATTATCTTATCTTCGCCTCATTACTACTGTTTTAGGTTGCTTAGGATGACCACTCTTGCGTTTTCCTCGAAGGTTCCATTCCAGTTCCTGCTTGGTGATTAGGGTCCCTTCGGACCAAATTTGTAAACGCGTTCCACATACTCTGCACCAATCCGTAAAGGAGAGTGATTCTCCACCCTAGATCGCATCTCTTGGGTCAGCGAATGTTGATTTTGAGCTCTGTAATGGCAGCTTCTCCGTGCAGGTCGTGCTGCCTGCCCGTTGAATCAGCAGACATAAGTCGTTGGCATAATCCAAGTCTTCTTATCATAATCGGCATAATCGAGATATCAGTTATAGCCAACTCTATTCTACGTCTGTCCTAGACGTAGAGCAGAAGAAGAAAGAAGAAGGGGAGGGCCAGCAAGTTACACCCGCATGTACCTTAATATCTTCAGAGATGAGACCGTGGAGAATAACACTACAGGAATATAACCTGTAGATGGCCTTGGGTAGGTTGATGGTATTCAGTGGGACACCAATGTTGGAATTTAAAAAAGGATAAAATATTTATTTTTTCTATAGTGTGTATGTGTTCTGTTTAAAACCCTTTAAAACTTAAGTTTCAAAATTTTAAATGTCTTGGACTTTTTTGTTTACATTCTAATAAATGCTGCAAGACAGTTCTTTTCGTAAACATTATTTCGCAAGTAAGTACATTTTTTTTAAATTAAAACAGCTAAGTTCACGACAAGCCGGTTGTTAAGTTACTTCTTTAATATGCGTTATACTTATAATTATTTCTTAAGGAACAAGTCAAAGCGGCTGCTGCTGCAGCGGCTGCGTCAGAAGGTGAAGGTGACGGCGAACTATCACCACTCCCAGTGCCAGGTGGACAGCCGCCACGACGACGCGGTGGTATCAGTGCTGAACCTGTCACTGAAGAAGATGCTACTAGTTATGTTAAAAAGGTAAACCAATTCTAATACTCAAAAATACTTTATTAGATCGAAGCTCAAAAATCTGTTATTGATGGAAGTAATGTTTAGATTTTTAAACAATTTTCTTATGGTGAAGAGCGCCTTAATAAAATAGGGTTGGGAGAAACTAGGTGTATTTGTGACATAGGTAATGTGTAATGCGCTCTGCCGTCGTTTTGACACACTCGACTGTGCTGTGACTTTTTTTTAGGCTTGATATTAAAAGTAAGCTTAGTTTTGACCCTAGAATCGCGCTCGTAAAAGAGATAAGTGTATTCCTCGGGACAAGTCCCTCCTTCTCTTAAGGAAAGGTAACCATTTCTATCTATGTAGTTAAGGCGTGATAAACAAACTTAGTAACAAAGTAAGTGAATGACCATACTCATTACAGTACTTATAAGACATATTTTTTGTAGGTTGTGCCAAAAGATTATAAAACTATGGGTGCTCTGTCGAGGGCCATAGCGTCAAATGTACTCTTCACACATTTGGATGAGTCGGAGCGTGCAGATATGTTCGATGCTATGTTCCCAGTACAATGCCTGCATGGTGAAACAGTCATTAGACAAGGGGATGAAGGAGACAATTTCTACATTATAGATTCTGGGGAAGTTGAAGTAAGTCTATAATAGAAATAATATTTATGTTTAATAACGTTATAACTTAAGTCGCCATATTCTGTGGTCTGTATTAAACCTCTGGCTAAAGGCATGTGAAAGAAATATTTGGCACATGTCCGGGACAGTGTGTAGTCCATACCTACTCATAGGGAAACAGTCAAAAGAAACACCAAAAGATGTTGATTTAAACTGACGTCAATTTGTTTATGAGTTGGTAGTCAGCATCCTGCATAATATACAAAGCACACAAAACGTCTTACTGTTTTTTTTTTAAATCAGGTGTTTTTAACTGCAGGCAGTGAACGCGCATTTATAAACGTAAACGCTCGCAGGTGCCAGACATACCTACTACGCGCTACTTCCATCCAAGCCGTCCTATGTTACAGGTTTTAGTGAATGGAGAACATGTTACAACCATTGGAGAAGGGGGCAGTTTTGGAGAACTGGCTCTTATATACGGAACACCTAGAGCTGCCACTGTTCGCGCACGTACTCCTCTCAAGTTATGGGGCTTAGATCGTGACTCATACCGCCGCATCCTAATGGGCTCTACCATAAGAAAGCGACGCATGTACGACGAATTTTTGTCACGTGTATCAATATTAGGTGAGTACATTAAACCAAAATAAATTTAAAAAATTAAAATCCACCCGCGTTAAATGTCTTTTGTGAAAGATGTATCGCACATGTGACACAACTCCTATAGGTTATAGAAGGTATTATGTTACATAACTTAACCTATGTTAAATAAAACTAGGTGTTATATTCCTTAAGGATGTACGATTTTACTCACGTATGGATTTCGGAACTGTTGGGGACCTTCAAGGGATGACGACTGTCCTCCCCAGTGTCGGGCATACTAGAAATGCACACGTGATTAAAACGTCCATTATAAATAGGAATATCTCTCACTAAAGTTTTATTCTGAAACTATGTCTGCAAACGAAAGTGTGAAAAAAAACAAAAGTGAGTGAAAATATACACATAGTTACACTATGTACTTTTGTCATAATCGTAGTGTCACTATGATGGCATTCACCTTGCTTACATATTAAGTATCGCGTATTTTTCAAAGTACCTAAGCTTTTCATATTATTTCAGAAAGCTTAGAAAAATGGGAGCGGCTAACAGTTGCGGACGCTTTAGAACCCGTCTCATTTACTGACGGCGAGACAATAGTACGCCAAGGTGAACCTGGGAATGATTTTTACATAATTGTGGAAGGTAATTATTACTAAATATGATCGAAGATACCTACTTTATACATTATTGATTCTATATAATGTAAAAAAGAGATTCCCAAACTAATTTGGGCAAGAGACCCCTTTTCCTAAATGAACTGTTACCTCAGACTCCATAGCCCAATCACTTTAAAAAATCCTATCTCTAGTTTTTCCTATTGATACAAAATACTTACCAAAAACTTTACAGTTGGTTAATAGGAGTAAACTTGACATCATTGTGTCATCAAAATTTAACAAAATATCGGTCGTGCGCGACCGTCCTGCGATGCGACAGACGGTGGCGGGTACGAGGTAGCACGTATTTTTAAAATATGTATGTTTTATTAATAATAACTCAATTCCGGTGGCCGAGCAAATTACGTCACTGATGAAGCGCAGGGCCGGATTAGCCATGTCCAGGCCCTTAGGCAATGCAATCCTCGGGGCCTCTTTTTTTTTGAAGATTCAGCTCTTTGTAAGTCGATGCAAGGTTGTGAGTAATCATCAAGGCATCAACAGCATCACCTGACTCTGATGCGTAACTCCTCAGGAACTAACAGCAAAAGCCGGGCCCCTAACCGATGCGGAGCCCCTAGGCAGTTGCCTACTCTGCCTAATGGTTAATCCGGCCCCGATGAAGCGTCACGTCTGCTCAGTCAACACACTTATAATAGAGCGAGCGGGGTATACAGTACGTCGTAAATACGTCGTAAATAAAAGTTGTCGGTTAATTATAAAAGTTGTCGGTTAATTACTTTTATTGCACTGTATTTACTAACACTCACTCAAACAAGAAATCACTCGTTAGTCGCACTAGAAATTCACTTCGATGTTAATTCGCAGTGTCGTAAATCGATACTATGTCGTACATTGCTAGTCTTCACACCGTCCCGCAGGGGACGTGTGGTGGCTGGTTCGGGGCTTCGGCCCCCTGCCAGCGGTGTCTACCGCTACCCCTAACTAGGGGGGTGTTTTGTCGAGTCGATTTTTTTTGGAGGGGTTACGTCAAGCTCGGAGCTGGGGAGACCCAGCTCCGAGCGACAAGCGACAGGGGTGACGACTTACGTGACCTCTCTGGTGTCTTGTACGGTGGAGGCGCCTCCCACCGCGTTGCGGTCTGCGGGCGCTGTCTTCTTTGTTGTTGTTGCGGCGGTTATCGCCGCAAACACACGGTGCGCCTACTTGGGCTAAGTAGGCACAGATGCTCAAGAACTGTAACAAAAAAACAAACATAAGTGTTATGAATGTAGGTGGGTAGGGCCACATCGCGGCGCCGCATTGGTTACCCGCGGGGACTTCCTTTGCGGCGCGGCGGGGCCCTTGTGGGTTGTTGGAAGAGTGGTACTAGTACCAGGGGGAGGACCTCCATCCTAGTTGGGGTCGTCCGTAAACCCTTAACGCCGTCCTTAACGGGGGCGGTGTGCGGTTTTCCTTTCCTGCCGCCGCTCTTCCTTCGCTCTCTCTTGGAAGAGGTGGGCGCTCCTTGGGACGGCGGGGGGTTGTGGTCGCCATGAGCGACTCCCCCTGTTCCTTCTCCCCTGTGGGCTGTGCGTTACCGGAGTCGGCCCTTGACGCCACTCGCCGGTGATGGCGACCGTCCCTGTCTTCTTGTTTCGCAACTCGTGCTGGAAGACGGGGCAGTGTGTATTATTTGCGGGGTGCTCCCCCCTGCAATTGGCATATTGCGAGCTCTCTTGCGGGCGCGGGCAGTTGGCGGCGGGGTGCTCACCGCCGCATCGCACGCATGCCTGCGTTCGGGGGCATTGGTGGCTTGAGTGCCAAAATTCTTACCCCGCCAGGCTTCTATTTTGACGCCGTTGATGCCCAATATTTCATCTATTTCAAAAATCCCCGGCGTGATGTTCGGTGTCCTCTTTAATACGCGAGGAGGATGGCCCCGGGTCGGTCGCTGCGACCTTGAATGTTTTTAACGTACTCGGGGTCGTAGCCCAAGTCGCGTAGTTCTTGTTCCACCTCTTCCGATGTCGCGTTGCTCGGCAGTGCGCGTATGGCCACCTTGATGCTCCGCTCCTCCCGCAGGCAGTAGGTGAACCACGAAACTTACTCTACATCTTTTATCTATTTGTCTGAGTTGGAATCAATTAAAGTACTTTTATGTATCCCCACCATCAATAGAATTTAAATCTGGGTGGTATGGGGGTAGGAGAAGCACGTTATGCCCATTTACCTTTTTTACAACGGCATACACTTTTTGACTTTAAACCACTGGAATCTTTCTGTGTAATTTTTCTCCGTATGACACCTTCTGTGAAACTATCAATTTCAATCCTTTTTGTAGAAAAATGTTTTTACGTGGTGATTTGAAAGTTACTATACTGTCTTATGCTTTCATGAATCTAGCATCTTCTAAAATTTTCTCAATCTGTCGCTTCAGAAACAGTTTTCGCCAAATTAATGTCCATTCAATTCAATTCATTTTATTTGAAAAATATATTATGGGCTTTACAATAAGCAGTGTTGGAACAGAAACAGCGAGTTTGGGCTTATTAATATAAATGTTACATCATGAAAAAAATTACAATATTTTTTATGTCGTATATTGACGCGCAGTTGCACGCGTTGCCCTTCCACGCTACACCTCCCGCTATCCGCTGACATCTTGAGTACTCCGTCCCGCCACCGTCTGTCACTCCGCAGGAAGGTCGCGCACGACGTTGACGGACTATAGTCAGCCTTATAACAAGTTGGTACACGGAATACAACTTATACAGTATTATGATAGTTTCAAATAAGATTAATAGGAGTCCATTTTTAAACCTCGTCGACCCCCAAAATCAGTTTTCGTTCATGTCAACCTCTCGCTATCAAACTCTTTGGGAATCCCTGATGAGAAAGAAGTGCTAAGCCTCCCCTATCTCGCCTTTTTTGGCACGTCAATCAATCAAATACCAAGGGATAAGACCTCTCCACTTGTTGTGACTAAAAACTATTTATTTATGTGTAGGAACCGCGGTAGTACTTCAGCAGAGAAGCGGTCAGGGAGAAGGATCAGCAATTGAAGTTGGGCGTTTGGGTCCCTCTGATTATTTTGGAGAAATAGCATTGCTACTAGACAGACCCCGAGCGGCTACAGTTCGAGCAGCCGGACCACTGAAGTGTGTCAAATTAGACAGAGCTAGGTTAGAGAATATTGGATGCCATATATTTCATAATTATTAGGCTAAAATATGGAAAATATTTTACTATAAAACATGCAAAATATTGTTTTGACACTTCGATAACGCTGTCTCTACCAAATAAAAAATTGATGTCTGTTTTTGTTGAAAAGAAAGAAGAAGAATCCTATTTTCAGCGGCCTGTTTGTTTACGTTCATTGCATGGCTGAGACGCTACTGATAATATTGATTGTAGATTGTAATAAAACTATGCGATACAATCATGGCAATGAACTGCTATCTTTTTTTACTAAAAAGTTTTTGAATTATATATTACTACATTATAAATAAACATTTTGAATGATTTATTTTTATTTACAGATTCGAGAGAGTGCTTGGTTTATGTGCAGATATCTTGAAGCGTAATATCGCGCAGTACAACAGTTTCGTGTCACTCTCTGTCTAACAATGTGTTCACAATTAAAATATTGGTACAACAAATATTCAGATTCAGAGGCATACGATGTGATGTTATCAGTACTTAAGTACTTTTTAATGTAGTTAAAATGATACCTTGCTACCATTTTAGCGACGTGTTTTAAGATACCCGCCAATGCTAATTCTTGATAACTTAGTTTAAGTGTAATGATTCTAAGGTGTATAGTAAAAGGCTCTGTTTTCACTAAAACTACTCAGTTTTCGATTTGCTTGAGATGGGAGAAAAATATTTATATTGTAAAGAGCTTCTGACGGGCTTAGGCAGAGCGAATTACCAGTATATTCTGTATCCATACGTTCACTTTTCAATTATTTATTTTTTAATAAATAATATTATTTTTTCAAAAGGATTTAACAAACGACTGAAATCAATCTTTGAAACTGCAACTACCGCTGAAGAATATGACATCCCTCACTATTTATACGTAAATACTTTGCAGTTACCTCATCTCGTCTATACGTTAATTTAATAAAGTCCTAAAAGATAATGACCCTTTGTCATTCAGGGTTTCAAATATGCAGCAAGTAAAACCATTTTCGATCGGTAATTTGGTTTTTACGTTATTGGGATTAGTTTATGGAACAGACTTTAAGATCGCTCGACTTTGACAAGATCCGTCCTTAGCCATTATGTTTAAGTGGAAACATAGCATTAGAATGAATACCTAATTATAAGGCAGATGTTCGAATAGTCCTTTCTTTTTAAGTTACTTGGTGCAAGTTATAAGAGTAATTATTAATTGTTTTAAAAATATAATTTATGTTATCTTATGGTTACACAGAAATAATTTGTTTCTGTAAATTATAATTTATTGTATTTATTATGGTCAGAGCTCAAATTTTCTTTATAAGTATTGAGTTTTTTTGTTTTGTTGTTTGTTTAGAACGAAAGTTGGAACACATGATCACACACAGCGTGATCGCAGTACAGATCGATCGTTTAAGTATAAAATGAGTGTTCTTTTTAAAAATCTAACCTTGTCGCAACTGGCTCGTGAAGTTTCAAGAACAATTAGAATAATTAGTACATTCGATTTTTTTTTTGCTCTGTGTACCCGTATATGTTATTGAGGGCTGCTTCGCCACTGTCTCTGAGGGCCTCGATCAGGAGTTAAAAAATGATATGTCACTTATCTCGCCAATATTAATTAAAAAGTAAAGTATTATAACAAATTTATGGTAATGCAATTGTTATGTGTCCGCATCTTATTGCTCTGTATATCACCAAACAATTTTGTTCAAGAATAACAAACTTTGTACCGTAAGGAATTATTTATTTCTTTGAAGCTTAATTCTGTTTAGTAATTTTAACGCAATTGTTACAAAAAACGTAAACTTCATTTACGTTTTTAATTTTTTTAAATTATAGTCTATTATACATATTATTATCTTAATATGTAGATAATGTTTAAATTACCATAAACAATACAATAGCACAGGTGGCAAGTGGTCAATCTACTTTGAGACGTCGAGTCCCCTGGCTTTGAACTCCACTCTGAGACCTGGATGCGAGAGCCGTTGCAGCTCTGTATCAGTGCCGCAAGTAATTGGGTAGGAGTCTCGAGACTCGAGAAATTGAGGATCAGAAATCATAAATCCGCCAGGTCATCGTAAGAGGAGTGGAAAAAACTTCTTTGCAACTAAACGCCGGGCACGCCGTTATGAGGATTGGCTCGAGAGGCATCACGGGACCCTCTCCGGGATCACCGAGAAAGGATGCTTCGGGAATCACCTGTGTCTGATCCACAAGGAGCCAACGCCTGTGTGCCACTACTGCGATGGCTGGATCGTGGACACGGCACTCTACACGCTGGCAGAATGTCCGGAGTGGGTTGAGCAGAAACGTTACCTCGTGGCGGCCATCGAAGTAGAAGCTCTCGTTTAGTACCATGATTGCGGCCGTGGTACGGAGCGAGGGCGCGTGGAACTCCGACGTCTCCTTCTGTGAGTAAGTTATGGTTGCGAAGGAGATGGCGGAGCCGGACCGGGAGAGATTTAGAACTGTCCCAGACGACTCGGGCGCCGGAGGTCGCAGAACGACCTCCGTCCTCCATAAGCGTAGCCCTGGGGATGACAATTTAGGCCATAGGATTGTAGAATGGGATCACCGTGGTTCCCCCACACGAGTGGGTCATCTACAAGCCGTAGATAGGCTAGAAGGCCTTTGGGATACCAGGGCTTTCCGTCCTAAGGTAAGCAAGCATAAAATTAAAAACCAGACAGACCAGTAGACCAGAATTAAATGCGGTAGACTTGGCTATTTAAAAAAATCCCCAATAAATGTGTATAAATTTGATTCTTAATAAGTATGTATTCCTAGTAACTACTATTGTTGTATTATTTCACGTTAAGATTATTCTTATTTCTAGTTTAACGTATTTATAAATTATATTTTATGTTGTGTTTAGACGTTGTCCATGAAAGCATTAAAATAATTACCAAAAAGTGTTTAACGTTTACTTTTCTTTGGTGGATTACCTGGTACTGAATAGTTGAAGCGTAAGCGCTTTCCTCATTAAGAAAATATTCCTGTGTCGCGGGAACGTTACAAACATACATGAAACGGAATACCAATATTTTTAAATGCCCTCTTCAGTATCAGCCAATCAATAAACATTTTCAAACAACACAAGACCGATTCATTACACATCACAATCTGCAGATGATTTTGATATTTATTGTACACAAAAAAGCAAGCCTACAAGTAGTAGATAGGTAGTATAAAATACAGGGGCGTGCGCTCCTTGTAGGCAGAAATGCAGTGCTTTACTTGCTATTCACAGACATTTTAATAAAACGTTGGTACGTTTTAGATGACTTTAATTAATAGTAAATAAATGAAAAAACAAAATATAATAACTTAAAAACACCTACTATTTAAAAATAGCACCACACAAACATTGTTTGCCAGGTGTTTACCGAAAAGCAAGCGCAAGCAAAGCAACTCATGCCGTCGCCTCGCGCAGGACATTTGTTCGCATGTGTGTAGTAATTTTGGTGTCCGTGTACAGTTCGCAAACGCACACACCCATTTATTTTATATCCCCGACAGGCCCCGACTACAGCCGCAGGATACTGCAGTTGGCCGTTCGGGTCCCGCGCTAATCGTTGTCGTGAGAATCCACCCAATTACAATAGTCAGAAATATAATAAATCATGTATGCGGATTATGAATTTTGAATATGGTAAGGTTTTATTTGTTTAATTAGCAGATATGTTTCTTGTTCGCGGGGGCCATTTTGTTTTTTTAATGTGATAAGCATTGTTTACTATTTTCTTTCCGCCAGTATAATTATAGTTTTATTTGAAAGTGTGTACATTTAACAGTTTATTACTGAGTTCCGTTGATTTTTTTAAAATGTTATTTGATTGTGAGTTATGTGTGGATAATGTATGTCTTTTAAAAATGAAAAATAACAAGTTCTCACAATTGCCATTCAGTGAAAAGATTAAAATTGTGTCCAAAGGTAGGTGTGTACCCGAGTTACAACCATTAAACCAGCAAAAAGGAAATGTAACTTACAAGTTTCATGTTAAAAGTTATGAAACGTGTAACTGGCTGTGTGGTTGTGTACACACGATTAAATTATATTGTTTTCCTTGCATATTGTTTAGTAATTCTAGTACAGTGTGAACTGATTCGGGATATTCAGATTTAAATAATTTCTATTCCGCAGCAAAGAAGCATGATGCATGGTGAGTAGTTATAATATTTTAGCCTATTATTTTACTTATTAGAATTTCTTCCGCCGCGACGATCTATCGCTGTTTTGTCTGCGTTCCCGTTGAAGATGTACATGAATAGTAGTACATCTAAGACTTGTGCTAAAAATCTATAAAAGAAAAAGTGACCGACTACCTAGTGTCATAATCCTGTGCACGCCGCTGATAAAATATTTAGGCTTGTGTCTAGATCGATCTCTCAGATGGGCTGTTTTGTGGCGGGGACAAGTTATCCTAAACATTTAACAAAAAATTATATTTCTCTCCTAAGAAGTCGTGTCGTCGTCCTGTAAATTTTTACAAAAATGCAAATCTGTATAAATTAATAGTAAAATAATTAACTACTTAGATAATTGAGCCAACTGTCTAATCGCATGGCGTAGGAAAAATAAACCTGTTTTAATAAGAATGTACGAACAATTGAGAGAAGTGCAAGTTCATTGTACCCAAAATTTAGAGATGTTTGAGAACCGGGTGTGGATGGCTATATAAATATTTCAAAAAATTTAAAATATAATATATATTACATAAACAAGCTTAAACAGCAATATGTAACATCCGTTTTGAGGGAATTGTCTTAATTTTATTGATACTCAGTTGCCGAATTACTAACAGATATTTACCAATGGATCGAAAGAAAAAGATGGCGTGGGGGCGGCCCTCTTCGATCCTCAGCAGATTACAGTCGCTCGCTATAGAATTAGGGTAAAAATATTGATAATGTATATTGAATTAATAGCTATTAGTGAAGCGTTATCTTATATTCATTCCATTGACCACGACAAGTTTATTATTACTGCTGACGCTAAAAGTGCCCTACATGTAGCTCTGAAGGTATATTTATTTCAATACCACCTTACTTTTCAAACTGTAAAAGAATATTGTTTTAAATCCTGGAAAGAGTATTTCGATAAGAGAGCAACCGAAAAGGGTATCTGGTATAAAAATATACACCCTGAACCGCTGGCTATCCCTTGGATTGATAACTGTTCATTGAGTAGACATAAATTGATAACGGTTATGAGGTTACGCTCTGGACACATCTCATCCCGAAAGTTCCCCTTTCTTGTGAAATCTGTGGTGTAGTAGAGTACGTAGAACATATTTTGATGGAATGTGTTCGGCACCAACAACTTAGAGAACGCCTGCTTAGTGATAAGTTGATGGACATTGGAAGATGTAACAGATTCCTGGCCAGTCCTTTGACAGATACAGCTAAGGCTATTTATACTTTGTATTATTAAGTATAAGTATATTAAGTTTAGTTTAGTTTACAGAAGCAGTGGATATAATTAGACCCTAATCGCTACTAGATATACCTACATAATTTTAATTCTTTATTTTAAGTTCAGGTGAAATAAGATTAGCCTCGTTTGTTGTTGAACACAATCTACCATTTACTATTATGGAGCACCTACCGAAGCTGATGCAAGCCGTTTGTACTGATTCAAAAATAGCAAAAGAAATAAAATGCTCTTCGACCAAAACTCATGACATAATTGATTGATATGTAAAGAAGGTTTCAATAATTTATGTGAAGATCTAGGGCAAACTAAGTTTTCGCTTATTATTGATGAGTCCACTGATCTTAGTACAACCAAACACTTGTGCTTAGTCGTGAGATATGCGAAAATGATTCGTATTAAAGATTGTTTTTTAGCTCTTATTCCATTAGAAGAAGCTAATGCAGCAACCTTATTTGAACACATTGTAAACTTTTTTAGAAGCAATGATATTCCATATAAAAATAATCTAATAGGTTTTGCATCTGATGGGGCAAACGTAATGATGGGACGTAATAATTCTGTAGTAACATTGCTGCAAAATGAAATTCCCAACATTTTTATTCTTAAATGCGCCTGCCATTTGTTTCATCTTTGCGCGTCATATGCTTGTACCAAATTGCCACGCTTTATAGAGGATCTTGTAAGAGACATTTACAACTACTTTTCTTCTAGCCCAAAAAAAGTGGCAGAGTTTAAAAACTTTTAAATGTTTTGCGACTTAAGTCCATAAAATCCTTCACCCCTCTCAAACACGCTGGTTATCAGTATATGCTGCTGCATAAAGATAATATTAGAACAACTCTCTGCTCTAAAACTATTTTTTATAGACCAAATCTCTAATAATGATCATCCTTTAGCTGCAGAACATATATTACAGAAGCTCCAAGATCCCACTACGATATTATTTTTGGAATTTTTAGATTTTTTATTACTATATATAAATAAAGAAATGTAAGCAGAACACCCGAAAATTCATAATTTATATGAAAAAATTACTGGAACATTAAAAACTATTTTTGATTGTTTTTTTTAAAAGAAAATATTTAACTGGCACTCCAATCGAAAATGTTTATTTTAAGAATCCCAGAAATTTTATGGATATTGACGCCGTATACTATGGTGCTGCTGCGTCTAATACACTACTAAGTAGTTCAGAAATTCTAAATCAGATCAAGTAAATTAGTTTAAATGCAGATGCCTAGATTTTTATATCGAAGCTTGTGAGCATAACCACGCGGTTTCCATTTAAAAATAATCCAATAAAAGGTTTAGACATAATTGATCCAAAAAATGATAAAATTGGCAAAACTGCTTCGATAGTTCCTGTGAGTAGGCTCTTTCCCAATATTGTTCAGAGCAATGATTTCCAGGAAATTGATACAGAGTGGCGCAAGTGGCGTTAAGAAATTGTGAACAAATCAAAACATTTCCTGATGATGTAGAACTATTTTGGGATGAAGTAAGTTTAATAAAGCGTGGCGATGAAACTCAAATGTTTCCTTTGTTGTCTAATTTCATCTTTAATATTTTATCACTTCCCCATTCATCCGCTAACGTTGAACGCATATTTTCACATATTAATCTTTTGAAAACAAAACAGCGAAATAGGCTGTCGACTGAATCAATCACTGGTCTATTACATTTAAAACGACTCTTTAATACAGCTAATTGTTAATTTGAAATTAATTCGAAGGTGACCGCGGCTATGGCCAAAGAATATTGGTATTATAAAAATTTATACTTAAGTGTGATTGTTATAAATTAGTCTGAAAGTTTTTTTCAATAAATAAACGAATTTGATTGGAAATTGTATTTTTTTGTCAAATACCGATTTTGAGTACAAATATACCGATTTTAGCTGGCAACTCTACCCATCTCGCTTTATGACGTTCGAGACCACCGAGTAGAGATGGACATTTAAAATATAATGCATCGATCGGTCACATCGATGGTAATACGATGTATTGAGAAATACATCGATGTTTCTTAAACATCGATTATTTTCGCCATGACGTGTTTTAGGTTAGGTTAGGCCTTAATTAAAAAGAGCCTAAAGAGAGGAAAAAAATTTTGAGATGGAGCCCGCACCAGGAGCGGGCCGGCGCTAGGAGGGGTCCGGATGTCTTAATAACAGCTGTTCCCGGATCCCTCCTATTACAGGCGCAGAGTGGCACACCGTGTGGTTTTAGTCGGTTCGAGTCCGACACACCACCCCGCCGCAAACCCCGGTGGGGTGACGTTCCGAGGGGGGAAAAAAAATTAAAATTAAAAAAAAAAAATTAATTAAAAAAATATATATATATTAATAAAAGCAGGAAATATATTTATTCAAATTCAAAATCACACAACCAACGCATTTTTCTTTACATATTCCAATATTTTTTGTCAATGCTATGTAAAAACAAAAGTTTACTTAATCTCTTCCCCTTCAGTCGGTTCCTTCGTTCAATTCAGCGAGTATTTATTTAAAGCGAATTCATAATCTAGTATTTTCACATAATAAAAATCAAGTTTAATTTAATTTTCCCGCGAACAAACGAATAATACGAGTCGAACGACCTACAGCGTTCCAACGGGCGAATTAAAAGAACCCCGTTCAATAAACTATAGCTATTTGGCGGCTATACAACACTATACTCATTCATAATTTGCTTGGTCGATGCATCGAATAAAAAACATCGATATATATTCGATGTTGAAGTATTAACAATACATCGGTTTAATACGATGCATCGTTACTATACATCGAGTGTTTTAAATAAATCGATGTATATCGTCCATCTCTACCACCGAGTCAAACGTCGGTCAAGACGAGTGACGTTATTAAACGCGGGAATCATCATGCTAGTATTTCGTATTAATTCGTATTTATCAATAGTCCAATGTTTATAATATACTTTAAATGAGACTGCATATATATGTATAAAATCCCTGGACCTATAACTTCTATTTCGGAAATATGGATGTTATCGATAGCATAAAAAAAGATAAAGCATACGTAAAGTGTAAGTTAGTTGTTAAAACATGGGAAAAAGATTTCAAATCAAAATACAGCCGTACGCCATCGAAATTTGATATTAAAGAGGCACCTTTAAAAATTAAATATGCTTACAAGAAATATTTCCAGTTAAAAAGTACTGCTTTGCGAGACACACTGTCTATCTGTGATATTGATGATGATTGTAATCTATCGCCAGAACCTGTGCGGCCAGTGGAAACAATAATAAGTGACTCTTTGTGTTCTCCACCAGAGCTACCCAGTGGCCCTGAATTACAGAATTTGTTGTCTCAAACAACCATCACACAAGAAAATATCAAAACCTTAACCCCTTTTACAGAAAATCTTTCTAAAAAACTGTTTCGGAACAAAAAATTTGCCTTAAGAAATCCCAGGAAGTTAATAGTATCCAAGTCACAATCAACAGTAGAAAATAAATCACTGAACCTTAGCCATGATATTGCTGTACCTCTTAACTGTGACAGTGTTAACATAAACCCTATTAATTTGGATGGATATAGCCATGAAACAGTAGACTCAGATGAGGTGTGTAATGTTCAAAATAGTGAAACTGTAAGCCAAAAAATTACTACATGTACAGATGAGCCTATCAAACAGATAATTGATTTAAACATTGAGTCTATATCTGTAACTAATTACTTCACAAATTGTTCATCAAATATTTTTACTAGAAAATTAGATAATGCATGGATCGATAGAGCTACAGGATCAGTTCCTGGAAATAGTCTAGCTGCTGGTGGAACTCTCAAATATGGATTAAGAAACATAAAACTTGACACAGCAGATAAACATTCTGACTTTGTTGAAAACAGTGCATCTGAAGATGAAGATATGGTGATTGATAAATTGAAGCCTGCTCTTAAAAAAAGAAAACTTGATTATGACATGACTTATTCTCAGAATAAACACAAACCAAGTAATGAAAGTAATGAAATTTCTCCTGAACGTGTTTGTCAACCATTAAAAACTTCAAACTTTAACGGAAAACATATTCCAAAGAAAAGTACAAGTAGAAGGAAGAACACAAAAGTTAGTACTAAAGATGATGAACAAGAACCACCTGATCTTAGAGAATATTTGCCTTTTGGATTAGAAAAAGACATTCAGCCACGTCACTCTAAAATTACTAATGTTTTGAAAAATGTGACAGCACTTGATAATGTTGATGCACATACTGACTGTGGAGAAAATAAGAGTCTTGAGAATAAGATTAAAAATGGCACATTAAATGATAACTTTGTTAAAATTAATATTGAGAAAAAGGTCTTTGTTCGTGGAAAGAAAAGTATGAATTATTCAAAGTATAAGAAACAACAATGGAAAACAAAAAATAGTCTTCATGGTGGTATGGAATTTCCTGAATCTGGCAAAATTTCCTGTTTTAAATGTGGAGATTCTGGACATATGGCTAGATATTGCAGAGCACATAAAGGTGAGACACTTCTACCACTTGATAGTTATAGAGAAGATGAAATACCAACATTAGAAGATATGCAAAAACTTGCATCTGATCCTTCTTCTAGTAAACAGTCTGTAACTGAAGAGTTGCAAGAATCTGTTTATAGTTCTACTCAAATTCCGGACTCTTTCTTAAAAATGTTAGCTGAATCGAATGAAAGTGATAGTGGTAGTATTAAACCAATTTATAATGATTACAATGATGACATGTCAAGTGACTTAAAAAAGGCACTTCAAATGTTTGGACATGAAACATTTAGGCCAGGTCAGGAACACTCCATAAGGCGTATATTATGTGGAATGTCTACTCTCCTACTATTATCAACTGGAGGTGGCAAATCACTCTGTTATCAACTACCTGCTTACATCTATAGTCAGCATTATAAATGTATAACTTTAGTTATCTCCCCATTAGTTTCTTTAATGGAAGATCAAGTTTTAAATGTACCTGATTTCTTAAAAGCAGGATGTTATCACAACAATCAATCTCAGACTCAGCGTCGTAAAATAATGGAGTGTTTAAAAGAGGGCTTGTTAAACATTCTTCTCATATCACCTGAAGCTTTGGTGGCAGGGGACTCATCCAATGGATTGTCAAGCCTTTTCAAATCCTTACCTGCAATTTCATTCGCTTGCATTGATGAGGCCCATTGTGTGTCACAATGGAGTCATAACTTTAGGCCAAGTTATTTAATGATCTGTCGTGTTTTGAGGGAAAAGTTAAATGTAAAATGTATACTTGGTCTTACTGCTACAGCAAGTCAAACAACCATTAAAAGTGTGATAAGTCATATTAATATACCTGATGGTGTCAATGGAGTTATTAGGAATCCTGCTCTACCAGACAATCTGTTTTTGTCAGTTTCTAAGGAGAAAGATAAGGATAGAGCTCTTGTGTCCTATTTGTTATCAGAAGAAATAGCCTCATTTAATTCTATTATAGTATATTGTATTAGAAGGGATGAATGTCAACGTGTTGCAGCCGTACTAAGATCTTGCCTACAAGAAAGTGGTAAAATTAATATGGAGAGCAAAACTAACAAAAGAAAAAGAATGTCATATATAGCAGAGACTTATCATGCTGGCATGTCTGCTGCACAACGAAAGAAAATACAAAAGCATTTTATGGATGGTACACTAAGAATAATAGTTGCAACAGTTGCTTTTGGAATGGGTATCAATAAGTCAGATATCAGATGTATAATCCATTATAATATGCCAAGCAGTTTTGAATCTTATGTACAAGAAGTTGGGAGAGCTGGGCGTGATGGAAAGCCAGCATTTTGTCACTTATTATTGAGTAATAATCAAAATGATAAAAATGAACTTTTGAAGCACATATATGCAAATTCTATTGATCGACCAACTATTCGAAAATTACTTGCTAAGGTTTTTGTGCCATGTGAATGTACTAAATCTAGTGATCTGTCTAACAGTTACTGTAAGGGTCATGAAGTTGGAATTCCTATTGATGCAACGGTTGAGGAACTAGATGTACCTTCAGAAAATATTGCTACTTTACTATGTTATGTTGAACTTCATCCTAAACAATATGTTAAGGTACTTAATAATGCTTACATAAATTGTAAAATTTCATCTTATGGGGGACCAAAAAAAATTCATGAAGCTGCAAAATCCTGTCGAGCTTTAGCTATGGCAATTTTATTAGAAAATAAAAAGGATCCTGATACTATGACAAAAACTGTTTTGGAATTTAATGTTATTGAAGTAGCTGCTGCAATTGGTTGGGAGAGTGGTATAACTAAATATCAACTGAAGAATTTAGAATGGACCACTGAAACAGGTATATCTCAAAGATCATTTTTAAAAGTTGAATTTAACACCCTCGGTTTCCGAATAAGAGCAAGGGGAGATTTGAATGCTACAGAACTTGATAGTATTTTAGATGATTTACATTGTACTGTTATTTCACAAGAAAAAGCAAAATTATTTCAATTAGAAGAATGTAACATTGCTTTTCGTAATTTAGGAAGTTGTTCCTTAGAAAATACACTGTTGTCTAAAGAGTGTATATTAAAAACTTCTAATAATTTAAAAAATACAATAAACCAATATTTTGAAAGAGAGAATTTGCCTGAATATACATTAGAAGAGAGGCTATTAGATGTTGAACGGGTCACATCAGATGTGAGAGCTTTAATATTATCATACAAAGATTGTAACTTCTCTGGAAGAAGTATTGCAAGAATTTTTCAAGGTATTTCATCTCCTAATTATCCGGCAATTGTGTGGGGTCGCTGTAAGTTTTGGAGATCTCATTTACATGAAGATTTCAATGGATTAGTTAAAATAGCAACACAACAAATAATTCAGATGAAATAATGAAATATATCTGCATTAGTCTTACTTTACAATAACAGGTAGTTAATTTAATGTGTGTAAATGTATATAAAATAAATCAATAAAAATATCTCTAACATGGTGACTTTGAGTGTTTATTCAAGCGCTTTTGGCTTGAAGATAGTTTTCCTGACATACGTAGGAAATAAAGAAAAGGCACAGTGGAAACATTTTAATTTTTGGTAGGGAATTCTGCTTAATAGGCACTCACTTTTTGAGGTATAATTCATTTCTGAAGAAAGTTAGTCATGGTGTCGGGAACATCGGTGAAAATACAAAAAGTATAAAGGTACCGTCGAGTTCTATAATATATTGGCAATGCCAACGTTTCAAAATACTGTAAGCGTTAAAATGATCATATAGTTCCATGCACACTTATACATCAATAAAATGTTATCATATAAATTGATAATACATATGTTACGGTAGCGCAGTCAATAGTTGACTGCAAAGATAGCGTAGTGGTTTAAGCGGTCACCTCGTCGAGTGTTGTGGGTTTGATCCCCTCATGAAACATCACTTTGTGTGATTCAGAAATGGTTGTTTTAAGTCTGCGTGTTCTTTATGTCCGTTTCATGTGTGTTTGTAAGGTTTACAGACTAATATACACAGCTGAGTAACGCTTAAATTGCTAATAAAAAGCTTCCACATAAAAATAACCTAATAATAAACCACAGTTATACAAAATATTTCAATAGTTAAACCGCCGTAAGCTTGGCCCTCCTGATGGTTTGCGGGACGCGGGGCGGGTGATGCGCTCGGCTATACATGACACGATGTACTAACTCGATATCTTCAGATTTATTTGTTTGAGATTTAATCTACACACGATGTAATAAAAATCTTATTTATTTCCATGTATTATAATGTCAGTGTATTGTAAGATTTTATGATTGATTGTAAAATATAATACTGTAAAATAATTTTAATAAAATCACCTTATCTTCATCATGTAATTTACATGATATAATTATATACAGATACAATTCAAAAATTAAGTAAAATAATAAATATTCTTTATTAGAACTTTAACAGTAGAACCTCTGTAAGCCGAACTTCAAGTTTTTAAATCTTTTTGTGACGCAGAGTCGGCAGATTAGCATTGTCAGCAAAAAATAGAAACCAAAAACTAAATTATAGACAACACAATCAATAGGTATATCTACCGGTCGCTGCCAAAGAAATATTTACTGAAAAGTCTTTTGACTGTAGTTGAATTTGTACAAAACAAATCTTTCTACGTGGGAGGGCCATGCTTCGGCAAAAATGGGCCGGCTCGACCGGTGCGATACCACGGCCTCACAGAAAACCGGTTTGTAAGGCAATTTCTCTGTTACATTTCACCGAGTGAGTGAGGTTTCCGGAGTGAGATATCCCCCCCTCATGATAGCGCCGTTGAAAGATCAGGCCACCCCTCGCCACGCTTGACGTGAATTTCTGCAACATAAGGGGCCTTCACTCCAACCTACGCGCTGTCCACCACCATCTCGAGACAGTGAAGCCGGCCTTGCTCTTTCTAACCGAGACGCAGATATCATCTCCATCGGACACATCCTACCTCTCCTACCCTGGCTATCATCTGGAACACTCCTTTGTTGCTAGGGCTGGAGTGTGCGTGTACGTTAGAGGTGATATCAGTTCGCGCCGCCTCAGCATTCTTAAAGGACGGTACGTTTCCGTCTTGTGGCTCCGTGTAGACAGCGACGACCATCCCCGCGTCTACGCATGCCTCTACAGGTCCCATAGCGGTGACACCGAAACTGACCGACTGATGGACCACGTCCAAATAGCTACAGATTCCGTGCTGCAGCAGATCCCATCCGCGGTGATCGTGATACTTGGCGACTTTAATGCTCACAACGCCGAATGGCTTGGCTCACGCAAGACCGATCACGCGGGGAGATCTGTTCATGATTTCGCCCTGACCTATGGCTTGTCACAACTGGTATCAACGCCCACGCGAGTTCCGGATGTGGAAAGTCATGTGCCTTTACTGTTGGACCTTCTGCTGACCTCCGATCCGGACGGTTATAAAATCGCCGTTGAAGCCCCACTTGGCTCCTCGGATCATTGTCTAATCCGCAGTACAGTGGCACTCACGTGCTTGCCACGGCCGCGAGTTGCAGGCTGCCACCGTGTGTGGCACTATAGGTCAGCGGACTGGGATGGGATGCGTTCCTTCTTTGCGTCCTACCTATGGAGGCAGATCTGTTTCTTGCCGGATGACCCCACCGTCGTTGCCGATTCTGTCACTGATGTAGTACTTCACGGCATGAAACTATTTGTTCCTTCTACATTAATTCCCATCGGTGGCAGATCCAAGCCCCGGTTCGACAGATCCTGCAAAACGGCGTCCCGCTCGGGCAAATGCAGCGACGGCAGGCGATGTAAATACCAGCATGCTAAAAAAACAGTGTAACTTTGCCTCCAGGTCCCTTAAAGGAGCCATTACTAGGGCGAAATCGGAGTACATCTGCCGGATCGGTGAGAGACTAGTGGCACTTCCTTCTGGAACTCCTGGAAGGTAGTGTTTGTGCACCCGATCCCTTAAAAAGGTGACCGCTCTGACCCGTTCAACTACAGGCCTATAGCCATAACTCCTTTGTTCTCTAAGATTATGGAATAAATTATGGATTATAATCAACAGCCAGCTCCTCCGGTACCTGGATGATCACCAGCTATTCAATGACCGACAATATGGTTTTCGCAGGGGTCGCTCAGCTGGTGATCTTCTAGTCTTTCTAACACACCGGTGGGCACAGGCGATCGAGACCAAAGTAGAGGCTTGTGTGGTTGGTTTGGACATAGCGAAGGACTTTGATCGGGTCTGGCATAAGGCGCTTCTCTCGAAGCTCTCTTGGGCTTCCCGAAAAATTGTGTAATTGGGTCACCAGCTTCCTTGCGGACAGAAGCATTAAGGTCGTTGTCGACGGTGCATGCTCCGACTTGAAATTCGTAAATGCTGGTGTCCCGCAAGGCTGTGTGCTATCACCCACACTGTTTCTTCAGCATATCAATGACATGTTTTAAACTAGTGGCATCCATTGCTATGCAGATGATAGCACAGGAGATGCCCTTTATACCGGTCGCCCCAACATTTCTCGGGAAAACGTCATCGAGAGTCGAAACAAACTTGTGTCTGAAATTGAAACTTCCTTAGCGGAGGTTTCAGATTGGGGCCGACTAATCTTTACTTATACGTAAATGTACATAAATGAAGTTGTCGAGATAAACCAAAGTAGCGGAGCCCTAGGATTTCGGGATTTACACACAGTTGAATACCTCCACCATACATGAGCCCTCCATATAGGGTGATCGTCTAGGGTAGCCCATCAGATTAGTTAAAAAAAAATTGATGGCTAGAAATACTCGAGCATGTAAGCTTAAGGTAAGTTCGTGGTTTTTTGTTTGTCACATTTTATGAAAAAATCAAAAAAATTCAAACCGTCAGATTTAAAATACGCAGGGTATATATATGGCTGTGTGCTATCACCCACACTGTTTTTTCTGCATATCAATGACATGTTGCAAACTAGTAGCATCCATTGCTATGCAGATGATAGCACAGGAGATGCCTTTTATACCGGCCGCCCCAACATTTCTCGGGAAAACGTCATCGAGAGTCGAAACAAACTTGTGTCTGAAATTGAAACTTCCTTAGCGGAGGTTTCAGGTTGGGGCCGACTAAATCTAGTCCAGTTTAACCCAAAAAAGATACAGGTATGTGCGTTCACCGCAAAAAAGATACCATTTGTCGTATCACCTCAGTTTGAGAGCACCTCCCTAACTGCCTCAGCCAGCATCGGAATCCTAGGCATCGACATATCAAGCGAAGTTCAGTTTCGGGGTCACTTAGAGGGTAAGGTCAAATTGGCCTCGAAGAAGCTCGGTGTACTGAAGAGAGCGAGGCAGTATTTCACTCCCACCCACCGCCTTCAGCTCTATAAGGCGCAACTCCGGCCGCATATGGAATACTGTTCTCATCTCTATGCAGGGGCACCTCAGTACCAGCTTCTCCCTCTGGACCGCATCCAACGAAGAACGATTCGAATCGTCGATAGTCCAAACATCTCCGATCGGCTCGATCCCTTGGCGTTAAGTAAAGATGTGGCTTCACTTTGCGTTCTCTTTCGCATATATCATGGATAGTGCTCCGAGGAATTGTTCGGACTAATACCAGCCGCAAATTTTCGCCATCGTTCCACACGGCGCGGCCACATAGTTGGCGCTCCACTACTATGCGCTTTTCGAGATACTTTTTGCCCCGCACAACCAATCTGTGGAACGGATTATCGTCTGCGGTATTTCTGGACCGATACGACCTTCAAGAAAAGAGCGTTCCCTTCCTAAAAGGCCCGCAACGCGTTTGTGACTCCTGAGTTGCAGACGTTCATGGGCGGCGATATTGAACGCAGCGGACTCCATTTTGAGCAGTTGCTTCGATACAGAGAAGTGTAAATAAACTGTAAATAGGTAGGTATGTAAGTTAATTATTCTGTAGATAGCTCCGATTTTTTAAATACGCCTGAAATATTTATACCTACAGTCCGTTGATAAATTGATTTGTTGTGAAAAGAACAATCGTGGTTAATAATCGAAAAGAAGTTTAAATAAAATAGGTATTTCCGACGGTCCTAAGCCCGTGTAAAGTATGAAGGACAAACTGGAGTCTATCTACTTGCTAGCTCGCGCCTATAGGTATACTTTTATCAGCTGCTGTTAGCGTCAGCGGTGCGCAGCGGCCGCCGAAACGCACACGGACGTGTTTCATTCATATAAGATAATGAATGAATGATCAGTCCATAACTACTTTCCAAGTCGATCGAGTAAAAATGAATATTAAAACTAAAACTTTGTTTAGTCAACATTCCAATTGATTTAACCATTTTTATTGGTACTATAGATGATTCCAAATTAAAATGTTTCGTTTCCAAAACGCCTATAAAATCACCGTGTATAAAATACACCTTGACAAAGAAAAAATGCATAGGAAGCATTTGCATATAAATAAATTAACGTATGACTCCAGGGAAGTGGCAGATTAAGACAGCGGTAATTCATAAATATTTACAATTCGTTTATATAAATGTCTTTAATCCATAAATATACGGTATTTATTGCTTACGTGATTACTTAACACTATACAGTCGCTATACTAGAACAATATTATGCTTTACTAAAAATGTACATAAATCACAAGCAAGGTAGTAGACAAAAGAAGTGACCTTAAACCTATATTATGCAGAACATTGCCTTCAACGCTTCAAACTTTCATGACAAAAATAATTCGCTAGTAAGTATGTATGTGACTTATTGCTAGTGATCGGAACTTGGGTGCTATTTAAGACGATACCACTAGTATGGATATGACGATATCCCCGGAATTGCGGTAATTGATTCCCGTAATTACGGTAGGGCTAAGAATATTTGATATTATCTAAAATGTGCGGAAATCGCGTTTGTTTAAGGAATACGCTTACGTTACTGAATAGATAGGGTCATAATATTACATATAAGAAGTTTATTGCTGTACTTTATGGTATTAGTTAAGTTTCGTATTTAATTAATACCTCCATTCGCCTTCGTCAAATTGCTATACTTTATTTAATGTATCAAAACAGCCATCACATCGTGCCGCAACTTTAAGTAATTTTAGATATCCCAAAGTTTTTCATCGGAAGTTTACCTACTACACAACAAGTCAACCCCGATTTCGTACCACACTAAAGTTATTCCAGGCCAAACCGATTTATGCTACATTATGCATGTCAAGATATACTAGTGAAGCTTAAAAAATCTAGTCAATAAACTAGTTTGACTTAAACAAACTAGTTTGGCCTGATATTGGGATTGCCCAGCGACATTATATTGTTTTAGATTGTTTCACATCACATAGGCCTCTCCTTAGAAAGGAGGTTTTGGCCTACTATAGATAAGATTGTTTATTGTTGGTTATTGCATAAAAAATTATAAAAATAATCTCTAAGTACCTAGTAAATGATTGTTTCATTTACTTATTAAAAAATCCTGACATATATATTTTTGTTGCGTGAAGTATGAATTATATAGAAAAAAAAGTAGTATAGAAGCACAAGAACCGTTATCATTCAAAACTCTAATTTCTGAAAATTCTTGGTTAAAGTACCGATTCCCGGGCATTTTTAGTCATATCCATACAGTAGATAGTAATGGCACCCAAGATTCTGATCTATGCTTATTACATGCCAGCATTTAATACTTTCAGTACTTATTACATTTCTATGATATGCAACCTTCACAAAAAAACTGGTATACTCGTAGAACAGTTTAATTTGATGAAAAATGATAGATTTTTGTGTACCTTATAGACAGGTACAATTAGAGAAAAAAATTGAAAAATTTGGAACATTACGAATGTTTAGAGTGAAAAACCATTTTTATTAAAGATTCAACTATTAGGAATTGAATGCAATAAAAATTATAACGAAATATATTCATCTAAGGTGCTAAAAAAAATGTCGCAAATGGTGAAAAGCAGTTTTTCGCGTCTGGAAAACTAAAGCTGCTACGAAAAAAAAATTAACAAATGTACGCAATAAAAAAACAAAGAGAATTAACCCCGGAGAGCAAAGTCGGACCATCAGATCACCCGAAATATGCAAGAAACCAGTTTTTTTTTTTGCAAAACTTGGAAAATTGAACTCGCGTTCGGGAAGTGGTATAGCTGAAATTTGGATATGTTGTCAGTGTTGTAGTCTTGTAAATACAGTTAAATTTTGAGGTCAAAATGTCATTTTTTTGCAAACCATCGACTTTTGCTAAAAGTAACCTGGTTTTCATTTTTGAAAAACGTTATAATTTCAACATATGTGTTTTTAAGGAGGAGTTTAACTAAAAATATCCAAATTTTCAGATCATTTTTTTCTTTAAAAAGACAACTTCACAAATTTGAAAACTATACATTTGCTTAAAAAGTCAATAAAGAACAATTTTGCAAAAAAAAACGCGCCTATAGGAATTTTCCGGACCAAAAAACTAATTCTATCTGTCTGTTACACACACTCTTAAAACCATCAAAAATAAATTCAATTTTAATGCGCTGTTAGACATGGCTAACAATTTATCATTTACCATCACGATCGCATGTACACCTATCACCAATAAAGTGATGTACCCACTGACCTCATTAAAATACTATCTCTACTTCACGTAAATCTTATGATGTACCGTAATAGTAAGTCCGATTTGACAATCATAATTCTGTTATTTTAGGTTAACGTATAAGCCACTGTCATTCCATTGACACACTATTGACACATAGACACATGGACATGTGTCAAAATATCGGTATTCTACTACTTCTACTACTAACAAATTCACAGTGTCAATAGACTCGATGGCTCAACAATGGTGATATCAACAACATTAGCTTGTCTGGAAAATGAAATATATCATTTCCTTACAAATTTAAAATGTACCGTTTCACAAACGTTCACATCAATAGCCTTTAATAGTCCACTGCTGGACATAGGCCTCTCCTTAGAAAGAAGGTTTTGGACGTTATCGACGACATTTGTATCAGTGGCAGTTCAGTGACAAGTCATCGAAAGTCTTACATAGTTAGTAGAATACGAAAAGTGCAAAACTATTTCGATGACATTGCATCGAGTCTATTGATACAATTTAAGAAATAGCAGAATTGAGGCCCAGCTCGTTCGCACTCATGCACACGGTTGATGTGATGGAGAAAAACTGGATGTAAAAAAACTGTACAGTCAACGGCCATAAGTGCATTCTCACCGTAATGTGTTTATCTGTGTGTAATGTTTTAATGCACACAAACAATTTAACAAGACAATACTGACGTATACGAAAGTTGGTGATTGGTCACATGCATGTGTGCACAACACTAGATTATATCTAGTGTTGTGCACACATGCATGTGCCCAATCTACCACCACCTACCACCAAGAGTTAAATAACTACTACCACCAAGAGTTTAATAAGTAGGTGTATTAACACCTACTTATTAAACTCTTGGTGGTAGCTCCTATTTGAAAGCAATGCTAAAATTCATCTTAATACCTAGTCATTAGAACTAGTGGCAGAATTGTACGATTAGCGATCTATGCTGTTGTTTTTTGGTTCCATTTGTGTTTGGAAAAAAATAAAAGCGAGAACGACGGATTGACCTTATTTGGATTGTGCACCACGGGAAAAGAATATTCGGGAGCACTAGCAGTTGCAACGAAGCTGTTGTTTTCCGTTGAGGTTACCAGTAACCCGCTCATTATTAACTGAAAGTTTTATCAACTTTTTTACTGACAACTATCGACTTTGTTCAAAAATGAAATATAACAATAAAAAAGTTTTTAAATATTGCGCGATGAAATGTTTCATTTTAATTCTCTAAAACCGAGACTTGTTTGACCAACATTATGATCGATTCTAAACTTTGGCGGTGATAAGGTCACAATGGATTTAGGTCAGTCAATTACTTTTACACTTACAGAACATTACATATACATATAATTTCAATTCCATCAAGCATCTGCCCTTGTACCTATATAAAAGAGACGAAGTATATAAACAGTTTAAGAATAAGTAAACACATAATTTCTGGATACAAAATATTTTGTTTATTTGGGACATACATATTATACCACAAAAAAAATAGGAAAGTATTATCAATACAACCATTATCTTTGTTTATAACCGTTGTTCAACAGGTATCTGCCAAAAATATTGAAATTGTTTATTTGGAACCTTCACTTACTAGTACTAACTTACAAGTACACGCCTGCCTGGACTGAGTCTATAATAACAATAAGTTGTTCGTTCGTTTTAGAATAAGCGTGATCGTTTCTCGATCTGCATTATTTAATTTATGCCGCTGTTGTAGTCAGAGGTAATGTTCGCAAATGCATGAAAAGAAACGATGACGTTTATCGTACACATAAACCAAATACAGCTGACCACCCAGTTGTCCAACTTTACAATTTATTTTATCTACTTATGTCTAAAATATTTTATATCGACTTTAAACTCGTATCTATCATTTACCTATAATTTAATATATTTTTTATATTACAAGAGTGAAGTAGAAAATTAAAACTTTTCTACATAGTGCTTAGTACATAGTACGAGTATTTAAACCTTATAACTACGTTATAAATATTCGTCACACTCGTTCTAGTCGTCCAACAGTCTTATTTAATTTACCTATTAAACCTTTCGGATCTGGAGATAGGGAACTCCATTGAGTAGAAATGCAACTTTCAAATTTGTAATGTCCACATGTCAATTTATCTTTTAGACTACTATTAGATTTAATACAAGAGCCTAAGACATTATAAAAGTCGAAACTCAGTCCATCTATCCATTCTTTCAAATCTTTTTTAATTCTATGAATATTGGACTGGGATATTTCATGTAAAAGTATCCTTTGTTCATAATCAGGTAAAAAGTTATATAGTTTTACATTTGAATAGTTTTTATATGCATTTTGTGATCCACTGTGAATTATATTAGTCTCTCGTTGTGATAATTCCTTACCTGAAAAATATTCTAAAGGTGATATTAAAAACTTAGTTGTTACTATTAAATTACTTTGTTCAAACAAGCCCACTTTCCATACTCCAGGCAACAGTGGTGCTTTTAAATTTGGTTTGATAAAGTTTGTGAGATTATTTTCATCAACATGAATGCCATTAACATCAGCTATGGCACCAGCTGGATCTAACCACACTAGCGTCAAATTTTCATTTTTCTTTTCAAGTTGAGTTGAAAATCGATATAGTAAAATTGGTTCCGATAAAGGACCTAATATATTTGCCAGATTCCTAAATGTCATCTCTTTTTGATCGTAATCAGAACTTACTTTAAATATTTGAATATAATCTGCATACTTGTTTTCAAAATTAACTTCAATGTACTTTTTAGGTTTATACCATGTCTCTATCAGTACTTCTACTTGGTCATGTAACATAGCTTTATGTAAAACTAGATTTCCTTTGTAAACATCTGCATAGTTATAAGAACTAACTTCAACTACTACATTAGGCACTATTCGACAACCCTCATCAGATAGAATCCTTGCGTTGTGTCGAACAATACTTGCTGCATGGGTCAACATTATATCGTCTACAGTTAAATCTTCAATGTTATATAAGCTTTGCCAGTATGCTTCCAAATTGTTTAATAAGTGATGATCCTTAAATCCTATATATTGCTCAACTCTGTTGATAATTTCTTGATTTATAATAGGTTCGAATTTTCTTGCGAAAAACAGCTGACGATCTTGTGTGTTTTGAATCCTTGGCCAATCTTCAGTTCTGAAATCGTTAGGAGAACATCCACACCAATCAACTACGTGTTTATATTGACACTTACAACCCAATTTTCTTTTCCAATTGGTTACATGCAAATTGTTGTCCACGTATGTGTTACAAAATGGCGAATTCCTCAATGCTGTATGAAAGAACGATTCTGCTGGTAAAAGTGTGTGTTGGAATATAGTATCTAAACCAGCTAACAATTCATCTTTTTTTCCAATGACATACGTAACGAATTCTGGCGACAATGCAATCCAATCACTACCTCCGTCAATTACTATTCCTCGCGGTAGCTTTCTCTCGCCGACACGCCACATGTGCGTGTCGCATTCGATAAATGTTTTATCCAAGCCTTGTTTCTTTATAAATCTTTGCACTTCACGTCCATGTGATTTTACAAAGTTAAGACCTTTATTTACAGACAGAAAACTTTCTAATTCTTCTAGTGACTTGATAGGAAAATCACTTTCGCTTAAATTAATAACAAAATCCCATTTCCAGCCGAGTGTAGTAAAGTCTTTCATAGAGGAAAGTAACATTTTAAGCAATGATGCACCTCCCCAAATAGTTGAATATCTGAGTGTCGCCAATTTAATATTTGAGAATTGTGACTCTAGGACTGATAATTTTCTATGCAAATAGTCCTGACGCTGAAACAAAGAATATATATATATATATATATATATACATGTTGTTTAAGGGTACGCTAGCCGATGAGTCAAACACATCAATAGACAGTGTAATATTTTTTTAAATATTTATTTTTATTTTTTTGAAATTCATTTTTAAGTCACTAAATGCAACCAACTTAAATTTCAAACTACAGTCAATATATCAGAACGACATAAACTTGACTGGCCTGGTGGTCTAGTGGTTAGTGACCCTGACTGCTACTACAGAGGTAGTTGGTTCAATTTCCACCCAGGACAAATAATTGTGTGATGGTCATTTTATCTGTCTGGGTGTACTTTATCTATAATATGTATGTAATAAGAAATATATAAGTATGTTTATCAGCAGTCTGGTTACCATAGTACAGGCTCTGCCTAGTTTCGGACCAGACGGCCGTGTGAAATTATTTTTATTTAATTTGAAAAAAAAAAACAGATTCATTGATCACATGGTCTTTTGGTAAAATAAAACTTACATCATATTTTTTTGCTATTATAGTGTAAGGTGCTATACCTGCTTTCCCTCAAACAAGTTTATGTGAGCATAAGAAATAATTCTGTTGTAAAAAAATAGCAAATAATTAGCAAAAAAATTTGCCACAAAACCTGTTTTGATAAGTGTAAGAGATCCGGAAATATGGGGATGGCTACGCTGGCTTAAGTCTCGAGTCTCAAGTCAGCAGGACCATTGTTTTTCGGAAATGGCTATGGCAAAAAAATGGCAAAAAATTATGATGTAAGTTTTATTACGGCCCTATGACTTGACAAAGCTAGCTTCATAGACACCCACGTCCACGTGTTATTGGACATCGCCTAACGGTCGCGCTATGGGCCGCACACACCGCCCTTAAGAAAACCTTTAAAATAGTGTTGAGATATCGTCTTTCGCCACTGTGGACCATTTTGAAAAAAGAAAAGAGTGTACTCCCTCCTTAAAGTCTGACAACGTGCTCGTGACTCTTATGTTCAGGTGACCTGTCTGTTTGTTTGGTCCCAGTATCATAAAAAAAAGATATAGTAGGTATCCAGAAACCTCTAAACAAAAAGAAATTCATATGTTTAAAAAGTGTTTATTTTCTAAATATTGTGCACTAATGTAGCACTTACCTTGTCTATATGTATATAAAAATAATGGTTGCTCCTATATAAGCTATTTATTAGTCTGTGAACTTGTCTTAATGCTCGTCCATTCAAAGTTAACAGGAACACTATTTGTATCGACTCTTTTTTACTGCTTGAGGTTTCTGGTAACTTAGGTGTGAATTCTGAAGAAGAAAAAGCATTGATTTATGACAAATAGTTATCTGATACATACTACGATAGAAACTTAATTTAGATACAGCTTTGCAATATGATGACTTTATAAATATAAAAATTTACAGCTTAAGTAAAAATATATAGAGGTTGTCCAAATTGTAAATGATTTGTACTATTTTTCACAGATTGATTTTTTTAACATACAGCAACATTCTATTTTATATAATTATTCATTTCGGTTTTTAGGTACAATTAACAGTTTTATCTAAATATCAATAAAGCAGTCCAAAACAAAAAACAAAATTAACAGTCAATTTTACATTCCGAATGTTAAAGAGGTTGATTTTGCTTTACTAATGTAAAAGAGGCTGGTAATTTAGTTTTTTTTTTAAACTACATTATGATTTAACCTTGAATTTACTCCAAAAAGTAAATGCTTATAGTAATTTAATATATTTTTTTATAATATTTTAAAATGAATTACCAAAAAGGCAATAGTTGAGTTAAAGTACTCGTAGTTCTAAGTTTGATTTAATAGAAACTTATTTCATTAAATTTTATCATATTTATACTTCTTTCTTGTCAAAATATATGTTTTTAATTGATGACATAACAAGTTGTGCTTTGGCACTAATACATTTAATTGTAAGATTTCCAATGACCATAACTGACAATGTTTACAATACATATAAAGTAAGTATAATTACTTGCTAATCCAGTTTCATAAACATTCATAGTGAAATATCCTCCACAAGTTTTTGACAAATCTCCAGGGCATTTCATGTCACACAAATCATCAGCAGTGGCTGCTGTAATTTGGGGTTTTGTTTCACCACAAAAGCATTCAGACCTGTAAAAGAAAGGGTGAGTTGCCAATTTAGGACATCTGTTTGACCTCTATGGCTGGTTACTTCACTCACTAGGTAAAAACAACTAAAGAAATGCTTAACATAGCTCTCTCATATTTGTTTTGTTATGTTAGATAAACTGTGGAATATAATATAATCATATAAATTAGCATATTATGCTTATTCTCATATTAAGGTTTTTTTTTTTATGGTAGCTTTTTGACCTCTGTTTGAGGATCACACTGTTTTAAAGTATGTGTTTTAATTATACTGAAAATATGTAGATGCATAATTTATCAAAGATGCTCTCAATTCAAATATACTTTAAAGAATACCCATATAAAGTTTACTTTTGCAGATTCTCTAGAGATTCTGATTGCAATGAGGATTTTAATTTGTAATTGTGTGAAATGGAAACTTACTTTACATTAATAGAACTTTTAAATAATGTAGAACCAAAGTATTACTTCACTTACGCATATTGCACTCCAGCATACATGAAACCTGCTTGAATACAAATATCCAAACAAGCAGTTGGTGAATTTGTGTTAGCATAATTCCCATAGAAACCTGATAGCAATCTCATTTTCTTTTCATCTGAATAACATCCCAAGTATCTTCCATATTTGGCTTCCCCATGAAGGCACAAATTGGGTAATTGTTCTGCATAAAATTTACCATTTTGAATAAGACAAGTTTTATTCACAATTTGCTGTTTGCAATTCTGTGTTTTAGCACGATGGATTGCTGATATAGCCTCCCTGCTTTTAATGTCACAAGGAGGCTTAAAATCCAGTTCTTCGAGTCTTAAATGGGCAGCAGGTTTATTTAGATTTTTGTTATTTGGCGACTGTAGGTCTTCATCATCACTATATCCAAAAGTATTTTTTCTTGCCGATACTTCTCCATCCACTGGCCGTGAATTTCCATGTACATAGTTACTTTTTGTTAGTAAATTATCATTCACAGATGGGAAAAAAAATAATGCAATAAAAATATGTACAAAAAATGTAAGTAAAACTGTTATCGCTAAACACTTCGTATATTTGTAATATAATTTTCGAAAAGTTACAGCCATTTCAAAGAAATGTCATTGTATATATGCAAGTACCTATTCTCTAAAAACTACATATTATATTGGCTTAAAATATCTAAATGGCATGAATTTGAATTGCCTACATTGTTTTATTTTTAGGTTATATACATTTTCTTCTATCGCCTGATAACAAAATTGACTACTTTGTAAAATTGACAACCATCCAGTCTAGGGATATTCACTTAACATCGATATATCGAATTTATTCGATGTATTCCGTACGATATATCGGATTGATTCGATGTTTTGACTAACATTTATTGTATTCGATATATCGATATATTTATTTATAGAAACATCGAATATTTGCTTTTTTTATTTTCTTGTCGAATCTATTAACGAACTAAATAATTTTAACACTACTTGATGCCTTCAATTTTAAATAAGGTTCATTAAGATAGTGACATCTGTGAGTGACCATCTTAATTATCTAATCTATCCTGACAGATCGATCGACTATTCACTCTCAATGTATGTATAGTCTGTGGATTCTATAGGTTCATTATATTTACTTACACTCACTTCACTCTTCTTGCGTCGTCTTCTTCTGTTTGGCGGTAACGCAAATAAATCATTGTTTTAATTGTTTATCTAAGACAAATTTATGTAAGAATTTTACTTGCTACTACAATTTATTACTCTAAAATAACTGATTTGACCTATCGTTTGATTGCTAGTTCGAAGTTGAAAAGGTATATAATATTATATTTCTATTATGTTTATGAACCTAACCTCTACTCGTTTGTGACAGTGTTTTATATTGAAGATATAATATAATGATCTTTTATATGTATTACACTACTAGTTTAGCTATGTTACTCTGGTCTCTAATTCTACATTCATACTTACAAAATCAAGGACCACAAACTTTGTGCGTTTCACTGGAAAAAGGTAATATTAAATTTTTGTGGAAAGTATTCGATAGTGAAAAAATATCGATGTTTTCTAGCGATATATCGATAAACATCGATGCTGGGATCCAATATTTTACATCGAATATAAATATCGATATATTTTTTAAGTGGACACCCCTAATCCAGTCTCGCCACATATTTCTTTTAATTTCTGCCAAAATTTCGGAGCAAAGCCCGGCAAAGGTAGGTTTTGTTTCTAATTTTTATTCGTATAAATAAGTACAGTATGTTTGAGTATTCAACTATAAACATAGGTAGGATTTTAGTACATTACAACCGATTCGCGAAGATTGTAGAAAGGATATTCAATTGTTTTCGATGACACATTTATGTAGTAAACCTTTAAAATGAGTAACGTAAATGGCAAATCTTAACAGAGTTCATTGAGCGATGTAAATATTACTCCATCTTACAAAATCATTTGTTAATTTTACATTTCAGTTGTCCGAGTTTACCTGTCCCTGTGGCTATTTTAGCATGGGCTGTCTTTTCATTTTACGTCATTCTTTTTACGTCCCTCAGTTGTACTGGACACAAAAAGTGAATTGTGCGACCGATCTATCGAAATTAATTAGGGAATGTTCTGGAACTTCACGTCTCGTTCTGTATCCTGTATTTAGATCTTAATATCCCGGATTTTGAAAACCCAATAGTTTTTCCAACAAAATATACTGGCAATATTTTAATTGTATTTATGTTTATCGTGCTGATTTCTCAACAAAATCTATCTAATCCAAAAACCATAAGGAGCTGAGTAATTTAAAGTCATTATAATGTTATGATTGGCTTTAATTACCTATTAATGCTTTAATTGCAAAATTAATATCTAATAAAAGTCATTTGCCTGCCCTTATCCCAATTTTATTATGTATTATTCTTTCATTCTACTCTGTCATTCGTCAGTTCATTGTTTACTCTCTTCCTAGCCATATCCTCCCTCACACAGTCCATCCACATTTCTTTGGTCTACCTCTTCTCGTGTTCCAAATACCTAACACTTTCCCCATCCCTCCGCATGACGTCTCCATACAAATTAGTTCTTAACTATTCATCCCCAGCCAAGCTGGATAGTTATGGAGTAAGAGGAATGCCTCTGAAATTTTTTAAGGATTACCTTTCAAGTAGAAAGCAAAGGGTCAAGATACGGCCCGAGGGGGTTTCCACACGTTAAAAAAAAAAAAGGATCATACGTTAGTAATGATACAGAAGTATCTTACGGCGTCCCTCAAGGGAGTGTTTTAGGCCCAATGTCTAAATATCATACTTTTGTTTTGAAATAAAATAGCAACACTTACACACTCACAAACATACTGTACTCACACATTCATACAGTCCACAAGTTCTATGCTGTTATGTATTACTTTTAGTACAAATAAACTATCGTATCTGTGAAGACGTATTGCAAGTGTTTTATTCACCAGCTAATAGATAAAGACCTTATTCACACAAACATATGGTCCATTTTCGAACCGGGTTTTATGAGTTGTACCGGCGATCGCTGTATCGAAAGAACAATAGCATTCCTGAGCGGATTATCTTGCTAACATCGAGTGTTTTAAGCAATTCAATTGCAAAATAATCATTCAAGTTTTATCTATTTTGCTTGGATTTCGAAGTTTCAACGTTTTTACGCATATGCATTGGTACCTACCTCCAACATGAAAACGTTAATGGTATATCAGAAAGAATTACTAGAAAACCTGAAGAAAGCGGAAAGAAACTTTAAAAAACGCCTAAAGACCGTATTAAAAAACCATATTGGAGAACTAGCGTTGAGATGATAAG